CCACCTCAAAGCTTCTCCTGCTTCTCGCCCTCGCAAAAAGATCTTAAAGGGGAAAACGCAGCTGATTTAAAAACTCCTGTTTGTTTTATGTATATTTATTTATTTATTTATTTGAAATTCGTACATGATCCTTTAAATTCAAATTCAGACCCAGAACAACTTTACTGAAATGCGTAATTATTTCTACCTGCACAGTCAATCGACTATAAATGAAGACTTTGTGATAGCGAGACGTTCCCTAGGCCTGGTCCACACGTATCTGGTGAATCCGGCATACGAATCGGTAATTTTTTTTCAATCCGCTATGAATCCGGAATCGTTTGGACACTAAATCCCCCCTTTACCGTGAATACTGTATTCAATATGGCAACCTCGACGCATGCTCTTTTGCCAATATTCCCAGAGGAGTCCTGGGTACTATAAGGGTGAATCAGGATACGTGTCGGATGATCATGTCGGATACTTGTGGACGTGGAAATTTTTGAATCCGGAAAGAAAAATTTGCGGATTCAAAAATATCCGGATACGTGTGGACGGTGCCTTAGTTTCCTCTAATAGACAACTGGATCCATATTCAGCCAAAGTGCTTTATTATACTATCAGTTATATCAGGTTATATTCAAGTATTTTCTTAGACGTAATGGTTGGAACCCCTCAATTCCATGGTGGAATTATTAACTGGATTGTTTTTTTAAATACACTGGAAGCTAATGCCGAGTTCTAATTTACTTGAAGGGTTGGGGGAACGGCTGGGTTGACTTTTTATCGATGCACAAGAAATTGTAATTCTGTAGAACGCCTATGCTGCAAATGAATCTACCCGTCGAACAGTTAATTAATTCCTATTTGGCTTTTTTTCCTTTTTTTCAATTTTCCTTTTAGAGTTTTTCTTACACAACGCTCTTGCAATTTGGTGAATCTGTTAATAAGCTAACCGAGTTGTAGATTCAATGTGGGAAATCCTCCACTTTAGGACACCATCATGAATAAGCTCAAGAGATTTGTTTCCACGATTCGTCACAGATCTGGTTCGACCGAAAAAAAGCAAACTGAAATATATACTTACCAGATTATTTTGCGAGTTCGCAGGAAACGTGAAAAGAAATCCGACAATAACAAGATACAATCTGAGAACATAGAGTCTATGCTGACTCGGGTGAATTAAGGAATGGATCTCGTAAAAGTTGTATGGGGGTTATCTGTTTCAAAGAGGATTAACCCTTCACTTAAAACTTTGTACGCCTGACCCTTTTCATAAACGGATATGAATTTCATTTGGAATGGTGGATTCTCTTAGTCACGTGACTCGCCACACCCATTTCTTGTTTATTTTTACTCAACTTTACACCACTTTAAAGAGATTTGATTTAATTCAATTCGTTTGCTATTTACGACTTTTCGTACAAGGTTCATGGAACTAATAGGGGTTATTAGAAATTCATTGTTTTCTGTAAAATGTAACGTTTTCATTTTAGAGAGACTGGGGCGAAACAAGACGAGACGTGGGTAAAAGTTAGAGGTCGATGAGGATTCCCTAATTCACAAGACGTTAACAATCATGTTGATTTTCCGAGAGTAAGCACATGGACTAGACCAATAACAATAATCCCGAAAATGAAGTAGTCGACTTTTGCCCAGTCCCTGCGGACAGGACATACCGAAAATTAAACTATTAAGAACTGACAAGAGAGGATAACGGGGACAGAGAAGGCATCTCCCATACACACCCTATTTCGTAGGTAATTCGTCTGGAGTTATTTTTAGAATTAGGATAAAGTTACCTCGCGCGCTGCGTGGATGTTTCGTGGAGGTTTCGCATGACTAAGCGCCGTTAGGCTTTGGTAGGTTGTGCTGGCATAATTTTAAACATAATTCAGCAAAACGAGCATTATTTTAAACTTTTATTTCAGTTTAGCACTGCTAGCATAATCCGAGCTTTTATGCGTCGAAAACAAAAAAATCCATCATAGCTCTAGAATAATTCAGTTAGTATTTTATTTCTGTACTGTTTTTTGAAAATATTGAGGTCTGTGCTAAGGTCCATGGTCAAATATGGTCCGGGAAGCGGCAGAGGTCGCCCTCTGCATATATCATATCTCTCCTCAGACCACCACGCTTGTGGCTCGGCAGCTCGGCCCCTCAGGCCTCAGATCAAAGATGACTGGTGCAGCCCTCGCCTGCAGCCGCTGGACGAGTATTCTCTATTCTTAACTCATCGTTCAGCGATTCACAAGAGCATGCTCTCGTGGACTATTTACAGGCTTGTGTAATGCTTCAGTACAATAACCGATAACACAGAGATTAACAACATGCATAGTTGTCTTTATACTGAACTGAGGGCTTTGCCTGGATGGCGTCTAAAACAAGTATGCGGGCTATAACTTTCTGACCCGGATTCAGAACCCAGAAACGGTTGATTTTGGTATCATTTGTTAATCATTTGGCTTTTCGAGGTGTGCACATGCGTATTTGCGATGCTAAAGACTGTAAGACTGGAAGGTGGACTATATGAATGTTCATCAAAGTCAAAATTGATAGAGTTAAGCTACTAATGATCTTTATTTTCCTTAAAATCAGTGTAAAATATAAGTAGCATAATTTCGGTGGCAGTGAGCATAATTTTCAGAAAGTAGAATAATTTTGGCATAATTTCTAAAAAATATGAGCACTGCTAAAAGCATAATATGTTTTTTTTTCGAGCACAATCTACCAAAGCCTAAACGCCGTGCAAAACATGTCGGGCGAAAGGCAATGAAAGCGTAAAGAGATCGAGAGCATTCCTGAATATTGACGCGAAATGAGTCGGCGCTCACCTGGGAAAAGGGAATGCTTAGACTCTTTGACAACCCGTGAAAACAGTTTAACTCAACGTTGTCTTAACCTCAGTGCTTTAATAAAATGAGAAATTTCGCCGGTCTATTGAAACCGGTCGTTTGTACAATAAAGCAAGTAGGACGCCAAGTGTCAAGAATAAGTATCAAACCAGAAATTGCTCTCTTCAAACTGTAAATTCTGCACCCTACACTAGTGTCCTTTTCCCAAACTCCTAAAGTCAATTCTAAGACCTTAAAGGCAACAGTATTCGTGGGAACATGGTAACATGAAGAAAAAACCTACCACATGGAAATCATTATTTTAGATATTTGCGGTTTTCCTCCCGGGTGGGGGGACTCCCTACATAATGGCCTATACGGGGAGGCTCCGCCCGAAAGGGGTATCTTTTTTAGGCTTCTGGTATATGGAAAGGTAGGGTTTTTAATCGTTGAAGTATATGAAAGGGTAGGGAGATCTGTCATTTGGGCTGTGAAAGGGCCCAAAGGGCTAACAGATGAATTTTATGGCTTTATAAAGTTGAGAAAACGTTCTATTTTTGTGATTGATTCCTATTTAAGCGACAGTGCATCATTTACAGCAGCAGAAAGGGATGCAAAGTTCTAACCAAGGAAAGTGAAAGGGGTACCATTTGTAAGGTATGCGAAAGGGGTTCCTTTTTTCGTGTAAAATGGCATATAAAAGGGTATGGGGCTGGACCTTGGGGCGGAGCCTCCCCGGATAAAAAAGGTTCGAGTTATTAGGAGTTTGAGTTATCGGGAGCTCGAAGAAAATAGCCGGGAGTAAGGGAAAAAAACAGTTTTCACCGCTTAGTAAACATGTTAAGCACATTTAATTGTAGAAATATCAAGCGAAAATTACAAGATACCTCTACATTAAAAAACAGAACGCAACGTAAGCAAAGCATTGCCTAAATAAGTAGAGCCCCGGGAATAGAGCATGTGTTTTACTGTTTTGAGAAGTAAAGCTGTTTCACGTTAAACAACACCAGCCTCCAACCTACAACACGTCAATGGGAAATTCAAAATTCAATGTTTGGGACGCCAGTAGACAGTTGTTTTTTCCCCGACCTTTAAGGGCTCAAAACATAGTTCGAGTTATCGAAGGTAAAATTACATAGAGATGATCTGAGGGAAAACAAAAACTACTTTCGAATTAACGGGAGGTTCGAGTTATAAATGTATGACGGAAATCCAGGGGAAATCGATTTTGGTTCGAGTTAGCGATAGGTTCGATTTAGGGACTGGTCATTACTTATCGCCTGGAGGGAGGGGGACGGAGGATTTTAGGGGGGATCACTTGATTTTTAGGAGAACAGAAGGGGGGATCAGTCGTAACTTAGAGCCCAAAAGGGGGGATCACTGAACACGTTGGAAGGGTTCAGAGATGCGCCACTCAAATTTGCTTGGAAAATGAAGACATGGCGGGGGGGGGATTGCGAAAGTCATCAACAGTTATCAGGGGGAATCACTTTAGTGAAGTAACATTCAAAGGGGGGATCGGCTAAATTTCACCTTGTTTAGCCCCAAATCCTCCGCCCTCCCCCGGGTGATAAATAATGACCAGTCCCTTAGCGAGGGTTCGAGTTATCGGAAGTCAGCTGTATTTCGTTGGTGTCAGGAGAAATACTGCAAATTTTTATCGATGTTTTGGCGAATGATTCGGAACGCTGAAATAACGGGCGACGTGTTTTGTATACCTTTTCGCTCAACATCTCCAAGATTTTCGCCGCTGGTAATTCACTGGTAATTATTAATCTTTTTCGGTTAGTTTTTCTGTAAGGTGCCTCTCCGTGATTGTTTAGAGAAATTGTCTGTGACATCTCGATTCTTAAATTGTGGGATCCTCGATATATTTCCACATTTCCTCCCAAGGTGTCTCAGGGTCGTTGATCACAATCACCTTGCGTTACGTTTACTCCTTGCTGAAGATTCATGCTTGGCGAAGTCGACCATTTTAGTCCATGATCAATCTGTTTTGAGAATAATCGGTTTGGGAATTTTAGGTTTGAAATATATTTGAAGACGTCTTTGGGTAATGAGCATGTAATAAGGGCCTTGTACTTGCACTGAGAAATATTCAAATACTGAATTCCTCGCATTTTGTCATTCGCAAATTTATTTGGTAATAGGACTTCGCTTCGTACAATTAGGTAATCGGGATGTCAAGTTTACTAAGAATCGATCTGAAATTACTTGCCCTATTTCTCGCAGAATTGGAAGAAGAAATTGAATGTGGTTCCATCGATGTCAAAAAGTATCTCTTACGCTGTGTATCCTCTATGCAAGATACCTTTGGGGTTAAAGTTCAAGATAAAGAGGACAGTCTAAATTTTTGCATATCTGGCAGTGACCAAGGACTGAAGAAGGCAGTAGATACGGTTGTTAACATGTTTTCAGAAGGTATAGAAGTATTAACGCATGTAGTTAATCAGCCAGGGTTAAGAAATTTTCTTAAAAGTGGCGATTTGGATGTACGCATAAAGAAGATTGAAGATCAAGAAAACTGTTTTATCCGAATTGAAGAGAATCCTGGGCCAAGGGGAACTACCTCCCAGTCCCATGCTGAGGACAGTGCCACTGCTGGATTTGTTACGTCATCTGGATCAAACACACTTGTTACAGCTCACGGACACCCGTCTTGGAAATCTGGAGATATCATGAGGGAGCAGGTAAGATAATGTATTAAGTAATTGTTGCCTGAAAGGATTAAAAAACACTTGTGACATATACACTAGGCCTCAACATAAACATGCCTCAAAAATACCAGTCAGCTGTATAAAGGATTCATTTATCGTTTGTCTCACGATTGCCACTTGAATATTGATCGCACCCAAAAGGCTATTCACATAAGGCTTCACCTTAACAAAATCAACAGTGACAGTGGAGTTGAGATTCCTAAGGAGTGGATGCCTACGATCAGAACACATAGCCACCACAACGGACCGCTGAGAGAACAGTTTCCTCCTCTAATAATGTGCCAACAATGCTTTGGATCGAAACCCACCAGCGAGGTTCGTGATACACCAGTCACTAACAAACATGGTGGTACAAAGAGTCCTACTCAGTAAATCGACGATAAGATGATTTACCAGCAGAACGGGAACATAAGTTGACGACGGCGCGCGCAAATCTAACAACTGGCTTGACCAATGGCACAACGACAAATTAGGCACCGGCAGTAGGGATTAGTCCTTTCAGCGCGCTTTCCCGTCGTCAGCTGGCCGTTCTGTTGCCAAATCAATCTAATATAAACCTGCAATACGCGGATGAAACGTCGCGATCAATTTCTGAGTAACAATCGTGAGCCAAACGATAAACAAAACCCATTATACCCATTATCCACGATGAACAATATCTTTCATTACATACCTCCATGTTGTATTTGCGTAAATTTAAGATTCGTAATCACGTGGACTGTTTCGTAGGAGTTCATCTGTACAGAAAGTAATGATGATTGAAAGTGAAGGAATCAGCACTGTCGTAGGGCCTCCAGTATTAACATTTACTGCGCGAAACGAGGGATGATTGCTGGTGACCAGAGGAGGCCGCAATTCGAACCTCCTGGTTGCTATTATACACGCTTGGCACATATGTAAGCAGAATTCCTTTGGACTTTCGCCAAAAAAACTTCATGTAGAAAGTGTAGTCTTATTATGCGCGTTTGTACCTTCTACCACCTCGTCATCTGATGACACTCGTTTTGACCTTCTATTATGTGAGACTTACACAAACCAACGGTTTTAACTTTCCATAAAACCCTGAAACTCGTACGCATTTCTCTAACTTTTGGTCATTATAAGTAATAGAAATATTGTGTAGAACACAAGGCAAAGTCCTGTACAGTAATATCTAACGCATGTCCTTTCGATCTGCGGTTGTCCTCTTGAGGCCTCAAGAATTATGTTAGATGAGACAACAAACACCTGTGAAAAAAGTCTACATACCACCTTAAAAGACATTCGTTTTGTTATCTATTAGATCCATTTTGAAATCACTGGTGATCGTTGCCATCTGATTGGCTCTCAGCTGTATGATTTATTCACGATTCGCACTATTTTTTGCTCGAAATCACATTTGTTCTAAATCGCATCATTTCTGTTCTAAATCGCACCATTTTTGCTCTATATCGCATCATTTCTTTTTTGACCAAAATTGGATGTAAAAGCCTTTTTGTTTCTTCTTTTACGAGATCCATATAATTTTGGTACTGACTGAATTCGTTGATTTCAAAATGGCTCCAATAAAGTGGTAATTGAACTTCGTGTCGTGCAATTTTGGTCTGAAATCATACTTGTGAATTCAAATCGAACTGGCGCTGCGCGCTCGTCCGATTTTGAAATCACGCGTATGATTTTAAACCAAATTGCATTCCACTCAGTTCAATTACCATTTTTTATCATAAGGATCAAGCCCTTATAGGTGCTTTTAATCAGGCAGCAATGAAATTGCGGAATCCGACTAGTACGGCTCTAAACACAGACAGAACTGGTGGGATGGAAGTTGAAGTCATCCAAGGGGATATAACCCAAGAAAAAACTGAAGCCATTGTGAATGTGATCGGTTCTGACATGGACATGTACAACTTTGGACAGCTTAGCAAAATAATTGCAGTAAACAGTGGTCTCCAAGTACAAGAAGAATGCAGGCGGATAGGAAGACAAAGCCCGGGTTCAGCTGTAATAACAAGCGGTGGGTGTTTAGCAGTGAAGAAAATCATTCACATTGTGACTGGATCGTCAGATAAGGTACATCTTCAGAGATGCCTAGAAAAAGGTCTTCGCCTGGCAGATACAAATGGCATCAAATCCATTTCTGTTCCAGCCATCGGAACAGGTGGCTATGGTCTCTCTGCCGCAGAATCGGCCCAGATGATTTTCCAGGCCTTGAAAAATCTGGGTGGAAACTTCAGGAATATCTCGAAAGTGCGCATAGTTGTATTCCAGGCTAAAATGATAAAAGCTTTTCAACAACAGCATCACAAGAAATCATTATTGACTCCTTTAACAGCTGTAGCTTCCCCTTCCATGTTTAGCAGCCCAGTCAAAGTTGATGTGGTAACAGGTGATTTGACCAAAGAGTCGAGCGAAGCCATCGTGAATGTCATAGGTGCAGATCTGAACATGAACAACTTTGGGCAACTTAGTCGAGTTATAGCCCAAAACTGCGGTCCACAAGTGCAACAACAATTGAATCAAAAGGGAACTCAAACCTTAGGTTCAGCTGTAATGACGAGTGGAGGAACATTGATTGCGAGGCACATTATTCACTTAGTGGCCGCAACTGCAGATAAACAGCACCTTCAGACATGTCTTGAAAAGGGTCTCCGCCTGGCAGATGCAAATGTCATTCGATCCATTTCAGTTCCAGCCATCGGAACAGGTGGCTTTGGTCTATCTGCCTCGGAATCAGCCCAGCTGATCTTCCAAGCCTTGAACAACATGGGTGAAAACTTCGAAAGTATCTCTACAGTGCGTATCGTTGTGTTTCAGACCCAAATGGTACAAGCGTTTCGAAGAGAGCAACAAAAATCTTCATTGCCCCCTATGCCGTCCTTAACGACACGTTCCTTGTTTGAAAGCCCAATCAAAGTTGATGTCGTAAACGGTAATTTGACTCAAGAGAATAGCGATGCAATCGTAAATGTTGTCGGTACAGATCTGAACATGAAAAACTTTGGCCAACTAAGTAATACTATAGAACAAACGTGCGGTCCACACGTGCAACAGGAACTGAATCGAAAGGGAACTCAAGCCCCAGGTTCAGCTGTGATGACAAGTGGAGGAACATTGATTGCAAAGCACATTATTCACATAGTGGCCGCAACCGCAGATGAACAACACCTTCAGTCATGTCTTGAAAAGGGTCTTCGCCTGGCAGATGCAAAAGGCATTAAATCCATTTCAATTCCAGCTTTCGGAGCAGGTGGTTTTGGTCTTTCCGTCGAGGAATCGGCCCAGGTGATCTTCCAGGCCTTGAGCAACATGGGTGGTCACTTCACGAGTATCTCTACAGTACGCATCGTTGTGTTTCGGAAGCAAATGACACAAGCGTTTCTACATGAGCAACAAAAATATCCATTGCCTCCTAGGATGACTGCTTCACAAGGTAGTTCAGGTAATATGAAAGCTGCGCACCCGTCAAGCAAACTAACTGTCAAGGTCTGGGTTACTGGTGGTAAACACAATGTTGAAAAAGCTATGGGTGAATTAAGGGCATTGTTTTCCAGGGCGTGCATCACCAAAAAGGTCGATTTGGAAGGAATTGGGTCTCTTTCGGAAATTCAGGTTAACCAACTTAAATTAGAGGCGGACAAGTGCGATATGGAAATCACTGTTGATAAGACTCTCCAAAGCATAAATCTGCGTGGGTTTTCAGCAGACTTTCCTGATATGGTTACAAAGATAACAGACGAAATAAACAAAAGGATCAAAAAAGAAAAACAGAAACAAGAGGATGACAACGCAAATTTGGTTTCGAGTGTAGTTGAATGGAGTTATACTCTTAATGACGGAAGAAAACAAGTATTTGACAAGACGACCAATGCCAGCCTGGAGATGGCGCGTAGTAAACATGAATCTACTAAAACAGTGCTTGTAAATGGTAAGCAGTTCTTGATCGATCTGAAAAGTGAAACTGGTCGCTGGCGGGGAAAACGGATCAAGATAACTAGGACTGTAAAAGGAGGTAACTATTGTTGAAAACGTTTTTATTACATTTCTTTTTTTCCTGCTGACTGACTATCCCATTGCCTCCAGTAGCACATACGATTTTGTAATGTGATTCAGTTATTTATTCAGATATAAAGCTTTCTTTTGTTATGGTCCTTGTTAAGGTGCTTCTACCCATATCTACCAATCTAAAAATGTTTTAGACGTTTTTTACATGTACAATATGTATCAAACTAACGTTTATTTTAATCGTAATAGAATTCAGGGATTTATCGTCATTTTTTCGTGAATGATGATTAAAAGCCCAAGAGCCAATAAAAATTGAGATCACTGGAAAAAAGGTGATTTATTACAAGAAGAAAATGAGGAATTCCAAAAATTGTTTGTATTGTCTTCAATTGTGGCAGCAAAAGAAAAACCGTGGAAAAACAGCTTTGAAGGAACATCAAAAGTTTAATGACGTTACGTGTTTTCTACAGATGCGTCGACCTTGAAAAATCTTTACTTTATCTTCAATCCCAGCATTCAATACAAGAGGGTGCGACTTAATTATTTGGCGCGTTTTGATACATCTTTGTATTTCTCATTCCAAGCCTTTTTTTCTGAAGACCTCGGGGGACACCCTGGGCTCATTCTTATGCATATGTTTAAAGTGTATGCTCGAAGTGCAATGACTGACATCGACAAGTTTACTAGATATTCATGACTGGATAAGATATGGATAATACAAGCGTAATTAAATATAATTCCATACTTTCTTTCTGAAATCAGAAAGAACAATGTCCGTTTGTTACTTTTGAACACAGCTAATACACCTTTTCCCCTTGTATGTTTTGTTTTCCCAATTCAGACCACGTGATGTTCTCCACGGAATTGGCCTTTTGTTTTTTCATTTATTATGCATACATATGCACGTGGGTGTACGTGCACAAGACGAAATTTGAAAAAAAAAAGTTCTCTGTGGTACCATCACGAGGTCTGAAATGGGAAAACAAAAATTACATGTACAAGCTAAAAACGTCTTTTTCGAGAAAGGTTGTCGGAAAAAGTGCACGCGGCAATCCCGAAAGGTAGCGTGGGTGGTTTTGAATTCACTGCTCTTCAAAGAAATTTGAAAGAATGGCACGAGAGGTCATGGAAATATGTTTGCGAGTGCTAAAGGAAAGCAACAAAAGTAGGTTCGATAGCTACAGTCGTCATCAGGAACAGTGTATTGATCATATCCCATATTAGTACATACTAAAACAATGGATAGTGTTTTTCGCGCCCTCTGATTGGCTACTCAAAGTCGGGATATCCAGTGCTATTCACTGACTGACCTCCAGCTCCTCCGAACGAGCGACGCCAAACGCGCATAGGTTACGAGCAAAATGGTTTCCCGCTTTGCTGCCGTAACAAAGAAAGAAATTTCACAAATAATCAAACGAGCTGTTCCCGAAATACACAAAGAAGATGACGAAATTCAGTTCGAAAGTTTTTACAGCTGATTGCAGTGCTGTGTATGCACCCGGATTTTTAGACATGATTCGACGGTCATAATTTCGATCGACCATCATGATTCGACCAAGAGGTTACCAAGCAGCACAATATTTTACCTTGAATATCCTACCGGAATCGAAGCACACGATCTGAAATTTACTTTGAGGGTAGCTTGAAAGTTTCTCTTGTAATTCAGGAAAAGGGGACCGTGATCCATTTGTTCCAAACACCAAACTTTAAGTTCCTAGTGTTGGATTTTCAGTGGTTGGTCTAGATCGCGCAAAATTAGTAGAATCATGGTAGAACAAATGGACCGATGAATCCACTCTGGACAAGGATTCATCGGTTCATTTGCTCTACCACGATTCGAGTGATCTAGGATCACTGATCCTGATCCTGATCATCTCAAAGGAATGCACCCTCTGTGTTTCAAGGTTCGCTGCTCTTGAACTTCGGAGTTCGCGTGTTTTCACGTTTTAGCTCTCAAGTTTTTTTTATCTTCTTACTGAAACATGGCAAGTTTAGATTCCTAACCTGGATTCCTAAGGTGAAAGCTTTAAAAGCCAGAAGAAACACAGATATGGCAGGGTGAAAACGAATCGGTCCGTTCCCGCCAACATTTAATTTTGCTGCCTCTGCTCGTTAGTGCCGCTTTTATTTGACAAGCAAGGATTGGATGCTATGGTAACGGTTTGATTGACGTCGAAGAAAAACCCAAAATCCTGAAACGTTTCTGACAACGCAGGTCGCGTTTTCTCTGAAACAGGTGTAAATAAATGCATAACAATGAGCCTACGATATCTCCCGGCCCCGCGACCTTAAGGAGGGAAAGAAGAATAACGTTGCTTGGCAAACCAAGGGGATATACGGGGCCAGGAACGTTTTCGAAATGACGGAAGACTTGTTTGCTCATTGTCCTGTTTTCTTTTGTTAAATTTAAGGTAAATTGAGCGAAGGGAATCCTCTTCCAGACAACTGGGCTCCAATGACAGGTCATGAAAAAGTGACTTTGGTAAAATTAAACACAACCTCCATCGAGTATCAAGACGTCTTGCGCAAGTTTCAAGCAACTGTCCCTCACGTGAAAGTTCAGAAAATTGAAAGAGTACAGAATCCTGAACTCTACCGCACGTTCATGGGGAAAAAGCAAGAGATGGATAAAAGATGTGGGGGAAACAGTGAACGAAGGCTGTTCCACGGAACTGATGGGAAAAGTATCGACGCAATCAACAGCCAGGGATTTAACAGGAGCTTCTGTGGAAAAAATGGTAGGTGCATTCAGGAGTCGATTACTAGTAATCGACTCCTGGTGCATTTGATTACAGACTCCTCTAGAGAATACTGAACAAGCCCATTCGTACCACAAGAGACCTTTATTATATTCGCCACTTGTACATCTCCCAAAATGTACCTTATTTGCCCCCCAAAATTTTGCATAACCATTGTTTTCAATTTCCCTTGGGACGGCTGTAATACCCAGGAGATGAGAAAAATAAAGGTTATGCAGACAAGGTGTATTATGGGAGATGTGCAAATGGTGAATGGCTACACTAAAACGCGCTCTGATTGGCTGTTTTTTTTTTTGTAATGACCCGGCATTACTAGCTAGGTGTCCAAGGCATATACAGTCTGTGTTTAACTTGATAGTGGACATCCTTATGGACATCTATGTTATGGTCAATTGATAGCTGTCAAAAAGGGTATCCGCTGACCAGTGACACCTGACTGTATCGCAGGCTGAAGAGTATAACTCATTGAGGTGACGTGTTTTAGTTAGCCGCTGACCAGTTGTTAGTTTTAATTGATCGCAGGTTCAGGTTCATAATGAAAAGGCCATATAATAATTAACTTAATATATAGATTTCGCCAGGGCTAAAAGCGAAGCTCCTATTAACTCGAATTTATAATTTAAATCAAACAATAAACTTGTATTCCACAGATCAGTTAACTTTAGAGCACATTCATGTGACTTTTGAGGGAAAGGTTAAGTGATTTTAGTGAAAAATAATTTGCAAACAGTCCCATAAGAGTGAACTTATTCTAACATCGAGTTGATAGCCTTATGTGTACACCCAAAAAATAGCAATCATCTTCGATCACATTTAAGAGCCATAATGGCTCTTGATCACAGTTTGTAGATTAAGCCTGGAAAATAAATCAGGCCGAATACAAAATCTTGCCAATAAGTCTGAGGACGTGTATACCAACCTTTTATACTTTATACATGTATCACATCTGAGATGAAACAGTACCATGAGGCGCTGTTTTTATCATACAGACCTCGGACAGAATGCAGTATTTTACAATTTTGCAATACAAATTGCAGTCATTCAATATTCAGGACGATCGAAGCACGCGTGGAGTTTTAGCGAAATCGTTAAAAAAATTTCCAAAATCATCTATACGGCTAGCCGGTTCTCACTTTTGACAAGCGCCAAAGTCGACTGTTTAGATTAAGATTAACAGAGTTATACGCTTCACATAATAAAGAATTTATTACGTTTATTTTTTATTTAATGGTTGTATAACGATGTGTAACCTTCAAAAGCGTTTGATACGCGCGGCATTTTGACTACTCCTGCAAGCGATGTTCATGAGCGACTGAAAACAAACGGCACAAAAAATTGCAAAAGAGACTACTAACAATCAATAAAAGGAAAGTAATTCGGTGAAACATATACAGAGACAACAATTTTCATTCACGAAGACAAGTATTAAAGAGTCTCTGAAAATCCTTGTTTATGTTTCAAGCCGGCTTCCCGGTGTTTGCTTTTTTTAAAAGATGAACTCGAGGCAAGAAAATCGCTCAGAGCTTTCTTTTCCAGCCAGAATTATAACTAAATATTCTTTGGAACGTTTTCTTTCTATTTGCGGTGAGAAAATGTCTAAGGGCTTTTTAAAGTTCCATAAGCTTATAATCAAACCGGATACTCGGGTAGATCATTATCTCAAATCTTACTGACAAACGTGCATAAACCAAATAGACGCATAAACTACGCTCGACTTCATTAAATTAGATATTAAAAACAAACATAAAATACAATGTTACTCAGGCTTACCATTCAAAAGGCACTGAAAACTATCAAGTAAGGCCAGAATCGCTTCAGACTTTTCAACCGTCTTACGCATCAAGCAAGGTGAAAAATGAAAGCGATGCCATCCGAAATCGGATTTCCGACTTTGCCAAAGCGACGTATTTCTCAACCGAAAACCCAATAAACAACTAGCCATGAATAACAGAAGACTCTTGATAGCAGCTGAATTTCATTTTGTACATTCAGTGGAAAAAAGACAGTTAAAAACATCACAAGTTGACACAAAACTCTGTCAACTTCAGCTGTCAAAGTAAACAAGATTTAAGATGCTGCATAAATTTTCCGCACGAACTCACCTGTCAAATTTTGACCAATCAGAGCATAAAAATTAGACGTAGAGCGTGACCAACGCGTGACCTTGGTGAGAAAAGTCAAAAGCAACTGGCATGTCTTCCCTGCCTGTAAAAACTGGCTGTATTTTAGCTTCCGAGGTCAGTTTGAAATCAAAATTTTAATTGTGCGACACATATAAAACACAACATATTCCATATGAATTAAAAAAATTAAACTTGAGCCTGCAATCATTTGAAAACTAGTAACTTGTCAGCGGATAACTTCAAAAAAATACTTGTCCTTGATGGATAGGCACCTGAGCCCGCGATACGGTCAGGTGATACTGGTCAGCGGATACCCTGTTTTGACAGCTGTCAATTGATCACAACATTGATGTGCAATATGTGCGCAATATCAGTCTTCCTGTGCTTCCAAACTAGCTAGAAAGTGTGGGATTGAACATTGGTTGCCCTGTGGTGCGGACGGACGGGCGGGCGGTGTACGGTCACGTGATTACCAAATTTTCTGGGATGGGTAGATTTACTTACCCATGGTGCTCCGCAGGCGCGCTTCGCGCGCCAGAGCTCCGCTATTAACCTCGCCCGTTCGATCATTACAGGAGATCTGAGACCTCGGTCTAAGATTTTTCTGTAATAAGTAGTATTTACTAATGTAGCATATTTTTAATCACAAGTTAAAACTCCAGAAAAACAAGATTTCAACTTTAAAGTTGTTACATATTTTCTGTGCCATTGCAGACAGTAATTTCGGGATTACTCAATGCCGTTGCATGTTTAAAAAAAAAATTTATATGAACAAGGAATTTTTCCATGATGGAGAGATTGAGGACTGTGTTCAAAGTTGCGAAAACATAAAAATCATACCACCGGTGGCACAGTGAAACTTCAGAACAATACAAAATTTGATGTAATTTTTAAAGCTCATATCAGTAGCTCGAGGCTGATTGTAAATGAAATGAGGATCAATTATAAAATAGCAAGAAAACAGATAAGACTTTTAAGACCTTTAATGCTTTTCGTACACAATAGTGCGTGCTACCAAAACGTTACAAAGTAAAGCCTCTACTTCTAAAACCACAGCTCATTTAGTTTATATGCGTCAGAACGAGTGTCATATCTTCCTTCTGTAGATAACTAATATCCGTTCTACCCAGCAGTGTTTAAAATCATCTTGACGGTTCTTATCATTTCTCCCCATACGGCTATATACTAAACCCGACGGAATTTTCAAAAGGCTTGTATAGTATACGTTTCAGAGACTTGTTTGGCACTCCGCTTTGTCTATCCTAATGTTGAAATTATTATTCTGGTTGATACACTTGACGGATATAGGAAGGGTGGTGGCTTGAAAGTTTTTCTTTATTTGATGAGCGTGCATTCCTAAAAAACGGGAGCGAACAAAGTCTATTTTCGGCGCACCGGGCGTTACAATGCGAGCAGTGTTTTCTCCATAGCAGACGAGGACAGCACGCTACGAAGGGAAAAAACGTTTGCTTTTCCATCGACCATGCGCGTCCACGTGACGCCTACATCAAAACGTCAAATAACATCACTCTCTCTTGTTAGGGAACTTAAGGTGACTCGACCCAGTTTTTTTTAGGGGGTACCATCCTACTTTGAAGCTCTCTGGTATCCCGACCTTTACTTTTATCGTAAGTATAACACATAGAATGGATAACATATAGATCAAACTACAATATAACATAAAATTTTTGGCGATCGGAGTAAATGTCACGTGGTTATAATGCCACGCCCCTTTGAGGTCTGAGTCGAAAATCTGCTGTTCCCAGCATTTTTTCGTGAAAATCTCTCGGCTACACATAGTGCGCATTAGTGCCTTGAGCTGAACAGAGTTTCACCAAAATCGCAAAGACCCAATTCGAGAAACTCAGTGGTTTCCAAATTTAGGTCATAATTTATGCGAAAATGATAAGCAAACTTTACACGGATTATATCTAATAAACTATGAGATTCATCTCTGTATTTTGGGCATCCTTATAACAAGTCAGCAAAACGCTTTAGGGCCTTGTAAATGCGCGCGATTTCGAGCAAAGCAAACATATAGAAATTAACGTTTTCGCTATTTGTTGACGTTTGTCGGCGTTTAAGAGTCAATCTCACGAAAAAAGCATTTTCTTAAAAATTCGTAGTTTTTTTTCCTTCAAATTTTTTCAGGGCCACAATTGATTAACTAACTACCCGGACTCTGAATTTGATGGTCATTGAAAAACTGTGACATCATCTTCTATAAGTCCAAACTTGAGTAAACATTGAAGATTTTTAGCGTTTTGGCTGAGTTTGTGCTTTGGGAGTTGTCTATTGTTTCTAGTCTGTAATTATACAGCATTCTTGTTCAGCACGCGTGCAATGACCGCGCTTGGCTGACTTCCGAATGCTCACCGAGATATTATAAATTTGGTACAGTGAGACAGGCTATCGCGTGATACATAGAGGTTTAACTAACAATTTTTAATCAATTCTCGTGCTTCTTGTGTCTTTGCAAAAAAATCAAGAAGTGCTACACACTAAGTCTACTTACTATTAAAAAAATATCATTTTTTCATAGGTTTAATGCAAGCCAATAATTAAACCAACTCGTGACGGGAATATCTCGGTTAGCATTCGGAAGTCAGCCAAGCGTGGTCATTGCACGCGTGCTGAACAAGAATGCTGTATAATGACAGACTAGAAACAATAGACAACTCCCAAAGCACAAACTCAGCCAAAACGCTAAAAATCTTCAATGTTTACTCAAGTTTGAGCTTATAGAAGATAATGTCACAGTTTTTCAATGACCATCAAATTCAGAGTCCGGGTAGTTAGTTAATCAATTGTGGCCCTGAAAAAATTTAAAGGAAAAAAAACTACGAATTTTCAAGAAAATGCTTTTTTCGTGAGAAGGACTCTCAAACGCTGACAAACGTCAACAAATAGCGAAAACTATAATTTCTATATGTTTGCTTTGCTCGAAATCGCGCGCATTTACAAGGCCCTAAAGCGTTTTGCTGACTTGCAAGGACCCATCTGTTATAACGATGCCCAAAATACTAGGGATGAATTTCTTGGTTTATTAGATATAATCCGTGTAAAGTTTGCTTATCATTTTCGCATAAATTATGACCTAAATTTGGAAACCGCTGAATTTCTCGAATTGGGTCTTTGCGATTTTAGTGAAACTCTGTTCAGCGCAAGGCACTAATGCGCACTATTTGTAGCCGAGAGATTTTCACAAAAAAATGCCGGCAACAGCCGATTTTCGACTCAGACCTCAAAGGGGCGTGGCATTATAACCACGTGACATTTACTCCGATCGCCAAAAATTTTATGTTATATTGCAGATTGATCTATATGTTATCCATTCTATGTGTTAGACTTACGATAAAAGTAAAGATGGGGATACCAGAGAGCTTCAAAGTAGGATGGTACCCCCCCAAAAAAAAAAAAAAAAAACTGGGTCGAGTCACCTTAAGGTGGTTTGATCGGGTTTTTCAGGTCAATAACTCTCACGTTTGAGCATGAACTACGTCGCTATTAACAAATATTTGCAAAAATTACCACCATAGCTGTATTAGATAAAGATGAACAATTGTTATGATCAGGGTTACAACGACATCGGAGTTTTCATAGCAACGATTTTATTTGAACAGCAGTAAACAACAATGCATTTGACATGTGCTGAAACGTCGGCTATTGTTGTTCACGAAAATATGAAACTTGGAGAAAAATACACTGAATAATGAGAGGCTCTCACTTGTAAACACAAAACGTCGGACAAAAAATTAGCGAAGTGTCGCCCTTATTTTACTGCCTTACAATATATCAATAATCTTGAAACTCAAAGGTGATATAAAACGACGGTTACTCTCGAGACTCTCAAGAAAATCTATCAAGCGATTTCAAAATTATTCTCTTATTTGTTAAAGTAGATTATAATTTATACAAACCGCTAACAAGAGGGCCTCGATACATGCTCATCAAATCCTTCTTTCTAGCATCGGCTGGAGCTATCTCCATGATCTTTCACGCACGTTTTTAAAAAGACTGAAACTACTACTATGAGGTGAAATTGCATTTCAATGGCGCTTTGTTTTCTACAGATAAGGACCGAAAATTAAGATTGTCCAGGTTTTACCGTATTTTTAACCATTAAAACTTCATCTCAAAATATCTCGACAACGCTTTACTGGCTCTTACAGATTTCGCTTAAACTTCACGAGCATCAAGGCGGCTATTGGATGAAAAAGCTTCCGTGAACGATTGTGGAAAAAGAGTTCCCAGTGGGAGAAAATAATACGGCTGCTATGACAACTCCGATGTCGTTGTAACCCTGATCATAACAAATTTCCATCTTTATCTAATACAACTATGTCTTTTTCTGAACTAAGATATGGTACGTAGGAATTTAACTCCAGTTGGGTTCGCCTACATTTGACCAGGTTAGTGGGTAGGAATAATCGTGATAAAGACAGCAGTTAGAAGCGTAAGCAAATGCGCGAGAACCTTAACTTGTTCTTAAATAGGTTTTACCCGTTCAAAGTTAATTTATTCGTCCATGGCGCTTGACGGAAGCAAACGGTGAGCTTGCAGTGGTTTCTTAACTTTCGTTGCGTAGCGTCCAGCCTGGAAAAAACCTCTGCAAGCCTCTGCCGACAACCGTTCAAATCCGTCCAGAAATCTGGACGAATAAATTAAAAAAACGGGTTTTTTCTTGTTCTTGACCGGTTTAGAGCATTGCGTGAGTCTCGCGGCAGAGGCTACTTTTCGCACGCCAGCTCATACTGCGAAAATGTAGCCTCTGCTCGCAGGATACCAAGCGATGATTCTTCTGGGGAATTACGTATCTGCGTATGGCGGTTTAATCTTTTCGTTTTTTATTCATAGTAGTAAAAGGTTGTATTAACATGAATCTGAAGAGTGAAATAATGATAAATGTCATCAATGATGTAGTCTAGCGAGCAAATGGTTCTGGTAGCATTTCATCGTTAAATTTCCCATTATCAGCCTGGGCTTCTTTTGGGACAAAATCCTGGGGCAAAAGTGAATATCTAAGATCTAAGATATCCATGAGGAACCTTGCCCGCGAAAATAGGCTACGATTTCGGTTTTGTACTTCAGGCTGACTTAGGGTCTACAAGAAACACGCTTTGTTCTTGTTGTTTTTAATGTTACAGGGACGTTTTATGGACATGGTGTGTACTTTGCTAGAGATGCCTCCTATTCGCGTGGTTATACAGGAGGGGCAAGTGGTGGTGGTGCAATGTACCTTGCCCGGGTTCTGGTGGGAGAGTATTGTCAAGGACGTCCTGGCATCCTCCAGCCTGACCCCAAAGACAAGCGCAGGATCGACATTCTATACGATTCGGTAGTTGACCGTACATCAAACCCTACAGTCTTTGTCGTTTTCAACGATGCTCAATGTTATCCTGAGTACATCATAAGGTTTTAGAAAATTTAGAAAACTGTCGGCTGTAGACTAGTAGATAGTAGAGAACTTGAGAACCACGACGACGACTTTGTCGACGACGACCGGAAGTGAGATACCGTGCACTGCGCAAGCGCGATTAGCAAATTTCGTCGTCGTGGTGTCGTTGACGACGCCAAACACAGTAGAGTCACGTCGTCCTGCAATCCACAAGCTTTTGCAGGTATAACTCCTTGTTTTTAAGCGATTTTTCAAGGGCTTTGTATTTTTTATCTTCGTAAATCCAGGTATCCTTTCTTTTTTCTCCTAAGAAGCGATGTTGATTGAAAATTCGACTGATGAGTTGTGTTTACTTCGAAGACAACACTGAGCTGTAGAGGCCGAGCGAGCGAACTCGTAAGTGATAAATTTAGTTGTACGTATTTAGGAAAGGCAAATCATATATTTTTAACATAGAGGAAATGAAATTTATTTGGAAAACAGCTATCGCATCGGAATGTCTCTTTTTCCAAAACAATGAAAGTAGACGTACGGCTTATAAAATAAGATCTTGCATCGTTTTAAACGACGCCTCTGCGAAAAAACTTTGTTGCGAACGAACATCACAGTTCTACTACTTTCTACTTGTTTGTTTACATTCAGTGTCGTCGTCGTCGACCTACCGATCGACTGCATCTTAAGTTTCCTTTTTCCCGCCGAAACTGACGTTCTCGTTCCAGTCCTTTCCCGGTCAACAGACGTCGTCGTCGTGAACTTCGTCGTGGTTCTTAAGTTCCCTAGTTCTTCCTGTATAACTACATTGGAACTTGTATTTAACAACCTTGTATTGAGCAACGATGACCGAGCAGTCATGTGCTTTTAAAAACACACTTTTGCGCTCATACAAATGCTGCGTTTGTTACCTGTATCAAGCTAGCGGCTACACCCTAGCTGTCCACGGACTGTTTTTGCTACTTTTTAAAGTAATTTTACTTACGTTTAGCCAGTTCAACCGTAACCGTTAGAGCTACGAGTGAATTTAACATTTTTTGCTGTGAACTGCGTGCGATAGTTTATGCTATACAGTAGAGTATGTGAAAGTTAGTAGACATCTTTAGCATCAGATTTTTCATGGGAAACCGCAAACCTGAAAATGTCCGTAACCACGGTCTAACGGTCGCGTTTGCAGTTTGCAGTTCACGTTTGAACGGTAGGAAGAGCTTCAAGCGGTTAGTGACGAAAAACAAAATGGCGCCAATAAACAATAAACGGCTTGCTGAAATTTGAAATCCCGGCAACGCGAAACTGCAAACGCCTCACTGGAAACTGCAGTTTCCCATGAAAAACCTGATGCTAAAGGTCTCTACATTTATGTAATTAATATAACGGTACAGTTAGGATTAAGGTCAGTTAATAACTTCGCCATGAAAAGTGAGTTCACTCGGAGCCATTCGCACACAAATTAGTCTCACGTGCACTTGAAATGAGCTTAAAGTGCACCCGAAAATGATGAGGAATATAAGTTCCTCCAACAAGCCATTTGCACGAAATTTTACTACCACTGCCAGTATTAATCATAGATTAGTGGTCATTAGTGAGTGCGGTTTGGTTTTCTTAGCTTAAAAGATCATGAAAACCTATTTTTAAAAAATAAAAATTCTTTGTATGCTCTCTACATAGACTGCTTCATATTCTTACAATGTCTTATTTAACTTCGCGTAGGGTCAATAAAAATGACAAGTAGATCGTCGAAATAAAGCCTGTCACATCACTAGAAGCGTTCAAAAGCATGGTAACCTCAAAGGTAATCCTGGCTTTTTGCCTGACCTATTTTTAAAAAATAAAAATTCTTTGTATGCTCTCTACATAGACTGCTTCATATTTTTACAATATCTTATTCAACTTCGCGTAGGGTCAATAAAAATGACAAGTAGATCGTCGAAATAAAGCCTGTCACATCACTACAAGCGTTCAAAAGCATGGTAACCTCAAAGGTAATCCTGGCTTTTTGCTTGACACAACTTGAAGTTTACAATAATCATAGCGAAAATGATCATGTCAATGAACCAGACGGCGCTTAAGGTACAAAATCTTTTGCCACTGTGCAAACTGTTCATTTTAATTCTGTTCGTTTAGGTCAGTTCATCATGTTTCCAACCTATAGAGCGTTTTCACATGACGTCACGGAGGCCATATTCGTGTTCCTAAACAATGAAATGGGGGCCATGTTGGTGTTCCAAACAAGTCCTGTGGGAGTTGAACTCTTTCCTAATGAAAACGCTTTCTTTCGTCCTAATACATTTGCATAGATGTCGGCCACTTGAGTGAAAACGCTCAAAAGAGCGTTTTCACATGACGTCAAGCCGGGTATCTTGGTGTTTCAAATTTTTATGTGAAATCTTTCTTGTTCCCATAAATTTGCATAGACGCTGGCCACGTGAGTGGAAACTCTTTATATTCATGGTCTTATCTACAAAATCCCGCGACAGTCATCGATTATGCATTACATGTATAACCTAAGAAGTACGCGGGTAAAATTCTGCAAAAGCACTTTATCCCCGAATGTTTTGCTTGCAAGTGAGAAAAAGTACTGCGACCACATTAATAGACTCAAACGAACGGGAAATTCTTTTAAAGTTTCAGCTCGATTTGATCGGTATAAAATCTGTTGACCTAACAATGTAGTAACACTGAGGAAGGTAGGAACTTGCCGAACTCGAAGAACTCCGTGCTTATCCACATCGGTTGTATATCATCTGGGTGTGACCATGATTTAACCAGGGTGATGCGCATGTACATATCAAAAAAATATCGGCGACAATGCAGAACAAAGAGGAAAAAACTAGCTAAAGAGGTCATCCCAAGATTCGGACTTGAGTTCTTCTTTCCTTCGGGGTTTTGCTTTCTTGTGCAAATTAGGACTTTTGTTATTCAAAACACACTGGGATTACAAAACTGAAATATGAAAGAAAACACAAAACTACAGTCTCAGTCAAAATGGTTGGGATTCTTTGGGGTCTCCTTGTCCCATCAATGTTGGTGCACAAGACATCTCCAATCTGTGTCTCCACCGGTACAATATATTAGCGGCAAGATACACAGCCTGCGAAATAATGCGCACAGTTTTGACTCATCTGTTGTTCACTCTTTAAACCCAATACGTAGAAAGCTTTTTTTAATACTTCGGAATGTTGTAATTAAAGAAACAAAGACTTCTTTCCTCTATTGATTGTCTTCTCTCTTTCTATCCGTAAAATCTCTAATGTTTTTCCCGGAAAAATGGCTCCGAAACGTGCATTTACCTGCCTAGCGATTTCCCGCCACCAGAGCCAGTTAGGAGTCACATACCTAAAATTCCTCTAAAATACAGTCTCAGTCAAAATGGTTGGGACACTTTGGGTTCTCCTTGTCCCCTCAATGTTGGTGTACAAGATTTGGTGACCGAACTGCGATAAACAACTTTGAGAGGAACGAGGTGAGCACGAGAAGGGAAAAAACAGCGTTTGGCTAAAGTGTCCCAACTATTTTTGTCTGAGACTGTAATTCTTGTCTAAGTAGTCAAAAGAAGTCGTCGTGCATATGGCCTACTAAATAACTACAAGAAAAATTCCACGAAAAATCAGCTCTTCATGACGCCTTTTTATTTCCATCAAACAGAACTTACTTACTGAACTGATAGATAGAATTTAGAACCTTTAAATTAATCTAATAATAAGATAAATTAAATTTTTAAAGATTTATATATCCCTTCAATTTCACGCAATAACATATTTCATGTAGTCAAGAGATTATCTCCTCTTGATATTGCATGTTTGTGAAAAATAATTTTTCAATAAATTTCATCCAAACTTGTCTAGCGAAATTTGGAGTTAAATTTAACTTATATAAAACTCAGAGCAACTAAACATTTCAAAATAATTTTAATCATTTCACTGATTTTCTTATTTAAATATTTGGAATCTGGATTACTTTTACTTAAACTTTAAAAAACATGTCTTGCAACGAGGCGTTATACAAACTAAGGGTCTGATAATGATCCCGGCATTGTGTTTAAATGAGAAATTTTAAACCAAACATCTGGCTTGAATTGTTTAGTAGATAGATACCAAACACAAAATTTGTGTCGTCACGACACAACGAGCGGCCTAAGAAACGAGCGGGAAAGTAGAAAACGCTAGATTTTCTTGGGTAGATTTTCTTTGTGGCAGCTTTAAAAGATCTTTCGTCATCCCCTCACACGATTCATCCCAGTATATTGGGCTGAAGTGTTAACACTGGAAAATTTCCAGCGCGATGAACTAAGACCTTCGTTGACCCGTCTGACACGCCTTTCATTCGTATGAAATCATGAAATCATTGAATTTTTTTCTATGAATAAAGATGAAATAGGGCTTAAGCCAGATCTGATCTCGGCTAACTGAGCCAGCTCGGTCAACCGGGCCCTTCTGGTTTTAACGTAGTTCTGACGAAGTCGGAGTCGCAGTTGTAAAAGGGCCGTTTATGACTACACATCGGAGTTGTATGCGGATCTTAAAAGCACGGAATCAGAGTCACGAGAATCAGAACGCTATCACTTTCTTCCAACGTCAGCTATGACTCCGTCGCTTATGACCTAGTGGCCCCTAGATTGTGGGAGTCGCAAATAGAAGCAGAAGAATAAACCAATCACATTGCTCGTTCCCAAGCGTTGTGATCGGTTCATCCCTATATTACGCTTCAGCTAGCGATTACGACAATAATCTAATTTTCCCTCTGAGATCTTGAGCGACGGCGCCGCACACCAAATCGGAACGCTGATTTCCAGTAGACCACAACGCTCTGCGCTCCTGTTTACGTCTCCGACTCTGACCCAATAGCTCGTGAATACCAGCGTAAATGTAAAATAATTATGCAACCTCGACTTGCAGTGGCCAAAGAAGATTGAATTTGCACGTGTCTAAGTAGTTAGTTCTAAGCTACATGTGAATTATAGGGGCAAAACCTACTAAGTATAAGCACTGAGCATAGCCTACGTTGCAGCCGGCCCACGCATCGTCTAAACCATTTGACAGGGGATTTAGAGTGTCTGTGACGGAGACTAACTGAGCATAGTCTCCTAGGGTCGTCACACAACGCTCCTGCGTGACGACCGTAAAAACGGATGCGCAGGAGACTAAACTGAGGACGGTTTTCAAAAGCATTCAATAAATAGTTTTCGGAGATTTTTCGACGATATGTGAATTGTGAACATGGGGTTCTATGCTTATGGAAAACACACTTCGTTGGGCTAATTTGCTTCAACAAAATTAGTTACAGAAACGTGCAAAACGCACAGGGCAACAAGAAACTTACGATTTAGTAGCTTTCAAACTGACTCACGTTTTAAAAGGCTTTCAAGTTAGAGAGTGAATTGAAAATCTTTTTCGACCGCTCGAGTTTCCAGTAACAACAGAAATTTCCAAATTGACCTCTTGGAGCAAACGAAATCAAAACCAAAAGTTGTTTGACCGCGAAAGTTTGAGCTAGCATCAATCCTCGCTTTGTTAACGCGGCTACAAGATAAATATAAGATGGCCTGTATCACGTTGTTGAATAAGCCAAAAGTTTGACCTAACATCAATCCTCGCTTTGTTAACGCGGCTACAAGATAAATAGAAGATGGCCTGCATCACGTTGTAGACTAAGCCAATCCAAGGATAAAAACGTTTCTATCCATTCAATGCTCAAAGAAACGATACTACCAATTTTGATCCACTGCCCTAAAGTTCAGATAAAACTTACCTAAGTTTAAAAACAGAATCGCTAAATAATTACAAATATTATTTTCTCCATGGACAAAATCAAGAATTGGTACAACAGAACGAACCGACAAACACCCAACGCAAAGTCGTGTGTTATACCGTCGAATTCAAAAATTGTGCAGCCCATTCAATTGCTACAACAGTGTTAGATAACTCTTCCTCAACTAATGCCCAGGTTCCATTGTTGACGGCGTCCACTAAAGCATCATGGAGGCCTGGAAACGTGGCACTTGCGTAGGAGTTGAACAGACTTGGCGCGAAAATAGAATGCCTGGAAAAACGGGAGAAGAGGAGCCATTTTACAGATTACACTTAGTATGGTTATACAATTATAACCTCGAAATTTGCTCAACAAGGTGTTTTTGGGCTTACACAGTAACTTCTTTGTTCACCAATATAAACAAATTCATTTAGGGACTTAAATTCCTGTAGGGACTTAAAGGATATTGATACCATTAACACACTTTATTGTAGTCTTGTGAGACCTTTATTAGAATATTGAAAGTGTTAATGTGTATAAAGATTTAGGATTATTTACTGCTGGTAATCTTTCATGGAACCAACACGTAGTTAAAATAACTGCTAAGGCTAATAAGGGTTTTAGGGTTGGTTAAGAGGACTTGTAGGGACTTAAAGGATATTGATACCATGAACACACTTTATTGTAGTCTTGTGAGACCTTCATTAGAATATTCATGCGAAACTTTTAACCCTCATACTAAACGTAACATGTTCAGCGAAGAGCTACCAGATGGATCACTAGGTCTGATGATGATTATGATACTAGACTATCTAAGCTAAAATTGTTGTCATTATCTAATAGGAGGTTCACTAGAGATGTTACATTTTTTTAAAATGTAATTAATGGACATTATGATATTGACATTTCAAATAAGCTCATATTTTGTAAGGACAGAAATACAGGTTACAACTTGGGGAAAAATGACACACAGGACCTTTTTCCAAATTTTAGTAGAACTGATGGTTTTAAATATAGTTTTTTTAACCGTATTGTAAATGAATGGAATGGTTTACCCAATCATATTAGAGAATCAAACAGTATTGCAACATTTAAAAAAATGTTTTAAGCTTTATTAAGGATAACTAGAACATTTATGTTTCTACTTGTATATATTTTTCTTATATTTTAATTAGTGGGGGGATTCCTAGTATGGCGCATTGGCGCTTTCGGTTGTCTCCTTCTCCACAACTTTTTTTTTTTCCTTGTAGTAGTGTTAGCTTATTTCATTTAATTATTTGCTTGTAATGTAGTGGAGTGAATCTGTAAAAAAAAAAATTTACAGAGCTCTCGAGAATGAATAGTACTTACCAGTAAAGAGGTCTTCCCGGCAGTCCTTCCGGGTTTAAGAAGTTTTTTTCCAGTCCACTCAAACGGTCATTAATGTACGCGAGAGACCAGGGACTGAAAAAAATTCATTTGTTAGACGAGAAAATGATTTTTAAAATTTTCAAGCAAAGCAATTCAATAACAGCAATTAACAAGGGATATATAACCTGTAAATGCTAAGTTGAGTGAAATAATGAAAAAACATATAATCTTGGTTTGCAGCCACGTGACAAGGCGGCCATGTTGGATGGCAACACAATATAATTTTTTCCTTGAAGAATTTACACGAAAATAGAGTTAAGCTCCTAGAGGAGAAAAATGCTTTTGTTCTTGTTATCCAACATGGCCGCCGTAACGTCACGCGCAAACCGGCAATAGGAACTCTGGGGTGAAAACTTTAACGACAAAAGATCATCGTAGTTATAAACGCAAGGAAGCCTGAAGAAATTCACCTCTGTTCGGGATTCGAACCCTTGAGCTCTGCGATACCGGTGCGGCGCTCTACCAATTGAGCTAACAACCCAGCTGGTTGAGCAGGTCACTGAATTGGTTCGTGTCAACGAACTACGTTATCCTTTCCAATACTTACTCTGAAATGTCCACGTTTTTGATTAGTGATTGCATGTTCTTAACTCCTTCTTTAAACTTTTTCACTGCCTTAGCCAAAAATTCTGAAATAAAATACCGTTATAAATGGGTTCAGTAAATGAAATAATTTTGTTCCCCGGGCTGAGACGAAGATCCTACCGGGTGTAATCACAAATGGCTAACATATGCGACCACAAAGCTCCTCGGGAACGTTGAGAGGGAGAGCATAAAGGTCAACAAACATGGCGCATAATACAACTAATGTGTTCCAAACTGTTTTAACAGGTTCAGAAATACAACTAATATTCACTATTACAGAATTCCTACAAAGCCTAATTCAGCAGGTATATATTCTTCAGTCAGGGTAACCTTCAGAGCGTCATCAACAGTTGACTTACTGCTGTCCGCCATGTTAGTTTTTACTGTCTCTCCAAACGATCCCTAGAGCCTTTGCGATCATATGTGGTACCAGCTCTCCGCTTGATTAGAACAAGGCCAATGAGGGACTCACGTACAGCAACCGCCATAGGGAACGTCACACATCACACTTTTCAAATGGTACTTTTCTTTACCGTCACTGCACAACTACGACGTAAAAACCTTTCTTAGGGTTCATTTCCACTGTCGCGTAATTTTTACGTGCGTACGTGCAAAAACTTTACGTGTACAAATAAAATAGAGGCAATGTATGTCAGGTCGCATGTAAGTGTAAAAGTAGAACCTCGCTCAACTTCACGTTTAATCTCAACACTTTATATCTTGCCTCTGTTTTATTTACGTGATTTAAATTCACGTGTGTTAATGTGCGTAGCCAACAACGCGTTAGTGGACATCAACCTTAATATGACGCTTTACGGACGACGTGAACACACGGGAACAAATCTTAGTTTCTTTCTTCTTTTTGAACTTCGAGGTGGTCCCTACGAATTAATATCCCGGGAAATATCCTCACATTTGAAAAACTGAGCAAACTAGAATAATCACGACCAAGTTTAAAAGAACGCGTGATCACTTTGTAACTGATATTTTGCCTCTCATTACCGTCAAAGTTGCTTAACTTAACATGTCAGTTATCAAATTCGGGGGTATATACAAAGCTCTCGTTGAAACAATATGTCTTGTTGAGTTAACGCAGCCGTTGGCAGTAGTCTGACCGTGCGCTTAACTACGAAGTCGAGGGAACAAAATAAACTCACCGAGTGAAATTCCTTTCTTCGTTAGCTCACTTTGATATTTTTTCTGCAAGTTGGACACGCCTTTATTCAGCGCAACAGCGTAATCTGAGCAGTTGATTGGCAGGAGAGGTGTCTCAGCCAATAGGAATGTAACACTGCCCCAGAACTGCGCAACCGCCAGATGAGTCTTGAATTCAGGATCCACGAACGTTTTGACGTAAGCAAATGTGTCATGCAAACTGTGATACGTTGGATAAGCGGAGATGTTATGGAACTTAAACTGAAATCAAAAAGTAAGTGTAAATCATAAAAGCTAAGTATATAATAAGGAAGATTGCGATAAACAGTCAACATCAGAGACCTTTAGATTCTAAGTAGAGAAAGACTACGAGTACGAGATTTCCTCAATAGTAAGTAGTGTACGCGTGTGAGGCAGCGTCATTTTGGCGGGAAAACGTGGTAGCCGTCGTCATTCTACTACAAGGTTTAGCGAGAGTGTCGAAGTGGCAGGAACGCGTTATCAAAATAATGTTAGAAGCTTTAGCATTGTGCAATCGGGAGAGGGTATAACCTCCTTCAATAACGATAACAGTGCTAACGTTTCGGGTGAAAAAAAGGACAATGAAGAATTCCGGGGCGTCTATTTTTTGACAATACGCGAAAAAACTTTAAATCAAATCTCGTACTCGTAGTCATTCTCGTCCACGAGTCTAAAGGTCTCTAATAACCCTTGATTTTGGTATACCTAGCCACTAAAATGGAAAGACTGAGTAGTAGCTTACAAGAATCGAACCACAGGCGGTCTCTTCCGAGAAGAGGTCCAGACACATCTACTTTACGGAAGATATTTATTGCATGCAATGTCTGAGTTACGTCATGTGTAGTTCCATGTTGTCACTAAAGTTTTTCGTATATTCTTACTGTACACTGTAGCATAGTGCACACAGCGACCATAGAGATCAAAGAATGCGTCAAGTGGTCGCTTACAAGAGGTTAAAAATCGTTAAACGTCAGGCCCAAAAGGGGTGGCGGTCGCTTACAGGAGGTGGTCGTTTACCAGAGGTTCCAACTGTAACGTTTTGACTGGGAAATTTTTGGTGGTTTGGATAGGCGGTCGCACATGAGGCTCGATTGTTATACCGACAAAAACTAATTCCCTGTAAATCCGTCAAAAATTACTGTTGTTTGACAAAAAACAAACTTCGCCTAAAAATGACATTCCTTGTTACAACTCTCGTTATAACGGACATCGTTAGGCGTTCCGGTTTGTATCATCGCTTAGAGCAAATCTTCGAGTTTTTGGGCGCTTCAGTAACAGGTCGTCTGTCGCGCAAAAATCTCTGCACGACTGAGAATCAAACAAGTAAATCAGTTCTTCTCCGCAAAACAAAATAGTCAGTCGATTCTTTACAGCTGGCTTTATGGACCACAAAAAAAAAAAAAAAACACACACACACACATAACTTTATCACAAAAAAGGGTTACTCGCAACTGAAACTCAAGTTCCCCGACACCTGGAAGCAACAACAGATGGATGTTTGCTTTAAAACTTTTTCGGTATACACATTTTCTTTATTTTCCTGGAACACTACTTTTATTTCACTTAATATACGTGTCAAAAAGTTACTATAATTAATGCAAAGCACATACCATGTCAAACACATATCTTATATCGGCAGACGGCACGCCAGCTCTCTGACAAAATGGAGAATAGTCACTGCCTGAGCCAAGAGGGCGAATTCTATAAAAAGCACAAAAGAAAGACCGAAAGACACTATTAAGAAATCCTGCTGGCTGAGGTTCCAGGTTTCTTTCCGGCATGGTGTTTCAAAAACTCAGAAAACTCAAGCCCACAAATTAGGGTCTGTTTACATGGAGGTGGGAGACCGCAGGTAAGTGAGGTAACACGCTTAAGGTGGGGTAACCTGTCATGTAAACGGGATGAAAGTAAAATGAGAGACTACATGGACAGGCGGGTTACACCAGCTAAGCGGGTTACCTCACCTACCTGGGGTCCCCCACCTCCATGTAAACAGGCCCCTACTGTATCTACGGTATTTATTTGCTCAAGTGCCCTGGGCGCTGATTAATTTTTGGACCTTGAGAGTGGCCTTGGTTGGCTTGTTACGTTCCCCCTTTTTTATCAGGAAATCTAATATTTCAAAGCCTGACTCTCTGCTCTTACGATGCCTTCAAAATATATCATTTTGTTTATGCTTGTTTTACTTTAGACCTTTCACTCTCGGAGTGAATGATGGGGTTTACAGTCATCTCGTCACCAACAAGTCTACTCGCCACCACGTAATATTTACACTGTTTACTTGCCTGGGACTGATTTCTTCCTCAAGCCCAAATATAAGTTTTTCCATAGTAATTGACACCTTGCATCGGACGTCTCACATTTAGTTTTTTTTCTTTTTTTTTTGTGAATAACTGGGACTTTTTAGTACATTAATACGGCTTATTCTTATGCTAAAGAGGTGCGATTTACTTAAAATCCAACAGCCCCTCTTGGGAAAGTAGGGTAATATTATCACACGACCCTTACCTCCTTAAATTTCATTGTAAATTTAAAGGGAAAGGATTTTCTTTTAGAGACTTGTCCTTTCGATAAGTATTAGGATATTACATTTTTTGGTGGCGAGATGGTTTGGTTTCGAGGTGACTTGATACCAATGATGGAGTCTGTGTAAAAAGCCGTTCTAACTTTTAGTCCGTGAACAAAATTCTATGGTGTGACCATTCAAAAGAAGCCTCTAAGGCAGTATGACCACAAGGTGCGATTGGTTTTTCAGTATTTTAAACGAGGAAATCTGGAAATTTTGTGGCAATTTTACTTTGGCCACTTCTGGACATTATCAAGTGATCGTAAAACCACTGACACGTGGTTCAACACTTGTCAACCAAAAACACAATTATTGTTGAAATGTGTATTATGCTATGTTGAATATTAAGTAATAATAAAATTCAAAATGTTGAACGACGTTGAACGAGCACGGAGATTGGTTGTATTCTGTTCAACGAGAGCTGTAGCAATTTTTGAGATCGACAAAGGCGTTTCACTCGGTTTATACTCACTCAGGATTTCGTCCGTCAGCAGCTGGGAATTTGTCCAGCCAGTTTTCATAAACGGACTGATTTTCGTCCACGGGATTTTTCACCTGAAAAAGACGAATTTTCAGCTTTATATCACAGTTTTATCTAAAATGTGCCTGAAGGATGCAAATTTACAGCGTCCCCAACACTGGCATTCAGCCAAAACTAGCTTTTCTGTCCCGCGTACACGCAATGTGGCTTCAAATTTAGTTTTCTCCTTTTTCAAGGTGTTCTCCTGGGTCAAAGACGAACAATACCCTGAACATTTCATGGCTCCCTGCCCTAATACAAAAATGCAAGGTGATGCTGGTGTTGATAGAAAGGGACGACGGCGACGATCATTATAATGATAATGACGATGTTGATGTTCATAATGATGAAGGCGATGATGAGAATAATGATGATGATGATGGTGATGATGATGATGATGATGATGATGATGATGATGATGATGATGAGAATAATGATGATGATGATGATGATGATGATGATGATGACGATGATGATGATGATGATGATGATGATGATGATGATGAGAATAATGATGATGATGATGATGATGATGATGATGATGATGAGGATGATGATGATGATGGTGATGATGATGATGATGATGATGATGATGAGAATAATGATGATGATGATGATGAGAATAATGATGATGATGATGATGATGGTGATGATGATGGTGATGATGATGATGATGATGAAGCTGATGCTGCTGATTATTATTATTATTATTACGATGGCGATGGCGATGATGATGATGATGATGTAGATGACGATGCTTGACTGCAATGCATATTAAATCACAAAGTCATACATCACCTGTTTTGAAGCATTGTATAGTACTTGATGAAGAAGAGGACTCGCACGGACAAACAGGCTGTAATTTCCTAAAAAAAAGCAGAATACGGGATACATGTAATATCAACACAAAAAAGCTTGGGTAAACTACAAAATAGCTCGACAATTTGTATTCTCATGGTTAGCAGTGACACGGTTACACATTCGTATATGTAAGCAAAAGTTGACAGAACTTACTCCAAATATTTTTTTGTGATGTGACCTAATTCTATTTGACTTGGTTTCACTGCCACAGCCACGGGGTGATTTATCAGTGCTAATAGATATAGGAGCCAAAATGGCCGAGTGGTCAGCTAGTCGGGACTCGCAATCCACGGTCCCGCGGTTTCGAGTCTCGCTAAAACCACCGGGTGGATTTGTTTCTCGGTCATCTACAGTTTAAAATCTTCGGTTATGCTTGTAAATAGCCAACAGGTTTGCCTCAGGGTTTCTAATCCTGTTGTGCGCTCTTTGTATCATTTGCTTTCGATTATTTCAGTGGAGTTCCCGTTAACAAGTTAGAGCAACTAAATGCACTTCCACTAGAAACAAAACATCATTCTATATCAAGTGCACGATTTAATATAAAATATTCTAAGCTCAGCAGCTTTAAGGAAAGTATAAACATTTTTAGGTCGATCTTTACAACAACAAATGCCCCGCCCAACGTAAAAAAAGTGCTTGTTAACAAAGTTGTCAACTGATCATTTCGAACAAAAACGGTTACATGTCTGTACCTCGTATCGGGGAATCAACATTCAAATAGGCTACAGCTCGCTGGTACAACAGATGAATGTTGTCCTGGTAACAAAAGACAAAGAAAAATATTTCACCATGAATTACAGGAAACAGGAAAAATGAAACTGAAAATCATTTACTGAATCTTTTTATCAAACCAACCAGCTCTGCTGCCCCCAACCGCACCTACTCCGTTCCCCTTGCCCCACTAAAAGAAGGTAGGGAAAACTGTTTTATGTCCTCTGACTCAAAACAAAAATGAGAGAGCGCTCGCGGTCTAAGTCATCGTGTCAACGTTTTGAAAAACCTTTGTTTTGCCGGTTCGCATTGAAACGTCAAGTCTTCGGTTTTAAAACCCACGTATGTGATCGTTCCCGAAAACACTGACCCATTTTACCAACGGATTTAGTGTATAGAATTAGATGCAAAATCAAAACGCCAAAAATGCCTGCTTTTCCGAAAAACGCATTAACATAGGCTAGGTTTAGTTTTTACGCATCCGTTCCTTGTCTGTCATGGAACGCTTCCCTCCACTTTCGTGCTTATAAGCATTGCGTGGCGAAACAAATAAATCTATGTTACGAATATATGAAATCATATATGCGAACTGCGGGGTAGAGAATAGCCTGCGTAGCAGGCGCTTGGAAGTAGTGGGCGAAAGAGAGAACGGGCGCGCGCGAGGAGACACGCGAGGTCACCCCTCGTGTGTCTCCCTCTCGTGCGCCCGTTTTTTCTGGTGCCCACTACTTCCAAGCGCCTGCTACGCAGGCTAGGCAGAGAACTATATGAAAGAAGATTATCGCAGTCACATGATAGACGCAACTTTTGCACTTGCCAAAAGAAAGCCTGCAAAAGTTTAGGCTTGTACGGGATTCGAACCCTTAACCTCTGTGATACAGCGCTCTACCAATTGAGCTAACAAGCCAACTGGGAGCAGGTCGTTGAATTGGTAAATCTGGCAGCAAAATGTTTTGAGTTTACGATCTGTTTAGAGTCTTACAGACCTCAACCCACTCAGTAGATCCCAAAAGGCCATACTCTTCACCTCCCCAACTGCACAGAACAATTGACCGGCGTGGTCTCCACCCTAAAAAAAAAAAAGGAAAAAAGAGTGTTACAAACCATCTTCATAGAAAAAAACATACATTTTGAGCAACTCAGGAACAAATCGTCGAATACAATATAAAAAGTAAATATCCTGAAGATTACTCGACCGTCGATAAAGTAGGACGTGAAAAACGTTTAGCATGGAAATCCTGTTTCGTGTAGAATTAATCACCTCCTCATTTCTTATCCAATCTCCAAGCAAGCGCGAGTAGACGCTTTTAAGAGCGTTCTTGTTGCCAAGCAGAAGGAGCAACGTGATAAATATCGACACGTGAACAAAGCTGAGCTTTCCTATTTCCCGGAGCCATATCTTCTCTTAAAAGGACTGAAAACCGCAAACATAATTTAAAAAAAGTTTGTTTCCTACCTTGTTTGTACTTTTGTCCAAGGGCCTTTGCAACTTCCATCATACAAGCAGTTCCACTGGAAGGATCAATACCACCAAACACCCAGGCATCACGGTGATTACCAATCAAAACTAATCTGTCTATGAAATAACAGGAGTAGTTAAAATAAATCAACTGCAGCGGCTATAAGCTATACGGTATAGTGTGAACACAGCCATAAAGTAGAGTTGTCCGAAATGCTGAGTTACAAATAAGTTGCCCGTGCTCAACAACATTCTAACAGTCATATCCTAAAATAAATACTTTTGCGCGTTCTTCGCCTTGACCATCAAGGCTTAAAGAACGAGATATAATGACTTATTCAACGCGCTAGTTTCATCTCGTCAAGGCACGGTTAAAGTACCAGATAAACTGCAAACTTAACTCGCTTGTTTCGCCTCATAGCTTTAAAGAACGAGACGTTTCTCTCTGTATTACACTCGACTAAAATTTCGGGTGACATAACTCAGGATCTCGGACGACATAACTATAAACTTTGGGCGACATAACTCTAGTTCGATGACTTTCGGGCGACTTGAACTGTTACATCGGTAGCACAGGAGAAGAGCATGCACAGGAAGACCCACCTGGTTCGACAGATTTACTTTAACAAAACTGCAATCACGCTATAGTATGCACAGGGCACCCACCTGGTTCAACAGATCCCCTACAGACCAATCTATTCACGTTATAATATGCACAGGGAAACCCACCTGGTTCAACAGATCCCCTTAAAACAGCAATGACGTTGTAGATATCTCGTCTTGTGTGGTTGTTATTTGTTTCCACTTCAACTTTCCTAATGGACAAAACAGAACAACAAACACGAACTGAGAACTCTTTATTAACATATAGAGTGTACAAAGCTGTATAAAAAAGCCAAATGCAACAGCTGACTGTCTTGAAAATATCTGCCTGTTTTCTGGCAGTTTCAAGACATTAATGTCCATTTTTCCAGCAAAAATTCCATAATTCAAGATTCAAAATCAAGTTGATTCTTTATGAGTTCAGCAATTGACACTAGTTTAAGATTAAGAAAACGTTTTGCCATGTTTGTGAATTCTGTAAAGACAGCTCTTGCCACGTAATTCTTAGCACAACATGCGCTGTTTTTCATCCACGAATGGCAGGGGCAGATCCAGGATTTTTTTTAGGAGGGGGTGCACTCGTCCCTGGCTCTACTTCAACACCAATAAACCACATAGTTTTTTTTTTTGCAGAATACCAGTTGTATAAGAAAACCACAGGTCATCTCAGGGGTGGGGGGGGGGCACACCCCCTGCACCCTCCCCCTAGATCCGCCCCTGAATGGAGTAATACTAATGTCAAATCGGCTTTTACTGGTTGTCTTTCTGATGGGCTGAGATCATGCCATATTTACCTGTATTTACTACAATTACAATTATCATAATGCTAAATTATTTTAAGAAGTGTCTCCTCCGGTTTAAAGAGAATATTATGGTTGCTTATAAAAATATCAAATTAATACTACTATGTTAATTAGTACGCGATTTTAAGAAAATTGTAAGTATTATTTACTTCATCTTGAAAAAGATATAACCAAAATTTTAAGAACAAAAACAACAATGAATATTACCAGTCTTTGTAAGGATCAATGAATCCTGGACCAAGTCGATATGTGATATTTAATCCTCCTTGCCAGTCATCTGGGGCTTTGTCACCACCCAGTCGACTAAGAAAAGAAGAAAAAGAAAAGCTCATTGATGGAGCTGAGGATCTAACAATACAGATCCATACACTGTGTTCAGCACACCACTGAAAAATCACATCTTTATCTTTCTGTTCACATTTTTCACCTAGGAAAATGGTAAATTCCCGTTACCGTAAAAGTTTTAACCTACGGATAATTCTAAATTTCCAAAATGTCTTGGGTCCTAGTTATTCATGAAAATCAATTATTACTGTAAGTTTAGATACAAAGGATAAAATGGAGAATCAACCAAGGTTAAAAAAAACCCCATCTGAATTCAATTTTGGTATATAACACACACAAGTACCTAGCCTGTTCCAGGCTTTGAGGTCTGCCGAATTGAGAAAGCATTCCTTTTTCCCGCCCCGCCAACTTTTTGCATGCCTTTCACTTTTCCATCTTCCCTACTACCTGAGAGCCTGGAACAGACTATTAAAGTACCTTTCGTGATTCCCAGCTAGTAATCTCATGAGTAGTTTTGGTTGAAGACTACAGTTGTATTCCATAACCTGTGGTTCACTATTAACTAAAAATGTGTGATTTACTACTAACAGCAGTAGAACTTCCATCATTGACCACCTCTTGTATAAAGCCACCACCTCCCACAGGCGACCACTTATTGGAAACACTCTTCAAAGTGAAACTACTACAGTTGGAACCTCTCATAAACCACCACCTCTCGCAAGCAACTGCGACCATGTTTAAAGGATAATGGCTTTAAAATTTTCCATTGTTTTTACCCACTTTTAACGACCATTTGACGCTTGGTTTCATCTCTACAAACACTGTAGTATACTCACATGTATGTGTATTTATTAATAAATTATGGGTCTGCAAAGAGCGTTTAGTGACAGCAAGAAATTAAACATATTGTAACTTGTAAATTGCATGCCATACATCTCTTCCAAATTGTAGATGTGTTCAAAACCTTTCTTAGGAAGAGACCGCCTGTAAATAAATAGTCGTAAGTGAACAACTACCATAAGCGACAATTAAAGCTTTAAATTTTGGGCATGGTAGCTTACAGAAGGTTCAACAATATAATAATTTATTAATTTTTTTACTACATGTACACTGTAGTTAATATTGAATTTTCTATAGAGAATATGATTATAATTTTGTAATTCACACCTCAAGAACTGTTCTGCATCCTCTGCAGAGATTGGGTGAGCAGGAATATGAGGCATCTTAATCAGGGCTGAGTTTTTCCTTAATACACCATCTAAAGCGAAAACAACAACATGACTATTATAATCGTAAAAAGAACCTCAAATTTAGTATGCATGAGATGTGAAGGACAATGATGAGAATCAGCCTCAAATTATACATGTATGGTCAGACTTGATAATGGCCAGCATCAAAGGAGGTGTATTATATTCCAAGAATGTCACTTTCATAATATTTTATTTTGATCAGTAGGTTACATGCAATTACATAACTCAGCTGTCAAACTTGACTGGGATGCCTATCTGATTGTTGCTAAATAAACATTCCTAAGATTATAAGGCAGTTAATCAAACCAGAACATTTCTGCTGTACCTTTGGAAGGGTATCTTGGAGTTAGTGGGTCACCAGTACCCAAAAGAATGGATCCACGCTGTACTCCTGAGCGAGGCAGCCACCAGCCATGGGGGTAGAGATCTTCATCTGGTACAGGGGCAGAATCGTGCGGGTCATTATATATTAGAATGGCTTTTGCTCCATATTTCTCAGCATTAGTCACCTGAAATAAAGGAATAAATAATGTGGAACACTTAAAAAATATCCTGCACAGTGAAATTATTAATGAGTAAAGGACTATCCTCTTTGGGGAATAAAGAAGTCCTGAAGATGGATGACAGCTTGTGAGCAAGCTCTCTAGGGCACCCTGGCAGTGGGGTGCTCCTTTCCCCGGTTGCTTGTTTAAGGGGCTAAAATACCTTGTCTCCTCTGAAGACACGCCCATATCTGACAATGACAATCTTGCCTGAGCAGTTGACTCCTTTGTCAATCAAAATCTTGAAATCACTAGGTCTTCCATAATTAACATAAACTAAGTCACCCTGGAAGTAAGAAGAAATCAAATATATCACACTGAGTCAGCAAAGAGTAAACAAATTCACACTGTACTATGATTGCATTCCTGTGGCCTACAGTGTATACTGCAATATATATTTATCGCAATTCCTGTGGCCTGTAATGTGATTGCAATTCCTGTGGCCTATAGTGTATACTGCAATATATATTTATTGCAATTCCTGTGGCCTATACTGTGATTGGAAATCGTGTGGCCTACAGTGTATACTACAATTGCAATTCCTGTGGCCTACAATATGTGTACTGCAATTCCTGTAGCCAGCAGTGTACACTGCAATTGCAATTCCCATGGCCTGTGGTGTGATAACAATTCCTTTGGCCTCTACCGTACATGTACAAAATGTATGAACTTGAGGCACATTACTGTTCAACTACAATAATCTTGAACAAGGAAAATCTTCTTTAAATGCCATTTATACTAGTTATATACAGCAATGAGATAGCCAATCAGCCAAGAGATAACTTAAATAATTCAACTGAGCGGCAAAAGGACAAAATTATTTGCTTCATTATATCCATTGATGGACCTTTAAATAGTTATATGTAAAACTTTCTTAAACATTTATATGGCATGATAATTTACAATACAATTTTTTGGACAACTGCAGGTGTCCAGACTACCCTGGTGGGGCTATACCCTCTACAATGGCTTATATAGGGAGAGTCCACCCGAAAGGGGCACCTTTTTTAGGCTTCAGGTAAATGGAAGGGTAAGTATTTCTCTTGTTGAAGTACAGTGTATATGAAGGGTAGGAAAATCTGTTGTTTTGGTTGAAAATACATGTAAAGCCCAAAAGAGCTAACAGATGCTTTTTACGGCTGTGAAAAAGTTGAGAAAATGTTCTGGTTTTGTGATTTATTTAAGACATATTTTAAAGGCAGTAAATTTACAGCAGTCAAAAGGGACTAGGTATTTGAAAGGAGTACCCTTATTGTAAATAGCAGATATACAAAAAGGGGTTCATTGTACCTGTATAAGGAGTTAGACATTGGGGTGGAGCCTCTCTGTATAAATCAGGGTATGTGTTTAGGATTTTTTTGTACTAAACAGGGTCAGGGTTTCAAACCCTCAGCGGCTCACCTATACCCCAATATTGTTCAAGTACCCCCTTCCTCCAGGGGTCTACCCCATTTTTTTCAGTAATCTTTTTTGACGCTGACTAACAAGCGCAACAATATATAAAACACTGACAAATATTAGTGGTTCTATTGTAATAGTGCCAAAAGGTTGCAGCTGTTTCTTAGCTAGAAGATTAAAATTTATTATTATTATTATTATTATCTCTATTATCACAGTCTTTGCTGGTGTTCTTTTTGTGCATCAGCCGGGCGCAAACCATGCACCTAGAGCGTCTGTCACTCACTTAAGTCAATCATTCTGTTCATACACGGAGCACCTTTCTGAGGATTCGTGCAGATCCCAGCATGCAGATCTTTTGAATCTCTTATTATTATTATTATTTCAAAAGGTTGAGTTTGATCGTCCGGATGAACGTAGTCCTGAATAGGACTGTTGTTGTTGACAGTGACTGACGTTTCGACAACCTGTGCGGTAGTCATCTTCAGAGTCAAAGTGAATTGTGTCACGTCAGTTGATGGTATTATACTCTGGTTATTGATCTGATTGGTCAATTATGTCGCGATGTTACAGTTACCAGCGCCGTACAAACGACTTATTGACGAGATCAAGCAAAACTAACTACGAGAGAACAACTGGAGAACTAACAATTTGAGTAACAATAGACGACTGTTTAACTGCGACAATAGACGAATCGAAATGCACCAATCACTGATTACGAGTCTTCATAGACAGACGACCAATAACATCGACACAGGATCAATAACATTGCGACATAATTGACCAATCAGATCAATAACCAGAGTATAATACCATCAACTGACGTGACACAACTCACTTTGACTCTGAAGATGACTACCGCACAGTTTGTCGAAACATCAGTCACTGTCAACAACAACAGTCCTATTCAGGGCTACATTCACCCGGACGATCAAACTCAACCTTTTGAAATGACTCCTGGGTTCAAACCTTTATTATTATTATTATTATTATTATTATTATTATTCACCTTTGCCTTCCCGGTGGGGGAATATGCACTAAAAGGAGGTAATGCATCTGGTGAATTTTCTGATGGTTCCACAACCTCCTCATTTTTTGCTGTTAAAAATTTAACTGTTCCATTTGCATCAAGAAGGGATGCTCCATTTATTTTTCCTTTCTCAGGGAAAGAAAGTAAAACATTGTATTTTACAAATTTTACATCAAATCCATAGCTTGTCCATTGATGTTTAATGTTTTCTGCTAGTTCTTCATTTCTGCTAGAGCTTGCGTGATGAGGCTTGAGGGTCAAGTTTCTGAAAAAAACAAATAAATAAATTTATTTATTTGTTTTATATGAATAAATTGATAATAATAATAAAACCACATGTCCACCAACACATGTACCCAAAAGTTAACTAGTACACATATATGTGTTTCAGGTCAAAATTTTTTAACCAAGGTTGATTCTCTATTTCCTTTGTACTCCTAGCCCTAATTCATCTGTCTGGGCCTGGGGTCTCTGCTGACATCTAGCATGACCGCAAGCCCCCTGGTTCTTTTCCGGCAACACTGGCTTGAACAGGGGGCTTGCCTGTGTTCAAGAGAAAACTTAGTCGGCACCTTTTAGAAAAATCACACAGATATAATATATATATATACATTTAGTAAAATCCAACTAGTAGTCTATTATCAATGCTGCATTCTGATTGGTTGAGCTACTACTAGGCTATATGTTATAGCCCAATAGCAGCGAAAAGCGCCAGCTTGTTGGAATAATAATTATTCCTCTGAAATACGTTCTACCCAGAAATTGTTAAAATATTAATATACTTGCATTCTGAGTAGAACGTATTTCATAGAGCGCTCAATTCATTTAATTGAAGAGCATTGACTGTTAATAATCACAGAAGACATACAAACTGCTGGTTAATGCAATATCAGACAAATAAATATGTATTCGCTTTTTACAGACAGAGAATTTAGATCTACATGTATTTAGTTCAAATCTAGTGCTGCAAAGTAATTCATGCTGCTACATGTATGTATTGCACTGTCTCAGAAAATATCCATGTGCCAACCACTAAATTAACAGTTTTTTCCTGTACTTTCAACCTTAAAAACAACCACTAATTAGTACTAAACTAATGAATGATCCATGAAGTTTTGCCCCTACGTGTTGTTCTGAACATGCTTAACTAAGCAATAGTAAAGACGTATTAAAAGAATAACTTATTAGGCTGAAGGGGAAACTAGAAACAGCCCCCCCCCCCCAATTACTTTATTACTTTTTCACCCCTGAAAAGAAACTGTAAGCAGTCTACCCTAGAAAGGTCCTACTCTTGAGATGCCCTACCCCACCCCTCTCCTCATCTTTTCTTCCCTTTCCCAGCTCTACCTGTGCCAAACGTTTTTTGCCTAGCCTCCGCAGCAAGGGTTTCAACGTGGTTTCGGAGCAAAGAAAGACTGAGGAACAAGATTACGCAGGCTAAACACTTCCTTAATAAATTATGTACATGTACATGTATTTCCTGGATGTACTCTACTAAAATTAATACAGACCATTAAAAATTAAGCCAGGGTTCCATTACCTTTGATAATAATTATCACAACTTCCTCTAAATCTAATAAGAGATCAATAGTAGCATATTTGTTGCTGTCGTTGCTTTTTTATTCTCATGATATATACTTCTAATGTAAAAGTTATTGTAGGTCTGGGACTTGCATAATCGATTTTGGGCTATTGCATATCTACACCCTGCCCCCCCCTGCCCCCCACCCAGATAAGGACCAATGGAATTCTTCAGGGGTACATGTACAGCTTTAAGTTATGAATTGAGGATTTCTTTAGGGTAGAGTAAAATAATATGGAATTCTTAGGGGGTGAGGCTCTAATTTTCACAAAACTTTTCCTAGGGGAACCCATATTTCATGGAAGTCTTCAGGAGTGAATATTTTGTTCAATCTTCAGGGAGTAGAAAATAGAAGTAAGTCCGCAACCGAAAAGGGAGGGGGAGGGGGGGCGGTGCTGTTAATAATATTAAAATTTATGCAATAGCCCATTTTCCGATATCAGTTGGATGATAGAAAATAGCGAGTCGGTTTTCGGTATTAAAATGCTGCAAAAAAATTAAAGAGAAACGCCCCCAGCGAAGCCAGGAGATCATTATGATAGCTTGCATATAAATCACGAAACAGCTGATCAAGCAAGCGATAAGACATCACAAAGAAATAGAAACAACCACTCAATCTGACCTGACGAACTGCATCAAACGATTAACAACAAGGTGATTTTTTTTTTACTGATAAATGTCTATTCAAGACGACAAGAAAAACCAAGGAGCTATAAACCAACCTCAAATTGAGTTCAATGTTCTCCGCGGACATATCCGCCAAGATGTCCTGAAGTCGAACGCTGAGATGCGGCGAGGACGTCGGTCGTAAGGCATCGCCATTTGTTTCACACTTCGATGACTTTGATACAGCTCTTCGCACCAAATACCCGCCAATAAATGCAGCAGCTATAAGAGCAACCACAAGTATGATTCCAGCGATGCGTACGCTGTTACATCGGTTTGAGGGCTTGCTGTTCTTCAAGATGATGGTAGGCTGAGCGAAGCTCTCCTCTTCGGGATGTAGCTCCATTTTAGTGTCAAATAAGTGCGATGTGTCTGGTTTATCCATCGGGATCAAGCTTAAGATGCAATTTCAAAGAAATTTAAATAAATCCTGGGAATTTGCAGCAAGCGCGCTGGCTGCATGCCTCCAAAACGACATATGTGTGAAATAAATGAGTGACCACGCCTTCAAAACAGATGTCCCAGTTCTCGCGGTGTGAGAGATATGTAATCCCCCTTTTCTTGAAAATCATTTAGCAAATGCTCGCATGCAACGTTTTTTTTAACTTGTTGAAGCTCAAGAGGCACAAGCAGTTTAAATAATTATATAAACCGACTTAGCATCAGTAGTTCTTTTACTTTACTTGTTTTGAGGAAAATTGGAAAGACGTCGCTCACTGCGTTTTACAAAAAGACTTCCTACAGCATCCCAATTTATTGCAGATTTCAATAGAATACAATAATATGGTATCAAAACAGTATAATGAAAGATTATTTGTATTTCGAATTCGAGATTTATTATTGTTTTAAGGTAAATTACTAGCTGAGGCAGAACACACCGACAAACCAGTGTTGATGGTATTTGCAGTTAAAAATATGCTTATACTGGAAGTGGTTGTCTTATCGCAGGACGTGAAGTTTATTGCAAATTATTTCTTTTTAATACATGTCAGATTAACCTTTTTACTAAAAAATCCCAATTTCGAATTATTTTGCTTTGCGTCAGCTTTCCGTTTGCGTACATTTGAATTAAATCCCATAGGAAAGATTAACGAAACACATTTGGCTCGAGTGCAATATAATTTTTTACAATTTAACTGTGATCAATTGTTATTTTAATTTTCTTCCAATTTGCAAACTTGTACTTGTTTACTGAGGTATATATAATTTTTTAATTAAAGCGTACAAACAGAAATAGTAAATATCAAGCGACAAAAAAGTTTCACAATGTAACTTTTAAATGAAAAGAGAAAATTTAAATTTATATTTCGCGATATTGCAATACATTTCGTCTTCCGTGGCTTCAATGGACTCACCTAATGCTTGTGACAATTTCCGGATATTAGGAAAAAGAAATTGTTCAGACTGACTTACTTTACATAGTTAATTTTGCTGTTGTCATGTCCGTTTTTATGACGTCTCTTCCTTGCTTCTTTCATTAAAACGACTCGATATATGACCGTTTATGCCCTGATAAAAAAAAAATAAAATTTTTATGACGGGTAAAAAGTCGATCACCTACAAATTTTACAAGGCGTCCCCACACTCGCTTGAGCCTGGAAACTACCAAATGCGCGCGACTTTTGATCTCGATTCCGTGAGATTTCTTCAGCGAAGGTTGCAGCTTAGCTATAGCTAATAGTGCAGGTAGGTGTGATTCTCTAAATGTTTCATGTATTTTCGAATTTCTTTGCCGTTCTAACGTTATTTACATTCAGTATTCTTTCCACTGTATTTAAGTTTCAATTTCGGAAGCAAATGACATGATCAAAACGCGACTTTCTCCCGAAATGTCAAACTGTATTTTGAAATCTGCATTGAGCTGTCGTACGCATGTGAGCTTATGCTTATACGGGACAGGTCAACGTTGTCATTCTCTGTTTCTCTAAGATTGTAAGACTTCTCTTTTGCTAGAAGTGATGTTCGTAATCAAATGGGAGTTATTTCGTTAGAAGTTGTCTGGCTTTTGCAAACTCTTGCTCTCTCACAGAAAGAAAACCCTAGCAGGCGTTTCGGTTATTGAAGCCCGCTCTAATTTATACGCAACTCAACCTTCAAACTTTAATAGTTACCCCATATCTTTGAGTCCGAATCAATTTTTGCCGGTAGTAGGGTCTTTTTCAGTGATAATAGGCGGGCAGCGAGCTACATTCCTGCTCTTAAGCCATGATATACCACCTGTACAAATGAACATAATTTTTGTGTAATAATTTTTTTTATTTATAAGCCTTAATTTTCCGCGTTAACAGAGGCCCGTCTATTCCGGGAAGGTACATAATTATTTTTCCAACAAAAACGACAAGAATGTTTATAAAAAACGCAGGTTGAGTCTTATTTAGCCATGATATTTCCAAGGAACGCCAATGTTTGTTTTCCATGAAGCTCTCCAAATTCGCAATCTCCGCCTGTACTTTAATTCAGGTGTCACTGTCACCAATTTTATGAATTTGAGGCAATTTGTTCATATCAGCCAGTCCACTAATCTTAGAAAACAGTCAACATGCATTTTGCAATGCCACCACTGGTTTCCCCGCAAAATGATGTCCGAGGAATGAGCGCAAAATCTCCTACCCAGATCTGCGTTTAACTTCCAATATTGGTTAGAAATTTGCTTCAACCAATCAGAAGCACTACCCAGATCTGGGTAAGGTACATCATCAGTATGGAATTTCTGGGCTTATTTCTGAGCCATCCTTTTGTGGGGAAACCAGTGGTAGTGCTGCAAAATGTCAACTGTTTTTGTAGACTTCAGCTCTTCTGATAAGGTGTCAAAATTAATAACTCATGTAAATGTCTGCGTAGTATTACAATGATGTTAATTAAGCTGTAGTGCTGTTCACTTTGAACAGATTAAGATAGAAATAAACGAAATTGATGGGATGCAAGATGTCCAAAAAGATGGGCAGAAAAGGCAGAACCACAAAACACAAGCAGACTATTGAAGAAACAGAGGCCACATCTGCACCTCTTCAACTTGGAGATTTTCAAAACATGAAACGTCCTCAGCTTCAAAAATTATGCAAACAGTTAGGACTTAAGGCCACAGGAAAGGTAAGAAAACATAATATTATTGTCCTCAGGATAAATGGAGTGCTCGTAATCTACAGTCACTCCTTTGCTTAAATGAATTTGTTTCTACAATCCTGGTTAAAATGTTTTCGACACTAATCGTCTTTCCTGCAAAGGAATTGCAATTCACGTTAATCCCCCCCCCCCTTCCTGGACTGTTGGTTGTTAGCAGTCAAAAACCTTTTACACATCATCAGAGATGTCACTAAGATTTCAAGTTGCTGAGTAATTGCAACAAGTAGACAGGGAAAAAAATCAGCTATAGATTTCTTGGGGTTCTATTTTTGCTATGGGCCACTTTCAAAGTAGCTGGGGGAAAACCTCAGCCCCCGACTCTTATTGTCAGCCTTGCATCATGCACACGATTATGGACCTGAACTTTGATCAGGGAGGGGGTGGGGGCAAAGAAACCTTGATATGAGTACTGCTGGTAACATTATTTTGTACCAGCAAATTGCTAACAAAAACATGTGAAGAAAGGAAAGTGTCCAAACCTTTAGGCCAAGATTGTAATGAATAGACAAGAATTTATTTTCCATTTTATAAATCTTTAATACATGTCTCTGTCTTGTGAGGGCTAGTGACCAGAAAATGGCTTGACTAGCTTCTTTGCAATGCAGTCTGCAAAATGGTTTTAGAGTGGTAAAACTACATGAAGTACAGCTGTATTATGCCAATGTGTGGCTCATTATGTGTGGCTGATTATTGTACATGTTTTCTGTCTCAAAGAATGTTGAGCTTATTGAAAGGCTTCAAGAGTACCAGAGAGAAGTTACAGTTTCTAGCAACAATAATGAAGTTTTAGGACAAGTTCCTTCATCCACAACCTCATCTGTGAAAGAAAAGGAAAATGAAAAGCAGTGTCTCATAACTGACACCTCCGAAACAGATGAAAGGCAACTCCCAATAGATAATCTTTCCAAGAACCAGGTTCAGTCATCAGGTCCACCATCATCTCCAACATCTTCCACAGAGGAAGTAGAAAATGGAAAAGAATGTCTTGACAATGTTACCTTTGAAATAGTCGATAGTAAAATTCCTACAGATGAACATGTTCATATCGGGAAGAGTGACAACTGTGCTTCAGAGGGAGCTGATGAAGAAGTGTGCTTAAACCCAATGGATAATAATGATTGTGACTTCCCAGACAGTACGTCAATAGATCACAAGGAAGAACAAAAGACTGTGACTGTCTCCAAAGCTGAGTCACATTCAGAAACAGTTCTCAGGGAATTGAACTGCAGAGTAACATTGACAGGTCTGTAACATTGTATATTGTGAGGCATGTAACAGGCCACTATACTTGTAGTCATGTGTGTTAACACTTGATAAGTTTGATTGATTGACCTGGATCAGGATCCCTTTTGCTTACAACAAGACTACTTCTGTTAGATGTGGCTAAATGTAATTTAGGCTAAAGTTAAAAGTGAGACAATGCTGGCCAGCGGTCTCCTTCACTAATCGTATGTGTGGCAGTCTTGGGGTTTAGCAGGGCCTTAGTGATTTTACAGTGCTTTTGCAGGAGTCAATCATTTTGCTCTTGTTGCTTTTGGGTGCAGTAGTTATACTTGTTTTTGTCCCCAACCCTCCCTCCTCTCTGGATGCTGTTTTGGTAAGTATCTGCACCTCTCTCCACTGAGGTTCTCAGTGTGAAGGTGCCTGGTGGGTGCCGCTCTCAGGGCTGTCATGGTTACCCTCTAAGATCGTGTGCGGCCCCTTTACCACTTCTACAGGCACCTTCCCCACAACCATCTATTGTTGATGGGTTTAACCTCCATTGGAGGAGGCAATGTGGCCTAGTGCAGTTAGAGCACCGGACTTGCTTATTTATAGGCCCCGAGTTCAAGTCTCACCCTGACTGCTAAAATGATTTGTTTACGGTAGTCCCAAATTCAAATCCTCGGCCATGCTTGTAAATAGCCAGCTGGTTTGCCTCTGGCCAGTTGGGATTACGCTGTTATGTTTAATTTGAATTAAATGTTTCAGTCATTTGCTCGGTTCCACTAGCATAAGTGCTATAAAATACTGCCAAGGGTAAATAAAAGGAATAATTATTTGTCATAATTATTATTACAATTAATATCGGATCTCTAACATTCCAGCTACCTACTGTACAGTGAACATGTATAGTATTAAACCACTAGGAAAGTTGGTCAACACAGGAGGGAGAAAACACTAGGAGAGGTGAAGATGTCTTTCCCAATTCTCTGACTGCTTAGCTTTTCAAGCAGGCTTAATTTAGCAACATTTACCTGAGACAATAAGACAGTGATACTGCTACCCATACCTTAGTGGACTAACTCCAACATTAAGAGGCTTGTAATCAAACCCCCCACCAGACCACAGGCCTTCAGGGTCTTTTGAAAACAGTGAAAGATCATGAGGGAGTTGTTAATCATACTGATTAATAGTGGAGCTCCACGAATCCGTGAAGTATGAGTGAGCGGAGCCCCATACAGTTCCCTAAGAATATTTGGTAATCTATCTATTCAAAACATTTTGGTAATCACATGACTTCACGCCCATCTCTCTGCACGACAGGAAAACCAATGTGAAATGTTAAACTTTCTAGTCAGTGTGGGAGCCTATAGCTTGTGTTTAACTGGATAATAGACATCCATTATCATGGTCAGTTGACAGTTGTCAAAACAGGCTATCTACTGACCAGAGTCACATGACTGTATTGTAGGCTCAGGTGCCAACTCATTGAAGTTATGTGTTTTCTTGAAGTATTCAGCTGACAAGTTGTTAGCTTTTAATTGATTGCAGGCTCAAGTTTTTGTTTTTCAGTCATATGGTTCTCCCCAATAGTTAAGTATAGATTCAGGATTTCTTTGCAGTGGTTTCAGTCCATTGTCTGAAGTAAATTTCAAATGCATAAACAGGAGCTTCGCTTTTAGCTCTGGCTAAATCTATGTATTATACATATACACTGTACATGTACCTGGCCGAGTGGCAACTTAAATAGTTAGGGTGCCTTTCATTTGTCAGAACTGGCCAGCCAGACCTTGGCCAGACCAATCATTGTGACTATGAAATAGGCTTTTTTGAAGAGTTCTAGCACTAGCTGAAAAACTCCTGAAGCAAACTGATCTGGTCGGATAACTTTGATTAAAAGTGAAATTCTCATTATGACAGGAATGGTGTGGCCGGTCAGTTATGGCAAATGGAAAGCACTGTTAGTCAGCAACAGCTAGCCCTGATTCAAGTTCTCTTTGTAGTGACATGTAAATTATAAATCAGCCAAATATTTTCATTTGAGTATGAATCATTAACTATTATTATATTTTATTTTAATAAATTGTAGATGCAAAACCTAATCACAACAAAGCAAAGATCAATGCCTGCACAAGGTGGTGTGTCGTGGAGGGCCTTTTAAAACAAGACATGAAGACCCAGTGGAGGAAGATTCATCTGTTAGGGGGAAAGCCTATGATTTCAAACAGTTTTGGTAAAAGAGTTCCTTTTGTGTTGGAACCCTCTGGTCTCAATGCTCCAGATGATTGTGATGATAACTACATCTGTGGTACTTGCGTCAGGGATAATGAAACAGCTTTGAGATGGAAGGGCAGTTCACGGATGGTCCACTCCACGGTCACTCAGCAGGAAGCTATAAACCAAGGTGAGGAACCATTACGTTCAATGAGCTGGTTAACATGCTTTGCTTCCTTTTTATGTGAATTTAGTTCCTGACTTTACAATGCAATGTACTTTATTTTGCAACTGAAAAAACACAGGTTACGTGTTGTGGACTGTGTAGATTTCTTTTCCCTCAGTACAGTTTGTATTTACATTGCAGTGTTCTCCTTATGAGGTGGTTAAAACTGGTAAATTTTACTGTCTGAAGCAACACTTCTTACAGCCTTCAACCACTTGAAAGTTTGCTACAATTGAATTAGTTGTTTTAAAAAATACGGAAGTTGTGATTGGATCTGATTCTCACAAGAAAATGAATGAGTCTGGAAAAGTAAAAATTAAAGTTTTATGGACCGTGCATTTTGGGAAAAGAACATTTTTCAAGACAATGGTAAAATTATTGGAATCAAACTTTTAAATGTTTGCCTAAATACTACAATCATGTTTGATTCACACAAAATAAGTCTCAAAATGAGTGAATAACATCTCAGAGAACTTACATGTAGCTCCTAAATTTCCCAGCGAGGCGGGTCCATGTCCCTTGCTTTACATCCCCCTCCCCCAGGAGAGTGCTCCATCCTCTGGCATATATTTTTTGCTTAACCCGGGCCAGGAGTGGTTTCTTACCTGCTGAGCTAAATTTAGGGAGAACACTGCATTGTAAGGAACTTTGGGTCCTTAAGTTTCCATTTGTTCCCACTCTGCTGTTTCAAGTCTTTGGTGAATGTGATTGCTGTTGATGCCTATTATATTTAATCGTTCATAACTTTTATTATTTTTGCCAAGGTGCACAAAATTTATCAGATTGTAAAGTTTATGTAACGTTGTGGAGTCGTTAATAAAATCTTTTTGTCGCAAAGCAAAAATATCATCGACGAAAAGTTTGAAGCAAAACAGTTTAAAATAACAAATTAATAATAATTATCATGTTCAAAATTACAGGGCATCCTCTTAGTAGTCATACTTGATCGAGAAACCTAATTACATGTAAATACTGTAGTTAACACTGATCTTTGAGGCCTTTTGACTAACGAAATAGGTTAAAACATGCTTGTATGGTGAGACCTACACTGTAGCAACTCTTTTCTTGCAGAATCAGAGGCAAGTGTGACATGCAGCACACCAACATCACCTAACCATAGTATTCTGACCAGCTTCTCAAGGGTGGGTTCCGTAAAGCGTAAGAGAAGTGACAATTCAAACACCTCCTTTGCCAACTCATCAGCTGATTCAGATCAGATGGACAGAAAGAGAAGGAAAGAAAGCACTATTAGATCTGGTAGCAACACTCCCGCTAGCCCTCAAGTTCGTAGAGCAAGGGGTGAAGAACTCTTACCAAGGTAAAGAAGAGTTACATGTAAGGTCAGCCTTTGAACAATCACCTAGCCTGCACTGTGCACAGGCAAGGTATTGACCAGAAATGATAAATGATGGTATAATATTACATTGTACATCAACAGTCATTACCCTTGTGAACAGTGAGGAATAGTTGTAAATTAATTTCTGTTTTCCCACTTCAGAAATCTTCACAAACCTTGGCGCCCCAGGAAGCTAACAAAGACAGCCTCACAGACTCAAGTGAAGGAGGACACAGATTTTGCTAAAAGAGTTGAGGAAATTATCAAAAACACACAGCCAGGCTCTGAAGAGGAAATGCACATGATCATGAGTTCTAAATCCAACAGGATTCAGCGTTCACCCACAAAAAAATGACACAGCAACATGCAGTTAACTTTTTTTTTTTTGCAGTGGAATAATAATTTGTTAATTATTAAGGACATTTAGATTGTTTATTTTGGAGATGATGAGCCAGCAGCTTTCTTTTTCATTTACGCTGTAATAATTTGAACTCTCTGCTTTGAGAAGAGCGAAGTCAAGTCTGTAGTGAATGTTCCATTGTTATCATGTCCAGGAAACAGGAAAAGCCTTATAATCATTATCAAAGTACTATTAACATCTCAATTCCATTTAACTTCACTCATGTACATAATTATACTCTGTTTTGTAAGAGCAAATTAATTATTCTGGACATCAATGTCCATTAAAGTAACATTAAATAATGTATTGATTATATAATTCATTATTATAACAGCATAATTATCATACTTCAAATGTATTGTTTTGAGTTACTAAGCAATTTTGGAGACTGAATTTAGAGTAGTTCTTCAAGACTACAGCTTTATTTGCTAGAATGAAAATCAAGTACAATGTGAAATAGTACAGCATGACAGAAATGACAGTATTGTCAAAGATTAAAGGCCAAATTTACATTGACTACTGCACTTGAATAATTGCTGCAGTATACATGCATGTAATAATAATTCTTTTCTGAAATTATAAATTATATGAGCATTGTGTGGAACTATTGTTGTTTTTTTTATAAACTGTTAAGTTTAAATTTAAAAATAAGGATCTATTATTGTCTTAATTAGTACAGTGCACAAGAGTGTATACTAACATTATTTAGAGGAGGTTAGTAGAAGTCCTTATTTATGTAAATGTAAGGTACAGTCATTGAGTTATTAATACCCCATGATGTAACATCCCAAAAGTCCAAATCTTTTGAGAAAGTTAAAAGGCTGAGGAGGTCACTATGGACTTTGACTCTTTGTAAAAAAATAAAAGAATGGTAAGTGATTGTGATGATGGCAATGTTAACAATGGTGGGATGAACTGAGCAAACTTAAGCTTGCCTGATCGTCTTCAATTTTGTCTTGAAACACAGGATGTTGTTACAGATCTCCAAAGTACATTATTACATTGACCATATTTACAGCTTGGGCACATTTCCTGGAAAGGGTTGGTATTGGAGCCAGCTGTTAGCTTTTGGTTATATTCATCAGGTAATCAATTTATAGTAGAACTTACCTTATTATAGGAAATTAACGCTCCATGAAATTAAGGTATTGGAAATTAACACGACTTAAATTAACGCGAATTTAATGGAAAACGACTTTTGAATAAAGAAAATTAACGCGAAAGAGAAGGTAGAATTTCATAATAAAGGAAATTAACGCAATTACGACACGGTGGTGACAACTGGAACAAATTTATGTCAACACTGGATGCAAAAACATTCAAAACTGAACAAAACTGAGCTGACATCACTTCTGACAGCGACAACGATGAAGATGAACTCGAAATATTGTAAACCTTCGCCTTAGCTTTTGTGGAAGATGAAAAATAAAGGGTAAATGCAAAGAAAGGAAGCTTGCAGTTAATGTTTTTCAGGTGTCAAGAATGTCTGGACAGGTTCCAAAATTGGGGTTAAAATACTGGAGCGCCGAAATTAACGCTGCACTTAATTAACGTCGCGGAAATTAATGCTCAACAAAATTAACACGATTTAAATTAACGCAAATTTTAACGATTCGCGTTAATTTCATGGAGCGTTAATTTCCTATAATAAGGTGAAACAAACACCTTCATATTGGAAGGAAATTGAAAGCTGCCATTCATTGGCTGCTATTTTGTCAAGGAGGCAAACTGCATAAATTACAATCAATAGCAATATTCATTCATTATTTTGCATATAAAAATTAAGTGAAAAAGTAGAGAATAACACACAATTCTTATAATTATATCAATGATATCTGATGAATTTTTATTTATTTTTTTCCTTTGAAAATTATCCTAAATTTAGGTAACAAAACCAACTTACTACTAACTTGCAATATTTATAGTTGAAGATATTTTATATTTTAAAAATGCTGGGTGTTCGATTGCAACTGCTATACAATAATTATATATAAGACTCATGATCACACTAATAAAGAAAAATAGTTTTATTCTGTGTTTCTCTTAAATGATGTAATTTCATAGAGGTTCAACTTGTAAAAAAGTAAACTCTGACTTAGAATTACATGTACTATTTTTTCTTATCAAAAGAAAAAAAGAATAATATTATAACATAAAACATTGAAAAAATGTTTTTTTCTTCTTAACAAACACTATATGATAGTCTATTATTTGCGATTTACAAAATGCATATATTCGTGGAATATTACTGAACTGTGACTTAAAGAGTTTACATAAATGTAAAATGTTTACAGTGCGTAATCTAGTTGGTACTTGCTATTACTAGCACAGATCTCCTTTTCTTACTTATTGTATCACTTTATGTACTTTCTTTTACCCAGATAATTTCTATTAAGTACTCTATCTAAACTCTTGTGTTGATATTTCTTTCTTTCAGGTAGACTACATGCAGAGGACAATGAATGTCTTAGTGTCCACAGGGAACAGGACACCCTGTTTTAAGAGAAAAAGTATTCAATTTTTTTTTTACATCTAATTGGCATGGAAGTGGAGACAAAAGTGGAATTATTTTCTTTTTGCATTGATTTAAAAATCTTTCACTTATTGGGTTTCAGTTTCTCAAATTTGATGGAGGAAGGACTTGCCCCTGGACCCCTGTAGAGGGTGGGGCCTTCTCTAGTATAGAGAGCTTTAGATTTGAGGACAAGAATGAGTACAAGTACAAGATTTGAAGAAAAAAAGACACCCCAGAAAGCTTCATTTTATTATTTTTCACCAAAACGGTTAGTATGGTTATTTAAACTGAAGGGAAGGTTAAACCCTCTTCTAATCACAAAATGATAAAACCTCTTACATTAGTTTGATAACTTGTTCCTACCACTATGACATTCTCACCAAAATGATGCTGGCTTTTGCCCACGCAATACTTAGTACTGAGAAAATCTTGTACTCGTAGTCGTCTTCGTCCTTGAATCTAAAGCTGACTCTAATAACTCTTAGACACGCACTTTTATTATACGGTATTTCCAGGCTAAAACCTTGCGGTACATAGTCCATCTGTTTTAAACATTTTCATTTACATATTTGTAGGAAATTACATTACATCATTTGGAACAGACTTTCCTCCTGGCCAGGCTGAACTTGAGTTGGGTCCAAAGCATTGCCATAATCATCAAATCCAAGGATCCTCTGCTTGTCTTTTAGGTAGGACTTGAAGTAAAAATACACACTCCCTACCTCTCTTGGCACCTTGTAGAACAACACTTCTGGGTGCTCTCCCTTGACTTCTTCCAGGGTGTTATAACTGCTTGGAGGGCGGGATAGCTCCTGTTTCAAGTTTAAGTAAAAACCAGTAATTGTTATCAAGTTATAATATTAAAGAAATGTACAAATGACATATAAGTACTTTGAACCACAGCTGTAACTTGCATTACTGTATTTATTCGAATAAGCGCCCAACCTCGAATTAGCGCCCACCTCGAATAAGTGCCCATCCTAAAGGCAGAAAAAGTTAATAAGCGCCCAGCCTCGAATAAGCGCCCACCCCCTCCTCCTCCCAATCAAAATCAAATAAGCACTCACCCCCACCACACCCACTTGAGTAAATAAATTCCAATAGGAGACTTCCCCGAGGACGGAGTTTTCTTCAGAGTATTTTACAGAAACCTTGCTTTGTTACTTCTTCGCGTTTTGTTGTTAGCATTTATTGTTTTGTTGCAAAATAAACATACTTCACTTGCTTAAAATGGTGAAAATTTAATAAGCGGCCAGCCTCGAATAAGCGCCCACCTCGAATAAGCGCCCACTCTCAAGGTCCAAAAATTTAATAAGCGCCCAGGACGGTTAATCGAATAAATACGGTATTTAGTTTGGAGGCCACTTATATAACGCAACTGCCCATTACCACCCCTGTGGATCCATGTCCCTTGTACAGATCAAGACCTCCTCATTTTTAACAGTCTAAGAAATCTTACATGTCAGCTTAACTTCCCGGGACAAGTATTGCCTTAATAGGTAGGATTCATTCAAAAACAAGTAAAAAAAAAACAAACCAAAATAAAATGATATTAACAAAGTAATAAAAAAACAAGGACAGTTGAGAACAGAGAACACTGCTTCACCAGCTTCAAACCTTTTACGGGGAAAAATTTCAAGGGGTGAAAGAAATCCCCACATAAAAAAATAACATTAACCATTGATTTTCAGTGCAGATCCTAGACCTTTTAAATTGATATCAGTGCAGAATCAGTAAGAATAAAAAATGTGGTTGTTACATGAATATATCCGAGAATTAAACTGAATCATTTCAAGTGCAGGTTTAATCTGACACTTTTATTACACTTGGTCACTGGAATACTGATTGAAGTAATGTGACGATGTACCTTGGCAATGACATTATCTGCATCCTTATTTATGGCTACAACTTTCCCATCGTGTTTGTTTTCCAGCATAACAACTTGATGAGGAGCACCTGTTTCATCAAATTCCATGACTGTATGGGTCTTGAAATAAGCTGTTGTATACAAAGAAGAGTGTGTGCTTGTTAAGTTATTGCTATAGACCTTTTCATGTTTTTTTTTTACTTTTGACATGGACAAGTTAGGGAAAATCAGTCAACACCAATAGAAAGAGGGCCTAAATATTAGTAAAATTGCCAAATTTGAAAGTGATACATCCTAACCGACTGAAGATGTAACTCAGCAAAGTTGGGAAAATTTACAGGTGTTTGTATTATGGGGGGTGCAAGTTTGTGCCCCCCACCATACAGACCTCTGTAAAATTTTGCGACTTTGAGGAGCTAAATCTTCGTTCGATTTCAACAAATCACTTTCAACCTTGCTAATTTTAACTTTTCTACGCCCACAAAGGATTATTAAGTTTAAAATCACCTTTTAATACTTAATTAATATTGCAAATCTCCAAAATGTTGATCGATGTTACTTGGTTAACTAGCTTTTATCCAAGCAAAAATGTTAGTTTTAAGGACACTATTCAAATTTCAATTAAAATTCCGTATGTTACACAAGTTTGCCTCAGTATTGTGCTGCAAGTCTGTTAAAATTTCAAGCACTATGTAGGCTTACAAAACTAGGGGTACCTTTCGGCAAGTGCCAACGAGGCGAATTCGTTTATCTTTTGTGGAATGTGCCTATCCAGATCTTCGCGGTTTGTTGCATAATTTTAGAGGTTTACAATGGATTTTCCAATAGAAAAGGATGGCACTTAACTTTAGAAAAAAAACTTGGGTACATTCTAGGCTTTCACTTCTATTAAAAAATAACAACATTGCTTGAAGCTTTGTTGTCTTTGTTGGTAAATTGGTGTAAGTTAGCACTTATATCTAACTATAAACGTTAGAAAGTAAAATACAGTTCAAGTGAGGCCTTTGACTGCTAAAATTAAAAATTAAAATTAAATTCTGAGCTTTCGCCGATCAACGGTGTCATCAGGGATAACAAAAATATTCCACATGGTAATATACATATGAAAAAATTGGTATAAGCAAAATGCGTGAAAAGCCCAAGAATGGGGCAGAATGTATCCGGAGGTATAAAAATATAAACCTGAATAAAACACAAAGATCTAATGAGTGGTTGGCACAGAACAAAGAGTCTCTCGAAAGGAAAAATGATTCATAATGATGATCTTTCAAACAAACGGTCCGCAAATTCATTGCATCCCTCATGGTAGTTTAGGGCTGTCTTCAATGTAAATTGAGCTGCAAAAAGACATGCTGGTTGACACAAATCTCTACAAAGGCAAAAAATAATAACTTCTAAAAAACAAAAGGTCCTCAAATGTGTTGCATTCCTCACAGGAGGTGAGAACTGGCTTAATGTAAATCAAACTGCAAAGAACACGCTGGTTCTGATAAACGTTTTGAGAATACAAGCCTATTCCTTGATTAACTACCGCATAGAATTCAATTTACAAAGGAAAAGATAATACTGAAAACCCTGTTTCTGAGTTGAGAAGAGAACACGCTACCTCAATGGGGTAAATCAAGCTGCGAAGAATAAGCTGGTTTTGACAAAAATTGGAGCGTAAAAGCCTATTCCTTGATAACTGCTGCTTTAAGCGAAATTTATAAAGCAAACCAGAGCACCAATAGCCCTTTCAAACTAGAAATCGTATTAAAGCTAGTGCTTGCTCACCTGTTAATGCCTCTTAAACAGAAAATGAACAGCTGTACACAATTTTGAACCAAGAGTTGTAAATACATGATCATGATATCACTGCCCAAATATAGGGTCTCACTTACACCCAAATATGATCAAAAATGTAAATTTTAGAGGGTTCCACAGAATTTGATGGTTTTTGCCTACGTTGTGCGGGATTATGAATCTGCCATGGAGGCAATCTCACTTCTTTAGCCCAGTTGCTTCGTTGGCAGTCAGGCAAGGTTTTATTTTCAGGACACACATCACTTTCTTTTGTTTGAAACCAATATCATACAAAATTTTCCCAAGTAATGCAGTCATGGCACTTTTAAAATCTCTTCTTGTTAAAGCTATCAAAGTTAGAACATACTTCTCTGGTTGGTGCTCATTGCATTTGTGCGAACATCTCTGCCATCCACCTGCATATAGTGTCCGTTGATTGGGCCATCTTGATTTAGAGACACAAGCTGTTGATTATCTCTCGTATAAATCTCCCTGTCTTTGGTATCAACAATTTTTACTCCATCAGCACTCTTTGAACATAGAAAATATTGGACATTGTTAATATGTATTAAAAACATGTATTTCCCCTGTTAATACTTTGTTGAATACATGGAAAATTTCTCCACCCCCTAACTCATGCCCCCTGCGGGTTACCGGGTAGAGACGGCTGCCTTAATCCACTTATGGGGTTACCCCTAGGGTACCCACAAAGAGCAAGGAGTATTTGTTGAGATTTGTCAACTGAATAATGTATTTTACCCACGTATGAGTGTGATTTAAGGAGATTACTCCCAGGGATCCGGGGGGTTCAATATGCATTGGATTCTTATCAAGAAGACCCTAAGCCTTGTTTTGAACAAGAGGCACTAGGATGTACACTTGACTGGCCTTGAGCTGAGGGACACACTAGCCAATTTTTTTTTTCCTTGGCATTTCAATGTTTCCCAAGGCATAGCATTGGAAAAAAATTGACACTTGACATCTTTGTGAGAAAAGGGGCAAGATGCTACAATGAACACTTTAACCTTAACAATATGCGTCAGCACATGATAGGAAGCATGCTCTGTGATAATTCATTACTGGGACCACAAAATTTCCACCTTTCGGGCTAAGCTAATTGCATGCTCCAAACGGATTTGCTAGGATTAAAGTACATCAATTTGCTTGTATTATAATTTTTTAAATCTCTTTTCTAAAACCATTTTGTCAATGCCAGTTCTCTTCCCTTCAGTTTATACAGCTGAACACCGACCGTGAAATCATTTTACCACGGTAGACTTACATTAAATTTCTGTTTCGAATGAAGCATGTTCGATTGCTATCAAATGAACATAACCTCAATTAACTAAAGATATTTTACTATATTTGATACGGTTTTTTAAAGTTCTAAAAAAGGAAGCTTTTCGGCATTAAAGACCTTGCCGAAACCTAATATTCAAGGTAACGAAACACGCCAGTTGGCAGGATCGAAATTTATGCTGAGGTTCGCATTTAAAATTTGCGCAAAATGATTGAGATTTCCTAGAGCTTAAAGTGAATTAATGAAAAAAGGGCCACAAGTTACCTCCATTTTCTTGCCTTGGTCGTTGTCCTGGTTTTGTTCCGTCTGTCTTTGATCTTAAACACTTCAAGTTCAACTTGCTACATGTCTTGAAACGTGGCCGAGGACTTTTTATACCTCTATTTAAGGAGTGTCTCGATTTTCCCCGAAACTGTCAAATTACGTCATACAAGTGACCCTCACCCTTTCGCTTCCGATTTATGATTGCTTTTGTTTCGAAAGTAGAGCAATTATTCGCCATGGGTTTAATCAGTCAACAAAAGCAACAGGGCGAGCCTGCCTTTTTTTTTTCAAAAAATTTTCCGCTTCCGGTTCATGAACTGGATGTGACTATTGCGTGACATGGCCAATTTTGAATCCCTTTCGTCGTGTGACACAATCCAAAGCTTATTTTAGATTCCTGGATACATTATTAATTAAATTTTAAACACCAGTTGGATAGTTTTAAAATAATTTTTGTGCAATAATATTATGCAAACATTTACTTCCAATTTCCTTCTCTTGCGTTTCTTTCCGCTTTCACTTGAATATTCCTGTCGTAATAGGGGGCGTGCAATTGAGGTTTCGTTTACTTTTTCAGAATCGGAAAGAGCGTTAATTCGATCAAGCACGTTTTATGAGGAAGTTGCTATAAAAAGTATTTTACTCGATTAAAAACGTTGCATATTCGTTAAGTGTTGGGTTATGACATCCGGCCGTTTTTTTCTAGGAAACTGATCCAGGGGAGGTTTTTGGACCAAACTGAGACCCGAAGGGCAGAAAAATTTTTTTTTTTCAGACCGGCCTTCCCCCCCCCTCCACCTTATCTCAGGGTCTGGATAACCGGGGCCCCCCTTAACTGAAGGCCTGAATCCGCCACTGTGTAGGACAACGCGAATAGGTTCTAAAGCCTAGTTATTATACATCGAAACCAGTCTTTTCCAGTACTGAATTTTTACTGTTTCTGAAGATCCTCTTTTTGTCAAACTAAAAAACCTTCTGCAGGGAATAGCTCATATACACTCGTACGCTCATGTATACTCAGTACACATCGATTGGAATTTCTCGAGTGTAGCATTACTATTTTGTCTGTTTGTTGGAACAACGCAGGTATTGCTGGTTTTCAGTGTCACGCCATTCAAAATAGATCAAAATAAAAATCAAAACCGTTGAATAAAGTCCAGAATCTGAGAACTGACAGGAGGTAAATAGAAAATAAGACCCTCGCCAAGATTCAGGTCAGAGGAATATTTCGTATATGAGATATCCGAAGAAATGTTTTACCCAAATTTATAGAGATTTGTATGAAGACGCCACGCTGGTGCTCATCCGGATGGGCACCAACATGGCGGACGGAAACCAACAGAAACATCTGTTACCGAGTTTTGCTAAAAAAGCGTGAATTTATTCTTCGAGGAACTCATAAACATTAAAGTAATACTTTTTAGTAAAACTGTTTAGATAGCAAAATTCCCTGAAATGAGTCATCTTCAGTTAATCTACATGACAACTCTCTTGCCCTTCATTTAAATGCTGTGTCACGCAAAAGCTTAGAAATTCAAGCGTACTCTATTGCAAAGCCAAGGACCCTTTTGAAGCGAAAACTTGTATGAAAATTTGTTTTCAGCTGCTCAGATACATCGTGAGAGTAAAATCTCGGTAGGATCGATAGTTTTGCAGTTTGAATTTTAGTGACGTCAAGGGAAAACCAACAATTGGCAGTATGGCCTAGAATTAAATTTACTTGGATCTGATCCACAAAAGTATTGCGAATTCCTGTTCGAAATTGAAATTGGAAAGGACTGTAAAGTGGAAGTGACTTTGATAATGATATCCTCTTCCGGAATTTGACAGTAAGGTGAAAGTTTTCCGCCTTGTTTGGTGAAAAGTTGAATAAATTGCGCCAACAAGATGTCGAGATGATGATGAGCCAGCACGTTTCATGTAGACATGTCATTTTTACGCACATTCTCTTGCACCTTTCCCCTGCAGTGTATCAGTGGGGTATTAGACAACAGCTGCTAATTATGATTTTGAGGCTAGTTGACACTATATCTTTTCGTGCCGACACTAAGGGGCCGACCATTTAACTCTTGAGGGTGGGGGTGGGTGATTTCTGGTCATCAAGAATTTTTTTTTCTAGCAATCTGGTGGGCAGGATATTTTTTTCCCTTTTTTTCCCATAAGCTTTCTTTTACATTTGTTCTGCATGCAATTTTTTTCTTCCGACAAGCGCTTGCAGGAAATTTTTTTTCAAAATCACCCACCCCCCCCCCCCTCAAGAGTTAAATGGTCGGCCCCTAAAGCTGTTTGGTGTAGATCGTTTCACTGTCACTCAACGAAAAAATAAATTGGAAACCGTCCAGTGGAAGAAGCCAAGAAAATGAAATGTTATAAAAGACTAATATATAAACAATTTGTCCAAGTCTCAGGTCTTTGTGGCCCACAGTTTCTGAGTTATTTGTCGAAACGTTTCACGCACCTTTGTAGAGATTTGTATGGAGACGCCATATTGGTGCACCGTTTTGGTGCACCAAAATATGGCCGCCGGAAATCAACAAAAACATGTGAAGTTCACTATTTCTATAATAGCTCTTTCTTTTTCACTCGAGAACTAGCATACGTGCGAATAAACATATCTTTTTTTTTTCAACGAGACAACATTCCTATTTTGGTGTCACGCACTGAGAAAACTCGGAAGTTCAAATTGCTGTATTTTCGAAATGAAACACGTTAAGGGAATGGGAACTTGTACAAAGATTTACCTTTTGTTTATCTTTAACCTAGTGTAAATAAGAATTCGTAAAACCTCGCTATTTTGACTTTACAATTTGGTGACGCCACTGTGAAAACCATCTGTAGTATAAAAAACCTATCTAAGAAGTAACTCTCCACTTTAGAGATCCGTGCGGCGCGGCACAGCTTCGCAACGAAATCACCGTGTTTATGTGTGCGAACCGAGACCCAATCCGGTACGATTTTCGTGCCCGCGCAAAAGCTATCCGATATAGTCTGAACATAACCTGACTAGACTACGAGTAGTCCTCATTTTTCCTCAGGGACAGTAGGGGAGCGAAACGCGAGCACGCGTGAAAATCACCCCACGCGAGAAAGGCGAGACGCGGCGGGGAGAGAGAAATCACGAGCGCTAGCATTCCTCAGGGACAATGGGGACTACTCGTAGTCTACTACAACCTGACATTCAAAAACATGAACAACTGCTCTTATATCAAAATCTAGCCTAGTGCTTGCATAATCTTGTAATATCCAATAGTAATTTTGCGCTTTAAATCTAAAAAGTTCTTGTCCATAATTATGACTCCATGACTCATTAACGCAAAATAGGTCTTTGACATGTGCATACGCGAATTGAACTTCGTAAGTGAAAAGTGTTTTTTAAAAAATATGCCGCAATAATATTGTTTAAATGCAATTGGTAATTGCTGATATTTAACATAGGAAAAGCTTTTTTCTGAGAGCACTCATAAGCGATCTCAATTACTTTATCACTGACAAGGTGGCTTTAAGTTTCCTTGTCCGAAAGTATTAAGCTGCTGATAGATACCAACTATGGACTGTGGAATATATCGTGTCGAAAGAATTTATTTAACTCGTATCAATTTAAGAAACATTTACATGATAAATAACTTTAAAAAAGTAAAAGAAATACTTAATAGACATTAATTGAGCTAACACTGATTATTTCTGACAATAACGCAGAAAAATAATATTATTTTGCATCTCTCTGAGTAAATGTCTTTTGTTTGGTATACAAGATAAGTAAAGCATCAGTAACAAGCTAAGATTATTAAACAAAGGTTAGCTTTGTTTTTAAAACGAAACACTATATAATAGTTTACAATTTAATATCAAAAAAGATCTACAAATTATACTCTTGGAGTATCAATAAAGGTGAACTCACCAAAATAATATGAATTAAGACGGAATCCACCAGGAGATTGAGTAATTTTAATTTTCAGTGCACAAAAACCTTGTACCAGAATAATTTAAAGAATACAGCATTCTTTTTTACATTTTTCAAGGGCTAAAGATGTAATTAGTCATCCGTAATAACACCAAAGAAAATTTCGTGTGAGGGCCCGAGAAAATAAATGTCAGATTTCACAAGAATTCTGAAAACACAGGTAAAATTCTGAAAAGTTCATGTGTAAGATGTCATTTTGTGAATTTGACATTTATTTTCTCAGGCTCCCATAAGACATTTTCTTTGGTGTTATAACAGCTTTAGCCCTTGAAAATGTAGAAAAGAATGTAATAGCTTTAAATTATTCTGGTACAAGTTTTTTGTCCACTGAAAATTAAAATCACTCAATTTCCTGATGGATTCTATCCGTTTTAATCGTTTGGCTTAAAATAAATCATTTGCACTTACTTTTTTCAGTTACTCTCAATTCAAATAATTATTGATAATTTATAACTGCAAAATCGTTCTTTTACCCTAATATATTAAGATTTAACGTCCTTTTCTACTTTTCCATTTCATCTGGAACTCTGGTATAAGTGTTGTTGTTTCTCTCTAGTCAGGCTCAGTGAATGGACCAATGTTTTAGCCAGGTGGGTAACTAGGTGTCCACACAGGACAACCAGTTTTTAGAGAAAAAATAATGATTGTTTTATTTTGTTTAGAAGTCGTTCGCGACAAAAAAAAAAATCACGCGGCTGCGAAGGATTTTGTAAAAGTCTAAGGTTAGGACAATTTTGGGATTTTTTATCGTAAATTTAGAAATCTCTCCCCTATGTAGCTTCCTATCTCAAGTGGAGGGCTTGCACACAAAACAAATCTAAGCATTTTTGCACGCTCCTAAGGACTGATGAGATACAAGCAAGGAAACAACTTGCCAATGCAAGAAATCGCGGTCGATTTTGTTTATCATAGACAACAGAAAATGAAGAACTTTTCACCTTAGGGACGGTAATGGCAAATTATCGGTGGAGATATTCATTGATACTTCTTTGAATGTAGTAGCGACAGTAATGACGTAGAACTTGTCGAAACTCGAACGCTATATTTTGCATGACTATTAAATCGTCGTCCCGTTTTAATAGAATAGACAAACTCGAACGCGATTTCCCGTACTGGTAAATACCACTTGGCATTGCTTTTATCCCAAAATCAGTCCCAAAGCGCATGCAAAGATGGCGGGCATCGTGAATAAGGTCTATTATCGACATGGCCTTGGTCCCGGTTGTTCAAAAGCTGGATAGTGCTAACCATCAGATAAATCACTATCAAGTGGATAGGTGATTAGGGAAACCAATTACATTATCCACTGGATAGACATTTTTCCGGTGGATCTTTTATACGACATTACTCTGGAAGGGTCTCAATTTCCTGGCCAAAACACTGCCGTACGCAGTCCAAAATGTTTTTACACAATAAACAAAAATTCTTTGCAGGAAATGACATTACATCATTTGGAACAGACTTTCGCTCTGGCCGGGCTGAACTTGAGTTGGGTCCAAAGCATTGCCGTAATCATCAAATCCAAGGATCCTCTGCTTGTCTTTAAGGTAGGACTTGAAGTAAAATTTTACGCACCCTGGCTCTCTTGGCACCTTGTAGAACAACGCTTCTGGGTGCTCTGCTCTGACTTCTTCCAGTGTGTTATAACTGCTTGGAGGGCAGGTCAGTTCCTGTTAAAAAAAAAAAAAGAAAAACCTTAAACCGTTACAGTATTAATGATATTATTCAATGATTTAAGCCAAACCGCATTCTTTCTGCTTCAGGGGCAAAACCTGGAAAGTCATGGAATTTAATCGCGGTCCTTGAAAGCCATGGAAAATTGAAGTTTTGTTTGGTAGATTAGTTACTGCAGATGACATAGCAAGGACAAAGTAAGTTACAGAGAAGTGATAGAACAGCGCAAACGGCACGCATTTAGGTTAACACCACAGTTTGTGTCTGTTGAACTGTAAAAATAACCTAGAACACAAAAGCTTTAAAAATTTGTACAAAGTGACAGCTAAATCTAAGGTCATGGAAAACTTAAAAAGGTCATGGAACAAGTCATGGAAACTTCTGGAATTCGAGGGGCTCAAAAGAGTACGAACCCTGGATAACCAATCTGCTTAAGAACGCCCAAGCAAGCAGCTCTCGCTTCTTCTTCTGCTACCGCATGCGCATAACTATTTATGCAAAACTGAGGAACCAGATTGAACTTTTGTCAGCGGTGTTACTATCTGCTCATGCGCCGAGCGCTATTTTGACAAGTTTAAAACGAGTCCAGCAGAGTAACCACGCATCCATGCATCCACACCTTTGCAAAATGTTAAAAAAAAATAACGGTCATGGAGTTCACACTGCTGGTCAAATTTTCGACCTTAGCGGCAAAAAATTTGTCCTCGATTTTGGCGATGAAATGTTCGAAGGGCTTGGCGTCTTAAATGTTTATACGTTTCCATTCTTCCTGTGTGAACAGAACACCTGACGCACGAATTTTCAATCGGTCGAGAATTTGTCCGGTGCCGCGTACCGCCCGCTCCTTTTCGAGTGTCGTAGGCAAGTAGACTAATACAGTGAAAGGTTTGAACCCAGGAGTCTTTTCATAAGCAGGTTGAGTATGATCGTCTGGGTGAACATAGTCCTGAATAGGACTGTTGTTGTTGACTCCTGACTGACGTTTCGATCACCTTTACGGTAGTCATTCTCAGAGTCGAAGCGAGTTTTATCACGTCAGTTGATGGTATTAAACTCTGGTTATAGACATGATTGGTATATTGGTCAATTAAGTCGCGATGTTTTTGATCGTCTGTCGGTTAAACCGTGATGTTATTGGCTATGAAAACTCGTAATGTTATTGGTGCGTTTCGATCCGTTTATTGTCACAATTAAACAGTCGTTTATTGTTAGTCAAATTGTCAGTTGTCCAGTCGTTCTCTCGTAGTTAGTTTTGCTTGATTCCGTCAATAAGTCGCTTGTACGGTGCCAGAAACTGTTGACTTCGATACAGGTGGGGTTTTGAGCTGCTGATTAAAGAAATGATATTGACCTTTGCAATGACAGTATCTTCATCTTTATTTATTGCTACCACGTTCCCATCTTGTTTGTTTTCCAATATGACAACTTGATGATGTGAACCCGTTGCATCATATTCTATAATCGTGTGAGTCTTGAAAAGAGCTGTTTGAAACAAAAAAGTGCATCGTTACATATATTGATATATTGTTTTTAGTTTATGAACCACCCTAAAACACTATTTTTATTCCTGTGTCAACTAAACTTTATTCCCTTTTTGGTGACTGAAGGGCAACTGAAATGCATTACGGCTTTCAATCGTACTCATCTACACTGTAATCACTGGGGTCTGGCTGAGTCACAGACAATGATTTGAATGACAATGATTTGACAATGATTTGTGCGCACCCCCTGCACCCTCCACCTAGATCCGCCCCTGTGAACGGACGACAATGCTTGTTTTCATTCTTTTATCCCTGGTAAATAGTTAGCCTGCGTCGCAGGCGGAAATTTTGGCGCGAGAAACGTTTTTACGGAGAGACTGCGAAACCGTACGCCGCGAGAATGGCGACTTTGCTGCCAAACCTCTCACACGCGCAAAAACAATTCCGCCAGCTACGCAGCCTAGTAAATAGTATAGGCCTCTAATTCACGTATTTCAAAGCTACTAAAAGCTACAGTATCAAAGTTAGAACATACTTCTTTGGTTGCTGCTTTTTGCATTTGTGAGAACAGCTCCGCCATCCACCTGCATATAGTGTCCAGCAATTGGGCCATCTTGATTTAGAGACACAAGCTGTTGATCACCTATTTCGTAAAACTCTCTGTCTTTGGCATCAAATATTCCAACAGCACTCTTTAAAAATAGGAAATAGTAATTCCTTGTTATCCACTTAAGATGTTGCTCTGTTTCTCACTGGCTCAAATCACCTGGCTTATTCTTTATAACCAGCCAGCGTTAAACCTTATTTGGAAGACGTTTGCTATAGCCAATAACATGGCGTCAATAGAGAGGAGAAGTGTGTCGTCACGTTACCATAGCAACAAAATGTTTGGATCCAAACGATAGGGAGCTTTAGCAAACGGCGACGGAAACGAGAATGCAACAAAGCGATAGGTTGTATAAGCAAAATAACAACTTTACACGTACATCACGCTTTAAAGTAGTGAATACAACAAAAAACTTTCAGTTTTTCTACACTTAGATACGGTTCTTTTCGGATCAAACACCGAAAATTTCGCCAGCATTATACAAAGTTTGGAGCATTGCGAGTTTACTTTTTTAAGTGACGTTTTTGGCTTGTTGTCATCCAGAAAGTTTGCTACCATGGCAACGTGGCGTAACCACTTCTCTCTATGGCAACCGCGAACCCTGGAGAAAATTAGGGTAAGTCATACATTATGCTCGAAAACTATACATTATGCTTTGGAGCGTTGCTCTCAAAACAACAGCATTATGCCTAAAATTATGCTCGAAAAGTAGCAGTATGCTCGACTGATCTTGGCGATATTTGATGCCCTTTTCCATGCCTGCAGACCAAAAAATACTTCCATAAGCCTGAAACACAATATCGTATCGCGTCAATTACAAATTTACAAGAAATAAACGGCAAATAATGCTCAAAAGCACTCGACATGTATTATTTCAATGGAACTCTCCGCATCCATCTTAGGACACTCTCTTATCAGTTCAATGCAGCCTAGCATGATGATGCAACGGTGCAACCAGGCCTTGAAATTAGCAACCAAGCCTTGGAATAAGTTGATTTCTTACTAAAAGCACTTGAACGTTAAAATGTTTTATAGTTACATTTATGGAAATATTAATTTTTTTAATATTATTATTCTCTTTACGCTAAAAAAATGACCATTATATCGGCATTACGCTCGATGCTCGAACTTTAGCATTATGCCCAAAATAACCCTAGAGAAAATCGATGAAAATTTCACCCGGTTTGCAAAGACAAAATAGCCAAAATTTCCCCTAAAAACAGCAAGAACAGCAAAAGTTTAATTCAACGGATGACACTGCTTTTTGAAGAATGTTAGACTAAACATCTCTTTACATCCTGAATTTGCCGAGGAAAAGGCATTTACTCCTACATGACTTTCACTCTGACAGTGTAACATGGATCCTGGATTCCAGTCGTTAGTGGGATTTTTGATTCCTTGAGTTGTTTTCGGATTCCAAACCCCTGAATTCCGGATTGCAGATTGCCCCAGATAGATAGGCAAAAACTTCCCGGATCCCGAAATCCAGATTCCGTTACACTGGGTGAAAAAACCATCGGACGGGACGGGACTGAGCGCAACTGTGGGTCCTGATGACAGGATTGAAGTACCTTATCTGGGAACCATCATTGATCTGTTTTTTACATACCGTATTTAAAAACCACTTCTTAAATAAATAAGAGTCGTGATCAAGTAATAGGTCGCGACTGATAAGCTACACGTGGTTAAAAATTGTGAATTGATAAGATAAAAAATGACTGAACATAACGGATGACATTATTTTTCTGTTAAAGCGGACATCATGTGATCAGTGGACCAATTACAACCAGGCTGTCTACAATCTACGAGACGTTTGTGTTTTAATTTTGGGTAAGCCTTTGGCCAGAATTAGAAATGAAAGGTTCATGCCCTAGTAAATCAGTATTGTAGTAATAATCTTATTAGTACAATAGACTTCAGATTTATTCTCCGTGTGTTTGGTTGCATGAGAACGATGACTAACTGAGAAATCAGTAAGTAGCGAAAAAGTATTTCTGTTTCGATCGAAGCACGTTTAATTGCTAATATAAATGAATAAGTTCATTTTATTTGATGTAATTTCGATAAGCTCGTAAACGAAGATTTTTTATTTGACGCACCCCACAGAAGGTGAAATTCTAGAAACAAAAATCCAACACTAAAGGAAAAAATGTTGCGCATATACAATAGAAATATTTTCATATGCGCATACTGAACACACGATAAGATAAAACTAAGTCGAATTAAAAGCTATCATAAAAATGCAAGGCGATTAAATTCTATGTTAAAAAAAACGTCGGTATCTTATGATGGCATGAACTTAAAAGGAATAGGCAGGGAAACGGGGTTAAATATACTTGAGCTTATATAAATTTATGGAGTTAATACATTTCGAGAGGTTACCTGCATTTTCTTGGTCTCTGTCCTGCTTTTCTCCAATTGTTATAGAACACTTCGAGTCGTACTATGCCTGGAAACGTAACCGGGCGAGCGTTTTTATCCATAATGTATCTCAATATTCTCCCGAAACTGAAAAATTGCGGCGTAGTCAAATCGATTTATTACTCGTTTCGAAAGCAAAATAATTCGCTCTAATAGTGGTTTTAAAAAATTCCGCCTCCGGCTCATGAACTTGGTGTGACAAAGGCGTGGAGAAGCGGATGACCTTTCAGTGCAAGTGATACAAAGATAATGAGTATTCCTTAAGAGGTCCATTTTAAAAATTCCAACCGAGATTCAAAACAGAAATAATGCATTTTGGCTCATTCTTGTGGTTCACTTTTTTTCAAGTTTCCTTGAACAGTTATGCAGACATTTCTCTCCAGTTTCTTCATTTATTTGTCTTTCTTTCCGCTTTTCAGTATATTACTTGATCTAGCCTTCATTTAATATTGATTTTTTGAGCAAATTCTTAACGAGACTTAGGGGCTTGAGATTTCGTTTCCTTTCGCTTCCTCAGAATCGGAAAGTGCGTAAATTTGTTAAAGCAAGTTTTACTAGGAAGTTACTGTAAGAAATCTTTCAGTTACTTGCTTAGTTAGTAATTTTAATGTTATATATGGCAACCTGACTTCACTAGTAGTGAATTTGCACAGAAAAGTTTGTTAAAGTTTGTTAAAGCAAACAAAATTAACTGACTAATAAAAATGTTAACTAATGTTAGCTATTGTTGTTCAGGCGAGTATGAAACTTGGAGATTAATCCCCTTAAATAAAGTCAGGGGCCTGACCCGGTAACGAAAAATTTTGTGAAACAAAAACGGCGGACTGGAGTCAGAGTAGTAATAACGTCATTACGTTGCTCTTTTAATTTTTTTTTTCGCTTTTATTTAAGATCCGAAGATTTTCATGTATTTTAAGCAAAACGTGCGTTTTGCTAAATCTGGTCATGTCTTTAGGTGCTTAATTCAACCCTGTTAGTGAAAAACACCTTAAACCTGATCCATTTTTGATAATCTTGTCCTTCGAGCACATGACAACGTCTTTTACCGGATATTCAGAAAGAGAAACGGTTTGAAGAAAAGATTTACACGCCCAGGAAACTGCTATATAAAACTGAATGATCTTTATACTAGCTGAAGCTTTATCACCTTGAAGCTTTCACCCGAGACGAAATTTCATCATTCACTTGTTTCGGTTTTTGACACTTTAAGCAAAATAAGGTGGTCCGCGGCCAACAGTTCGGCATATGTGCAAACAATGTCTCCCGAAAAGAGAATATTTATTTTGCATAAAAAACGTTTCATCCAAATTAGGGGTGAAATCATTTATAAGTTGTCCATAATGAAACTGTCTAGTTCTACTTAATTATAAACATACCCAGAGAGGATAACACGGCCTTAATCCCTATTTTGTAGCTGAATTGCTCTTAAATTTTAACTGCAGACGTTTTATTAGGTTTTCATACAAAAGGCCAATAGTCTAATGGAAAATCACCTCTTGTTAAAACTTAGCATAAACGCATTTAAAGGGTGTAAAAAAACATCTCGCGTTTTAGTTGCATGCAGTAATACGTAAACGTCATCTGCACAGCTGAATAAAGTTTTTTGTGGTATAAAACTGCAGAAATCAATTCCATCTTTCACCCGTTTATTTCAATGAGAAGAGGTGAAAGATCGGCCTAAGGTAAAGAAGATGTCTTTCTTCGACAAACAGATAATTCTGATACTTAAAGCTAACTTGTTAATTGAAGACAAATTCCAAAAGTATTCTTGTAGGATATGAACTACTATAATACTTCAACAAGGTGCACAGACTTCCAAAGTGTTTTTGGAATTTTCCCTTTTAATATAGGTGAACGATATATAATAAGTCAAGATAATATAGAAGTTGTTGCGTTTACAACATGCCGCATGTGCAAAGAATAACGACAGCATCATCTTTCGTACTTTTGCAGAATGGCTAGAATATCTCCTCTTGGTCTGTGTCTTTTTGCTGTCATATTCACGATCAGCGCAGCCCTGAAGCGTAAGGGTGCCATGGAGCAAATTCTTGAAGCCAACATGAATCCAGGTCAGTGGTCGGAACTGTTTATTATTATTTTTCAAATATTCCACTACCTTGCCACAGCACGATAGAATTGCTGTACCATTGTCTTAAGGGTAGCACAGGAAAGTACCCATTACACCACTGGAAAGTACAGCTCAATAGCTTTCGTTTGAGTCGCCATCGCTATGCACAAACTCAAAAGTTGCATGGAACCACACTGAGCTGCACAGTGAACAGTACGATGAAATAGTACTCACAGAAGCTTTCACTTGAATGGTTATACCTTCGGATTCCATCCAGACTCAAAAGTACCACCTTGTACAGCATAAAAACAGCACCACCGGAAAGTACTGCTCAGTAGCTTTCATTTGAATGGTCACACTTTAGGGTTTCATCCATAGACTCAAAAGTTAGAACCACCTTGTACAGCATAATAAACAGTACCACGGGAAAGTACTGCTCAGTAGCTTTCATTTGAATGGTCACACTTAAGGATTCCATCCATACACTCAAAAGTTAGAACCACCTTTCACAGCACAATAAAGAGTACGACAGGAAAGTACTACTCCGTCGCTTTCATTTGAATTGGTTACACTTTAGAATTCAATCGAAAGCAAGGCTCGAACGTAGTGACTTCGCAATAACCCTGACCCCATCCTTGGTTTCTAGTATCCTTATTTCAACGATGGTGGCCCTATATATATTGACTCCCTTTACAGATCCGCATCAAAGTCCTCCAGGAAAACATTTGTCCTTTTATCAGGGAGACATCAGACTGTCAAAGGAACAAGCTGAGAATCTTAAGAAATATGGGGACCCGTCGAAAAATTCGGCCAACTCTCGCGCGGCGAGCAGCGTGGAAAGTGAGCGGTGGCCAAACGCTGTCATTCCTTACACATTTGACTGCTCCGTAGGTAAGGCGAAGAGAAAAATGAAAATTATTATCATACATTTTTCAGCCGAACCCCTTTAATACGGACACTCAGGGAGCAATAGGAAGTGTCCGTATTAACTAGGTGTCCATATGTTGAAAAAAGGTCTACAGTTAACCTACAGTTAAAGCAGCTGTGTCACGAAATTCAGCCGAATCAGGAAATTTCAAAATGCCCGTTAAATTAAGAGAAACTTAAAAATAACCGCTTAAAACTTTAAAGGAAGGTTAAAATAACATAACAGAAACAACAGATGCCACGGATGGGCAAAACTGAAGAAGATTGTGAAAAGGATTGAAATTAGGGTTTTTGAAAACTGTTCAGCCTAACAGTTTTTCAAAGTTGATCCCTGCTGCTTGCAACTTTAAAACTAATGCTCAGGAGATATATTTGTTTGTCTCGGATCTCTGATTTTGTCATTTACATGTAATTTCTTTGCTTACCTTAAGTTCCATAGCGATTAAGGGCGAGTAATTGGCAAACGTAAACACAAGAACTGGACTACCGTGACACAGCCCCCTTAGTTTTGAAAATCAGTGTGGAAATCGGTGTGTTTGTCGTTATTTTCTTCAAAAAAATAAATGACAAAACAATTGTTAGACGCAGCTTTTGATTATTCCAGTTATAACTACTCAACGAAATATGGCGTTTCTTGTTAGCGGATAATGGGCTTCAGATTGGGACAAGAGACTAGGCAGAAAGACTCTAAAAGCTGTATGCCCAATCAAATTTCATTCTATTGATTGACTTTTTTCAATTTTAGAAAACATGGAAAGCGCTGTTCGTTCTGTCCTGAATGCTATGAAGCAGTGGGAGAGAAAAACGTGTCTTAGATTTGTGCCCAGAACCAACGAGAAAGCTTACTTGGAATTCTTTAAAGACCAAGGGTAAGTTGGTGATACAGTGATAATAAAACCTCGCTAGTTTCTCGATGTTGCGGACAGCTGCAGTAACCAAATGATCCCTATAATTTTCGGATCACTAGACTTTCAGCTAGGAAATCCGAACAGATGAAAAATTTTTAGGGGATAAAAGAATCCCTATATCTACCGTTTAAATACTAAAATACGTTCGACAACGCTATGTTTGTGTGGTTTTGAACTATATTCTCGTTGGGTGCCCCTGGATACTCGACAATATCCACATCACAAGATAAAAGCGAACCAGTAATGGTTTCTGCAATAGCAAGAAACACTTAAAACCCCCGACAAGGAATCATTAGCGTGCGAGCAAACTCTCCGGGGTGCTCTGGCGTCGGGGAGGGAAAAGGTAGGAGAGCTTTGAGCTACGTCTCTGGAATATTTGAATTCCACCTTCAATTCCCCTGTGGCTCCCCGTCAACTGAGGCATCAGGAATTTTTAGACGTTTATCAGCGAATAGACACGCTTACTCTTAAATGACAATTCCCATGTCGCACACATTAACTTTCCGTGCACTTAACCACACACACCCGCAATGGGCTACTTTCCCGATGACGTCATTTTACTACTAAGACCAGAATCCTTCAGTGTTTTTTTTTTTCTTTTGCAAATTAGGGCTTTTTTTATTTAAACCACACTGAGATTAAATATAAAAAGAAAAACGAAAATGATTCTGGTTGTAGTAGTAAACTGACGTCATCGTGCAAATGGCCCGTTGTTTCTCAGTTGCTGGGGTCATGTGGGGCATCAAGGCTACAAGACCCAGATCTCCATCGGCAGCGACTGTGATTTTACCCACGTAATGGTGCACGAGATTGGACATTCAGTTGGATTCTGGCACGAGCAGAGCAGGCCGGACCGTGACAGTTATATCACTGTCCTATGGGAGAACGTGCTGCCAGGTAAGATTGCGTTACTTTCGTTTACCATTGTGATCAAGTTTTTACTACTTAACATTACTAATATGACGTTGTGTTTCATGCCCTTTTAAATGTATTTAGATTTCATCATGAACAGAGCTTTTTTTTAACTGGCGAAAACTTTATACAGTCGACTCCTTCTTAACGGACACCTCTGTAAAACGGACACTTAGAGTTGGTCCCTGCCTTTCTTTATTCCTTTTATTTGACTCTCTATAAGACGGACACCTCTCTAAGACGGACAGCTAGTGCCGGTCCCAAAGGTGTCCGTCTTAGAGAGAGTTGACTGTAAAACTATGAAAACGTTAGCAGTACCGCGTTAAGCTCATCCAGATGTTGTTACTCTTAATCTTACTCTCCCACGCCTTTCCCACCTTTCAGGTTTGGAAGATGCCTTTGCTAAAAGGAAATGGGGCACTGAGGTGGTGGACTATGGAGTTCCTTATGATTTCGAGTCCATCATGCACTACCCTTTCACCGCTTTTTCTAAAAATGGCAAACCTACAATCCGTAATAAAGTGTCTATGAATGGAAAGGTTCCGTATGTGGAGTTAAGCGATGGAGACGCGCAGCAGACAAATGCGATGTACAAATGTAACGGTAAGATTTTGCATTACACAGCGTCGTCTCCAGGCAAATTCGCGCTATCCGAGTGAGTGGAGGAGGCTTGGAACTGATCGAGCACAAAAGTCTGGCGATAGTTTATATGCGAACATGCTTGACGGGTGACGTCACAGTCAATCTCGCCGAGGAGGACTGTTAACGAGGCTATCCTTATCTATTCCAACCACAATGCCCAGGTGGAAAATCTGGGTCATTATTCGTTTCCGGGAAACTGCCCACCCACCCCTCCCCTAAACCGACATTTTGCCCTAAGTGAGAAGTGAGTGTTAATGTTGACTTAGGGGAGGGGTAGGTGGGCAGTTTCCCAGAAACGTATCATGAAAATCTCTGTTTCATTTGTGTATTTTTCAACGAGCATTTTTTCGAGGGACTGGAAAAAATTACAGTACTTGGAGAGCGGGTGGGTTGTATTAAATGGGACAGCCCTCAGTAAAGAAAATGATCAAATGTCTCAAAGTTTGGGGCAAAACACCTTTGGTTGCAACAAGGATATATTTAATAGTGGGTTGTTTGTAAAGTTGGGTACCACAGTACCACTGGGAACTACTGGACCGTTTCATTCTGATCGTTTTTTCCCATGGCAATGGTATAGACTCCTTTAGCTTCAGAAGACTCCTATGACATCTCAAATCAGAGATCAAAAGTTCTCTGGAAAATTTCTGATTTCTTCTGTAATGTCTTTAGTTGTGATGAGGAAAAGAGCCATAGATGACTTCAGCACCTTCAAGCCAGTTCCACGTATTCAAAAGCGAAGTAAGTGTTTTCACTCGTTTTTCGTATTTTAGGGTGGCAAACGCATCACGCCGATTTTATAAGCTACACGCATCACGGAAAAATCAAATACAATAGTAACTACATAAACAAGCATTGTATTATCATTTGATCTAAGGAAATCAGAGGTCGAGGAACGAGGAAAAAGGGCAGTAATTTGGCCCCTATAACGCGTCACGGAAAATCCCTTTGCCACCCTGTTTTTGGAGTTAGCAAGTTGTTAATTTAGGGTTGTTGAATTTCAAATGGCAGAATCGAACTTAATGAGATGGGTTTTTTTTAAATGCATGATCAAGACCGGCGATCATATGGAAACGCCTGTTTACTTAATGCTGGACGACCCAGAAGATTGGGTCGGATCACAAAGTGATCCTTGCTTCGAGTGATCGAAATAGTTTGGGGAAACCTGAAGTGTATATTTAAGCCAGTTTCCGTAAATCGTTTGAAAAAATCAAGGCAATAAAAACGTACCAGATGCTGATTATAGGGAAACAAAACAGTTCTAGTTATTGCGGAATTCGAGTTAGCAGGGTAAATTTCACTGAAATTGTGATCAAGGGAAAGATAATTTAGTTCGAGTTATCGAGGTTCTACTGTATATGTACTAAAGTTTTAACTGCCTTCACCAGGTTCCGGCGTGTGCAAAGATGACGCCCCTACGCAAAACTGCCAAGAATGGAAGAAATTCAATTACTGTTCCGATAGGCCAGACGACATGTACACCTGGTGCAAAGTTACTTGCAATTTATGTAGCAGCGGTGAGTGCGCGCAACTTTCGCAATTAAACTGAATGACTTTGGCATGTAGATGCCAAGTCGCGTGTAAATGTCCCCTTAAATAAACTACATGGTGGAAAGTCTTGTGTAATCGCTGCAGCAGCGGGAAGGTACAGTTAGCTTCCATAATGAAAAAGACAACGACTTTGTTGACGCATACCTCGGGGGAAGGGGCACTAACAGGAAACTTTATAAGAGGTGTGCCGCAGAAGCCTTCAAAGTCTTAACCTATTCAACACAAAATCGTTCAATTGCCTGCCCTGTATCTAAGACAACAGACCTTTTTTCATGACCCTGATTCATTTCGTTTTGCTAACGAAAGTTCACGTAATTTTTGAAACAAACATCATGGAATCAGATTTTTGCAAGAAAAATGTCGGTACCACTCAAATGTATGACTGTTCATCACCACCCTTTAAAGGTGATGAACCAACCTTACAGGCTTTCGGTCCAGAAAGGACACCCTATTCCCTCCTTTGCAAAGTTGATTTCTAGGGCCATTCCATTAGATGGCCACCAACCTCCCCAACGCCCCCCCCTAACCCCCATGGATGAGGTAGTTTACTTTTTCCCCTTAAGAAAAAAAGATCAAAAGTATCGACACAGCGCCCCCCCCAAGTCCTTTTTTTCGTCTTCCCTTTTCGAAAAAAGGGAATTTTTTCTCAGAAATATTTCTGAGTTCAAAGGGTGCCGACACTGCCACTCCCTCAGAAATAACTTTTCTAGGCGGTGACCACCTGAGCTGGAGAAATCTCATCCAAAGGGGGGTACGGATATTAAATGGCATGGCCGTTGTTAAGTTGAGATTACAATGTTGCCAATCATGTTGCCATCGCCTATTAGCGTTTTTGTGCAAACTCTCCAAAGCGCGTGGCAAACTTCTGAAAAAAAAAAAAACGTTTTACGATAGGGTTACAGATATATTCTTCATTTACTCTAGATTCCTGCATGGATAAGAACGGTAACTGCCCAGCATGGAAGCAGTACGGACATTGCCAGAACAGCCCAGATATCATGAAAGAGCACTGTTCGTACACCTGCAACTTCTGTAATGGTAAGTGAGTCTGTTACTAGTTAACTACTTTCACTTGGTGGTTTAAGCAGCGACGCATGTCAACCGGAAGTGGACGTTTTGCACTCTTGAGCAGTGATTTTGGTTTCTTTTTTTGCTAGATCGTCTCTGTTAAAGTAAAGACATTTAGCAATACAAATTTGCAAGCGTCAAGGAATATTTTAAGGGGAAAAGGCTCACTTCCGTCGCTCAAAAAAGTTGCTGCTTAATCTCCCTATTATTCATTCAAAACTATTCTGGTTTCTTATTGTTTTACTCCCAGCCTACCTTTTATTTCATAACAATGACCAAAATTGAATGTTTTCCTGGGGTCATCCAATTATTATTAAAGAAAAAATATTCTACGAATGACGTCAATTTTCCAACAACAGATTATTCCGTGATGTGACACAAACCCATTGACGTGGTGCTTTAGCTTTTAATACTTGTCGAACTCGAAATTGTCGAAGAAAGGTACACAGAATATGAAAGATAGCAAAAAGAAGGCAAGCAAAGTAGTTAAAGGTCGTGTGATTGCTTTTACAGCTCCACCTACCGAACGTCCGACACCTCCTCCCCCTCAGACGACATCTAAGCCCTCTCCGCCAACACCATCCACCCAGCCACCTAAACCTCCTACAGGCACAGGGTCACCAACTGCAGTACCACCAACTTCCAGTCCAGCAGGAGCAACGGGTATGTACATCAATAGTCCTTAGCAGGGGGATACATAAATACGAAAAAAAATGTGCTCTATCTCATTCTGTACTGGACAAAATCTCTTTATTATATAAACGCCAATGAGATACCAGGTGAGCTTTCTCGCGAAAACTTGATATCTTCACATGTGAAAATATCACCGTTGCTATGGCTACCTAATAAATCGCGCCTTTCATACCAAAAAACTATTAAAGTGAAATGGTTTGGTATTTCATTGGTGTTTATATAGTAAATAGAACATTACGTTGCCACTTAGCGATACGAAATTTCTCTTCGAGTGTTGAAAAATATTTTACGAGTGAGCGCAGCGAACGAGTGAAATACTTTTTCAACACTCGAAGAGCAATTTCGTAACTCCGTGCGGCCGTGTAATATGCGCTATATGTCTTATTTCTAGAAATACGTGTATCGCAGAATCTCGCGAGGCTCTTGGTAGGTGACCGGTAAAGTGTTTAGGATGAGAGGGAGGATGGGGTAAATGGTGTATGACAGTGGTGATAACGGGTTTCACAAATATTGAATTTCTAGTTGTTCTTTAGTGTCCTTGTTACTACTTCGGACAATACCTCCTGAAATTATTTTGAGGACTTCCAGTTACGTCGGAATTAGTCTTTCCGCCTGCGTATCTTCAGAAATCAATAGGTCTTATCACAGTTTTCGACGCCATCTTGACGAGTAGGCAACCGCGTGAGAAATTACAGTGTTTGTATGAGAATCTAATTTCTGTAAAACGGCTCTTCTGAAAAAAATATGAACTGTAAACTAAAGCTACAGACCAAAGGATATTACTATCAAATTCTGGGGGCCGTTACCGTGCTTAAATTTCTCCAGACACTTTTTTCAGATTTTCCACATATTTGTCTGCAATATTTCCCGGGAAACGTTTACAGGCAAATGTATAGAAAATTTTAAGAAGTGGTTCTAACGCATAAAGCTGCATGTAACCACCTCAAATTTTTTCAGAAGAATCGTTAGGAGTGAAAATTTAGTTTACAATTCATATTTTTTTCAGAACAGCCGTTTTACGGAAGTTTTTGGACATTAGATTCTCATACAAACACTGTAATTTCTCACACGGTTGCCTACTCGTCAAAACCGTGATAAGGCTCATTACTTACTTATACCACAAAATTTGGGTTAAGCTCCTGTTTTGGAGTGGGTGTGTTGATGCTCTTGAGTCCCAGGGTTTCCAGTACGTATAAGGCTTGTGTATTATTGTTACAATTTTACCCTTGTGTATTACAGGTCTTCGTTGTGTTGACAAGACTGGAGGCTGCTCAGATTATTCTGCTGATGACTGCGCTAATTCAGGCTGGGTCCTGAGACATTGCCGTAAGTCCTGCAACGCCAAATGTGACAAAGCACCTCTCAAGCCTCAAGGTTTGTCATTGGACAGTTGTTGTGATAACTACATACCCTGTATGATGCAAGTAACTTTGACTATAGACAAACAAAACTTATCGAGTTTCCTCCTGTGAGGGATTGATGGTCTTTTTGCCTTTCAAATCGGGTGAGGACAAAACGTTATGCGTCAGATACTATATCAAATGCAATTTTCAATCATCCAATCTTCTTAGACTCACGCCTACAGAGTTACCTTCCCTTTTGTTGTGTATTAAATTGCGTTCAATATTCTCCAAAATGTACAATGAAGTGCTTCTTGTTAATAAAGTAAAAGCAATCCTTTAAGAAGCAATTTTGACAACTTGAGCAGTTGTTGTTTTGCTCAGTTGATGCTTTAAAATCTGCTTTTTCTTCAGGATCATGCGCAGAACCACTTGGTCTTGGCTGGGATAACAAACTTCCCGACAGCGCTTTCACCGCATCTTCAGAGCTTTCTCCTGGTAAGTTTACACACACTAAAGACTGGTTATCAAATGAATGCAACTAATGTAATAAAGATTGGCTTGCAATGCATCTATTGTAAATAAAATAACGAGCCTATTTTTGAGCATGTTAGCTTTCAGTCGTTGATCCAATTTTAAATTTATGTTACGTATTGTATCGCTATGATAATTGAAAACCTAATGTTGGATCAATTTATGTACTATTTTCTCCGCATCATTGACCGTTTTTATGCAAGAGACGTTAAGGTCTACGTTTAAGGTCTACGTTTAAGAGCAGACGACAGCAGTGATAAAAAAAAGAATTTTTCCTGACTCTTCCCAGTCAATTCTGGACAAGTTGGGCATAAATGCGTTCCAGGTTACGGTGTCCCATTTTTATACTAGACGCATACAACGTCTGAGACCCTAAAATCGTCTGTTAAGTGCGTCTGAACGACTCGCTTAAATGGAGGCTTTAAAGTCGTCAGACATTAGATGCGTCTGTCTTATTAACGGTTTTTATAATAGACGCAGAAGTCGTCCTAAAACGTCGACATTAACGTGTCTAGCATAAAAACGGCCATTCCTTATTAGATCTTTGAATGGAGCATTATACATTTCAGGGAAACTGCCCACTTACCCCTCCCCTAAGCCCACATTTTGCCCTAAGTGAGAAGTAAGTGTTAATGTTGGCTTAAGGAAGGGGTAGGTGGGAAGTTTCTCAGATATGTTTGATGATCCGATCTTCCTCATTTCATTACACTAGCTGTTTGATATTTATTGCAGGTGGTGGTTGGTGGGCGTTGGCTAGTAACGCACGTCTTTATTTTGAAGATGACTATAGTAGCAAGCGCATTGGCAGTTGGTGTGCAGTGGATAGAAACCCGCAGTGGCTGAAAATTGACTTGGGCCAGATGAAAACCATCACCGGAATCGCCACCCAAGGTTATAAACTGAAAGTCATAATTGCACTGTACACATACACTGTAAATAAAAAAGCTCTCTTTTAGCCCTAAAAGTGGGGCCATTTCGGTGAATCCAACACAGCCCTATTCTTCGGGGGGTCTAATTTGGCTTCCTTAATCAGGGCTCAAACACGGTTTAATTACCTAGGGCTGATTTGGACCCACAGGCTAAAGTGAGTTTCAGCGTGGGCGGGAACAGCTTTGATGGGGGTGTTTGGGTGTAAATTGTGCTCAAATGGCTCCCAGAGAGACTGAATCAGACTCTGGCCTGCAGAGCTGAAGTGGCACTTTCGGGCTGGAAAAGATCTTTTTAATTTACAGAGTAGGTTAAACTTGTGTTTCTCGCAGAAGTAAAAAATCTGAAGCTTGTCTGATGATCTCTGAGCTTAGTATTAACAGCAATACGCAATAGTAGGAAATCATTTATATAGCGCATCATATATATATCCTTTCAGTTCATGGCGCTTTACAATATAAAGGAGGTGTTCGTTAAAGACTTAAAAAAGAATCAATCACGTTACATGTGTAGGGTGCTTGTCTCGGGTCTTGCCTTAAAGAACGACTCATTCCAATTCAATTTAACTTATTCTTTTCTTAGGACGTGATGTGTTTACAGAACATGTTGCAAACTACGAGCTTGCCTTCAGTAACGATGGCAGCACGTGGAAGAACTACGAGGAAAATGGACGATCAAGGGTAAGATTAAGCTGGTACAAGGAACTAAACATTATATGGGCTTAGTGTCTCTTAAAACAAAATAATATTTTATCCTGTCTCAGGCTTTCCTCCCTGTTACAAAGTTGAAAATCACTCGAGCTTAAGCTTTGCAAAATTAAAGCGAGCCTTTTAAACAGCAAGCGAGGGGTTTATACTGTCGATACTAATAAGAAAATCGGAGAAGTTCAAAGGGGGTTTTAGCTGATGGTGTTGCTATCATTCACGGTTAGATTATACTTAACGTATTTTCGTATCTAGGTATTTGACGGTAACTGTGACAACTTCACACCGGTTTTAAACAGGTTTAATCCGGTTCAAGCTCGTTATGTGAAAGTGCTGCCCCATGATAATCCTTCCTCGTGGGTGTGTATGAGGGTTGAGCTGTATGGTTGTGACGCTTGAGGTAAGTTGCTTTGATACCAAATCAAGGTTGTTATTGCACTGCAACACCATAGGGGTTTCTCCAGAGAGTCTAAAGTTGAAACCGCCTTGAACAGCGCAATGAAAAGCATGCACGTAAGGAGAGTACTGCTTGGTAGCTTTTATTTGAATAGTAGTGACACCTTAAACTCTGAAGTTAGAACCACATTGTTCAGAAGAATTAAATACTAATACTGTAACAATAAATTAAGAAGCCAAATATCCTGAGCAGTAATATAAAGCCAAATTCGGAGAGTGGAAATGAGACTGCACTACATTATTTCTAAGACCTCCTAAATACCTGAATTTCTATTGCATTTTTTATTACAGAAATAACAGCAAGAGGATTTAGTGCAGCACGTGGAATAAATGAAAAGTATAAAATAATGCAGAGAAGTTTTATTAAAATTTTATTTATTTTCACTGGAAGTAAAATAAACTCGAAACTTTATGTTTGCATGGTGACGTGAAATAAATCTAAATTTAACGTGTGTACTAAGATCTTATTTTGAACCCGATAAGACAGGTCACCCCCAGGGGTAGGGGGAAAGGGTATACCCCAAGCTACAGGTATATACTTTGTAACAAGGGGATGGTCCGCCCGAAAGGGCTTCCATTTTCAAGTAGAAGAGTGTTGGGAGGATTGCACGAATTGAGGAGAAAACTAAAATGTGCATCCAAGAAAACTAATTTTTAGGTGTTCAAAACAGTCTTTAAAAGTGCCTCCATATAATCAAACGGTTGTCCATTTGAATAATTCAAAAGGCTACTGCTAGAGAAGAGCCTCTTAAAGTCGCTCAGAAAAACAACAAACTTCTGTTTTTGGTTTGTGAAAGCGTTCCCACCTTCTTTGGAGGTTTACCCTGCGATCAAAGGCCCTTCCAGATCGAAGTGTAATGGAAGTTATTACTCTCAGAAAAAATTATTTTAGGATTACTTTCATCTTTGATGCAGTGATATGTAGTATTAACTGTTCAGCACTTTTTGAAAACTTGTTTAGTGTCAGCGCTATAACTGTTATCTTCTTGCGTGTTGAATATCAGTGGTGTTCTTTTTCGTCAAAAGTGGTGTACAAAATGATATAGCTTCGTTCATCTGGGGAGAGAAAATCTTTGTTGATTACCTTGAGTACTCCCCTCCCCCTTCCCCCCTCCCACGCTGGGTAACTGAGACAAAATGAATCGTCAGTTAAGTGACTATGAAAGAGTCCATATCAAATGACCAAGAGAATAAACCACACTCTGAACAAACAGCTTTGGTGTGGGTGATGGATGAAATTACAGCACCTGCAGACTGACTACATACAGGCTACACCAAGCGCAAACAGAGTGTTCCAAAAACTATGCCAAGCCTGAATACCAATGTAAACAGAATTCGCAACCTCAATTCAGCCATCAATTAAATAATTGTTCGGAAACTTATAGGGATTAAGTATCATTACACGAGCGCACGCTGGTTATGAGAATGCTATGATGATCTCACATCTAGCTAACGGGCTTGGGTTAAAAACATGTGTCATTGAAAACAATTGATTATTAGTTAACTTACATTTAACAACAAGCATTGTTAAATGTAACCTGTTAATATATATTTCAAATTTAGAGAAAGAAGAAGACGAGTCAATGGACTCCTTATCTTGGGAATGGTGACGTGTAATGCGCTTTGGGTGCCAGATATTTTTTTTCCACTTCCCAATTCCTGATCGTTCGCGGCGAAAAAGCGCCAAAGACATGCTAGATATTTTGCCAACGGACCTTCGCAGCCAGGAAAGGTGTAATGGTGTAAATCATGCCATAGCTTCTTAGCCAATCAAAACTCTAAAATTATTGCAATTTGCTATATGTTTTAGATGTTGACAACAACATAAAACTGATTCTCAATAAGAACATATCATTTTGGAAAAAATTTTCTTGGAAATTATGTGCAATATATGTTAAGTAAAATTCACTTGAAAGTGTTTGTACTTAAAAACTAAATTTAGCTAGACTTAAAATCCCTTTGAGGACTTTAATTTATATGTAATACGCAATTTCCGATGACAGACACCGCAGGAGAAATTCTTGCCAACAATGGACCAAAGGCGACCGTATCTTTAGGCTGTACTACAACAGAAATTATTGAGATTTGCGCACTTCTCCCCCGATTACAGCTCAGATTCTACCTGTCAATAATTTTTTTTCGATTTAATTGTCAAAAAAGCAAAAAGGTGAAACACCAGCGTCTTGCATTTGATTGACGTTTGAGAAGTAATTATAATACTATTTTGTTACGATCTATAACCAGCTGCCGAGGCTCATGATGTTCAAATGACACAGTTACTCGCCAGATAGAAACTAACATTTCTTCTTAAAAACAACATTACCTGATACGTTGACAAAACCAAAAAGTAACTATTTAGACATGAAATAAGAGTTGCACGTAGAATTTCCGAAAACAATGCCTGTGGATCTTAAACACAAGCATAGTTTGAACAGCCTGTGAGTTGTTACCTGATGCCTTAGAAACCTGTGTAAATGAAAGGTACGATAAACAAATGTGAAAGGGGGACAGGGAGACTTCATAATTCAGTTCTATTGGACACCCACAAGTGATAGCCTGGCACCTTTATTAAAGAGTAAGGTAAGATCAATAGTTTGCTACGTTTCTTTCCTTTATCCTTTCATACGTTTAAGTTTAAATTAAGTTTACTTTTTAAAACATTTTAAATGATCAAAATGGCTCTCTAATAGTCATCTTATATCCCTAAATTGCCCAGAAATGCTTTAAGGGAAACTTAAGCTTCTTAAAACTACGCAAGAAAACTCCGGGAATCACAAACTCAGCTAAAATTCCCTCATGCCACTTGACAGAGAAAAGTCTTACCAATGGTAACACGTGTGTGCAATTGTATGACAACGTTCCCGAAATATACCTGACTTTTATCCCATGTTTTAAATACCGGAAAAATGAATGATAACGGAAGTTTCATTTCTACCTTTTCTGCTAGATCTTTAAATGAAATTAATAACACTGAATACCATGCCTACTCCATTCTACTCCATAAAAATCCTCACTAGTTCATCCTTTACTACAAAAATCAGCATGAATCACTTTTCATCTTTTCCTATTGTAATTTTAGTAACAGGCTTTTGCTCTTCATATAATGCATTGCGTATCTAAAGGAGCAAAATTAGTAATATTTACCCGATACAAGTCATTCGCGACATTTATTTCTAGGCCATTAATTTGTGATCTGACTTTAGATCGGTAACGGAAGTTTCATAAAAATCGCGGACACCAGTTCACTGTTGTCAAAAGCAACAAAACTGATCTGCAGTGAGAAAAGTTAGTGTAGGACTCTAATTTGAGTCTTTCCTCAGACATTGTATCGATTAGTATTCATACGATATAGCGCGACAAGCAAAAATATACGGAACATTCTATACCTACGTGCACCCTCTCTGCGGACATAGCAAAATGCATGACACATTTGACCTTGATTCCCTTAAAGCTTACTGCATACAGGATCACAAATAGGCCCTGTTGCTATGTATTTGGGCATATTTTAGGTATTTATCAGCGAAATGATTATGGGAAACGATTTGAGTCCGCAAATATTGTCATGGACACCAAAACATGGTACCTTACCCAATTAACTTGAAATGAGTGTGTAACACATTTAGTAACACACTTACATTCTACCCTATCTTTCAGATGGACGGTACATTTTTCCTTTTGTTCTTTGCCTTGTGCGCATGTACATCTTTGGTGAGGTGTGCAGAGGAACCCCAGAAGGGAGGGGCAGAGCAACGACCAGGTAAGGGAAAAGTGTCAATTAAAATATTCTTTAACCTCACCAAACAAAAATTCTCAAATAACTCTGAATAATTGCTCGTTTTACCAGAGCATAAGGTATTGGTCAGCTATATTGATGGCTGTTGGTCTTTAGGCTATTTCTGAGTTGCCCCAAACTTCTGTTTCAAAGCGAGTCTAAGTGCCAAGCTATTGGTATGAATGATTTTTGGAAGTGGCCTTTTGCGCAAAATCTCGCGATCTCACCTTAAATGACCCTGGGCCTAGCGCGACTTCCAACCAAGGGCTTTAGTTAAAAGAGCTGTGTCACGAAATTCAGCCAAATTAGGAAATATACAAAATGTGCGATAAATTAAGAGAAACATAAAAATAACCGCTTAAAACTTTAAAGGAAAGTTGAAATGACATAACAGAAACAACAGATGCCACGAATGGGCAAAACTGAAGAAGATTGAAACGGACTGAAATGAGGGTTTTTGAAAACTGTTCAGCCTAACAGTTTTTCAAAGTTATCCTGCTGCATGCATCTTCAAAAGTAATGCTCAAGAGACAAATTTGTTTGTCTCGGATCTCTGATTTTGCCATTTACATGTAATTTCTTTGCTTACTTTAAGTTCCATAGCGATTGAGGGCGAGTAATTGGAAAAATTAAAGAAAATGAACTGGACTGCCGACACAGCCCCTTTAATGGGTAAGATCATGCTGACTGGAATAAAGACCTTGTCTCAGGTTAGCCCGTGTCAGGTTCTCAGATACTAGGTAGGGGTGTCTCGAAAACAAGTTTATTGTGGATAAATAGGACGCGTGAGTGTTTTCCCATCAGTTTCACGATCTCTGCAAAATAGTATTTTGGAGCTTGGATAAGGCTAACCTCAGGTCAGATGATCTCGTCTTTTGCCGATAAAGTAAAGCTGTCTGTCTATAGTCTCTGACCTTACTGACGTCAATTAGAAGGGAAAAGAGAACACCCCCTGGCCAAAAAGTCGAAACGACAGGGCAGGTAGATTGCTTTTAAGTGCGGTATCATGGTCTATCTGTTATTGGGTTTGGGTGGGTGGAGTCAGATCACACATGGGATGAAGCAGCAGCCGATTGCTCCTTTATTTAGTGACGTCCTATCACCCCCTCAATTCAGCCATCAGCTTCGAGGGACAAAAGAATCGGAACCAGCAATTGTCCTTCTTTTAGGCACCTTCAAAATGTCTATTTTTGTATGCTCTTCTTGGCAGATTCGCACCACAGCCCAGGAGGTACGACATCTCTTTATGGTGGGGACATTCAATTCACACCGAAACAACAGGAAAACATGAAAAAGTACGGAACTCCGAACGGTCCACAAACACGAGCTGCCAGCAACGTAGACAGTGAAAGGTGGCCCAACGCTGTCATTCCTTACGTATTTGATTGCTCTGTTGGTAAGCTAAATAACTAGAAATACGTTAAGCTACATAATAAACTGTCGTCTTACTAGCTCTCTACATTTCACTTGAACAAGCATTGCAGAGACAAACATAATCCTTGTGGTATGTTACGGTCAGCTAACCAGCCGAGATGAGAGAGAGATAGATGCTTTATTGTCTTAATACCTTGCAGCCATAGGCTGAATTACGAAAGACATTACAATAAAAGGACATTACAATAAAGACATTACAATAAAAAAAGTATATAAAATATAACAATAAAAAGGTAAAAAGTATAAAATTGCTACTATAACTAACTAATTAAACACTACTAAGCGCAGAAAACGTGACTAAAAATGAAAGATTTTTTTTTTTTCTGAAGTGGTGACTGTGGTCGATAATATCAGCTTAAAAAGTTACGTATTTGTAAACCTTTTCTGGGGTACCAGATCCCCATTGTATTGGAACCTGTAAAAATAAAACAAGGTTTCTTTAAAAATTTACCCGATCGAAGAGCTTAGAAACTTCTGCGAAACATTGGTAAACCTCTTTTAGCTAAATGTCGTAGAGAGGTCAACCGTCACTTATTTCGTTTTTCTTTTGTTAGCCAACATGGAAAGCGCGGTCGCCGCAACATTGCAAGCTATGAGGATGTGGGAGAGCAAAACATGCATACGCTTTGTTGAGCGAACCACGGAGAAGGCTTATCTTGAGCTCTTCAGAGGACAAGGGTGAGTAAGAGAGTTGCAAGTGCTAGGCCCCGCCCCACCCTTCCGTATTTACTGATTCAGTTTGCTGCCATTTTCTTAAAACAATATTAGAGACCTTTAGATTTGAGTCGGAGAACGACTATGAGAACGAGATTTAATTTAAAGTTTTTTTGCGTATTATTAAAAAAAAAGACGCCCCAGAAAACTTAAGCGAATTTTGTTTTCCACCAAAAAGAGATGGTGCTGTTATCGTTATTGAAAAAGGTCGATCGCAAAATGATAAAACTTCTAACATTTGATAACTGGTTTTCACCACTACAACATTAAATAACTTCAGCAACGACGACGACGACGGCAGTGAAAACGTCGCCAAAAAACTGAATTTGCGTTCCTTCAAACTTATTATCGTCTATTTGCACTCATCCAATATGTCAAATGCAGGCGACTTTTCCTAGAGTTGAATTCTAAAGGATTTTATTCAGGTTCAAAAAGAGGAAGGAAATTTCGTCGTCGTATGTCCACGTCCTCCATAAAACGCCAAATTAGGAGGTTTCACGTCGTGGTCGTGCAGTGGACGTCTAAGAAATGCATTTGAGAGCGTGATGCACGTGCAGAACTGTTGTTTTGATCATTAAACCTATCGTTTTTTGAAGTTGTCGTTGTGTTCGTCGTCGTAGTTGCACTAAAACTAGTAGTATAATGACGACGCCTATCACGTTTTCCCGCCAAAATGAGGCTGGTCCACGCGTGCGCACTAATTGGTATTCAGAAAACCTCGTACTCGTAGTCGTTCTCGTCTGACAATCTAAAGCTCTCTATTATGTGGCAGCACGGCCTACATGTTTCTAATGTAAAGGAGGAGTGCGCCATGTTTTTTGAATCAACGCCCAGAATGTGGATCGAGTTTTTGTTTCAGTCAGTTCTCAAATGATCAATACATTCTTAAAGAAATTCAAAGCAAAAATTGAAAAAGGCAATTGAATTTCAACCCTCGTTTACGCACGGAAATTTGAATTTTTAACTCCTTTTCTTTTCGTCCCTTTTTCTCTTTTGCAAATTTTTTCGTGAAGGTATTTACTTCTGAGGACAGTGACAACGGATTGTCTTTGTTTCACCATTTTTTATTTCCAACTTTGAATCATGCTCTGATCAGTCGTTCTTTTTTGTATATTATTCTTAGTTGCTGGGGTCACGTGGGTCATCATGGCTACAAGACCCAGATCTCTATCGGCGATAACTGTGATTTCCAACACGTGATGGAACACGAGCTAGGTCACACAGTTGGATTCTGGCACGAGCAGAGCAGGCCAGATCGAGATAATTACATCAGTGTCATATGGGAAAACGTTTTAGATGGTAACTATAAGAAGAGATTTTTCCCAGTATGATAAACTCCAAATTAAACTTCCTTCTTCCATTTTGCATCGTCGAGAAAAATAAATAAGGTATTGACCTCTTCTATGATTTATAAGTGAAAATATCATATGAGAAATACAGAGTGCTTTCACGGACTATGGACCAATTTACCTCAAGACAGATGAAGTCTGACATAAATTTATCATTCTTTTTTTTTTACGAGAAATTGTATTGATTGCACCTTTTAATTTAGCCTTTTAGTCATCATCAAATATTAATAATCTCTTTATGTTAATCTTGTGTTCTACAGTAAGTTCAAATTGCATTTTGACTGTTTAGTAGTAGAAGTATACTTGCAAATTATTTGAAAGTTTTCAAAAATCCAAGTCATTAAACTTTGCTCGATTTTAAACCAGTGACGGTGAACTAGTGCTTTGGATCGAGGAAAATGTAGCAAACGCCTACACATTTAAATTCATTAGGAACACGCAGAATAAAGTCTCAAAATTAATGAAAGTTATTTCAAGATACTTTGATTGGAAGGTGTAATACCCCGGTCATTTAAACGCACCTGCAAGAAAAACCGTCTATGGCTTTTTTTTCTTTTTTTTTTCTTTTTTTTTCTTCTTCTTCTTCTTCTTCTTCTTCTTCTTCTTATTTTTTTTTTTTTTTTCAGGATTGGCAAGTGCGTTTGAAAAGCGTAAATGGAACACGGAGGTGGTAGATTTCGGAGTGCCGTACGACTTTGCCTCTATCATGCACTATCCCTTCACAGCTTTCTCCAAAAATGGCAAACCCACCATCCGCAATATTGTTGATATGCAAGGAAAAACACCTTACATTGTATTAAGTGATGGAGATGCAAGACAGACAAATGCTATGTACAAGTGCAACGGTAAGGAAATACTGCATTTGTTGTGAGTTAACACGGAAAATCCGTTGCGTTCCAAATAATTTGTAGAAATAGCCTCCCTACGAAGAGGAATTAATCTCCCACCCCACCCCTGCCAGTAGATAGAACACTAAAGCGGCTTGTATAGGATAGATGGGTAGTCGATACAAAACTTGATCAAGAAATCAAATGAATATCATGATGTTGTAGTTCAATTTTAAACTTGAACGTCGATGGGATCACCTGCAAACATAAACTAAAATAAGCCTTCGAATACAGCCGTCTGTCCTCTGTCCTCACTTCTCGCTCCTCGCCGCTAGGGGCGCTTCGGAGCGAGGAGAGACAAGGAGCGAGGACAGGCGCCTGTATTTAAAGGTCAGAACAAAATCAAAACAAGAAGACAAACTAAGTATACTTGACAAAATTAGCAAAATACTGATGCAATGACGTGTTTTATTTATTAAGTTGTCATGGCAAAGAGAGCCATTGATCGATTCAGTTCATTTAAGCCAGCGCCTCGTGTGCAGAAAAGAAGTAAGTATTACTAATAATTAGTATAGGTAATAGCATGATTTGTAGTGATATTTGGCATAAATACCACGAGTGATATTTCGAAATTGTTATACGGAATTTCACGAGCCGTCAGGCGAGTGAAATTTGAGACAATTTTGAAATATCACTAGTGGTATTTATGCCAAATATCACGTACAAATCATGCTATTAGTTGTTTATACTACTACCCGCAAGAGGTTTGTAATTTTCACATGTAGGTATTTCAAATTAAGCTGAAATACCACTGCTCTAAGCCAATCAAATTGCAGAAATTTCTCATGTAGTAGTATAAACCCTGTAAACTCTAATATCAAAATTCAAATTCTCATTCATTCTATATATTCCCTATAGAAGTAGATGGGAGAAGTTGTAAAAGTGAAAATATGGTTTATCTTCTTTGATCCAGTCCTTATTTCTCTGTATCACTATGTTTTATCTAGCAAAAATATTTCAAGGAGAAATTTGATGCTGATAACTCGTAGGACGTAACGAGTTAACTACAAATATGTTTCGTCATAATTCATTTCACACGTCTTAAGTATATTATAATCCAAACAAAAAAATGTGTTATTTGAGTAAATTTGCATTTTCTTGAATTTTATTCTAGGCTGAACTCTATTTCTGCTGCTTTCGCAGCTCCCATCTTATCTCTTTCCGGGAAGACAAACTTTTTGGAAGGGAAACGCTCATTTTCACTGTTAAACTATTCAGTCATAAACAGTGCCCAGATAAACAGTGTCCGTAAGGTGGAGTTGATGATACATGGGAGTTTGTGACTCAGGACACAGGAAAATGTCGAACCAGTGTCCGTATTAAGCGGGTAAATTGTAGAACAAATATATTAGATTTCGTAGGGACAAATGAGACTGTCCGTTACTGAGATAAGTGGGTGTCCGTAAAGAGGGGTGACTACTGTAATGACATAAAATTTAAATTTCATTATTTTTCTCAGGTAATCAGTGCACTGACAAATCAGGCAGATGTGCTTCATATAAGAAAAATGGCCTGTGTACTGCGCATGCGGATAATATGTTGTATTGGTGTCCTGTGACTTGTGATATGTGTAGTTCAGGTAAAGCTTTCAGTTGTTGTTTGCAAATGTAAATATAAAGATAAAGATATTTTATTCGTGTAGCGCTTAAATCAAATACATATTCTAAAGCGCTATATTGTTGCCGACAATAGCAAACACATAACAAATAGTACACAAAGAGAGAATAAATACAAACCAAAAGAAAATAAAGAGAGGGGTACATGAGAGTAGCAGATAACACCAATGATCAAACTTGTAGTCTTAGAATCCCCAGTTATTTTGGGCGGCATAATAAGCATTTAAAGTATTTTTTCCAAAGTCACGTCTTTCGCCATGACGTCAGCCGCCTGACGTTTTCACCTGTCTGCCTCTTGCAGAGGCTTTCCCAAGGCTTCGCGAGGAGCATGGGACAAGCGAGAAGCGTGAGAGCTGGAAACAAGCGAGAAGCGCGAGAGAGGAATGATGGGAACGAGCGCACTGCACGAGGGGGGAGTGATGGGAAGTAAAACTGGAGAAGAGAGAAAGGCGAATTTGTTAGTGGCTTCTTTTATCTCCCCTTGTCATCACTCCTTTCGCCCCCGCTTTCCTCAATAATTAACTCAAATATCCCCCTAAAAAGTGATTGCGAGCCACTGGCCACGAGGCAGCCAAAGTGTTACCCCGCCAAAACTTTCGCAGGTCATTTGGACGATGTTCAGGTCTTTTGGGTGTGCATGAGAAAAAAGGCTTATTGCTTCTGGCGTACTTTTGTAATGTAAAAACGGTTTTACTGTATGTTCTAGTTTCTTTTGTCTATAGATTCCTGCATGGACAAAAATGGCAACTGCCCTATATGGGCAAAAGACGGACACTGCCAGTCTAACCCTGAGGCCATGAAAACCAACTGCGAACACAGCTGCAAAGTCTGTGGAGGTAGGAACTGCTAGTTATGCTTGTTACGCATTATACAACAGAGAGACCGGACAAGGTTTAACTAGACTGTCCACTACCCCATTTTTCCACAAAATCGTCGGGATCGAGCCCGTTCCCTTTTTCCCTTTAAGGGTGACCTGTACTGTACTGGGGATGAGTACAAAAACTTCTTAGGTGGCAGGGGATGGTTTGGGACTTGGGGAGGCAAGAAAAATAGCGACAGCGCTCGATCTCGACGATCTTACGGAAAAACAGGGGACTATGAACAGTCTAGGATTGAAATGGGCGTTAGCAGTTTTTTCAGCATTTTGTCTTTTAGTTTGATTGAGATCTCAGATCTGTCAAAACAAAGGGAAAGCTAAGGAGTAGCTGAAATGTTGATCAATAGATCTTTGAGTTCTCACAATTTATCTGATTAAGGGAGACTAGTCAAATAGGGCAAGTTTTCCGAAATAATGAAGCTGTATATAAAGTACTAATAGCGAGCTTAGGATACGAGAATGGCGACGGCACTGAGAACGTAAAACAAAACAATAGTTTTAACAAGCCAACATCATACTTTTCTTTGCACATTTCGTTGCCGTGACTGCACTACTGCGACGTGAAAATCCCTAATTTCAACTCGTTTTGCAGCAATATTACAAAACACGTTGCACGTTTTTGTTACCCGTTTTACCGTAGCTGTAAGGTCACTAATTCCAGGGAACTTAATTTAATTTCACGTATTGTCTCTCTGGTAGGTTCTACGTCACCCCCAACCGCACCTCCAACTCAACCTCCAACCACGCAGTCACAATGTATGTAAAATCGTAATACCTCAGTGGGAAGTTGATTTTGTCACCCATATTTAAAGTTACTCTACCTGCGTCGCCATTTCTTCTCCGACTACACAGTCCACGTACATGTCAGGAGTTCATAACCCGATGCGACCAACGCCCATCTAGGACTTTGTCACGACGTTTTCACGGAGCAGTTTATTTTTATAATCACTTCACAGCACGTTTCCCGCGAACTGATGAAAGTTGACCGCTCTGTCTATGAGCCCATTCAAAAGGGAAAATAGTATTTAGGTCTCTAGGTTTTGCTGAATGATTATGCTAAATTCGCGCCAAAATAGTTCTAAAAATAGACTGGTCGGTGAAAACGGCGTGACTCGATTTCATGGAAGAGACTCACTCCGGGGTTATGGTCCCCTGTGTATATACATTTGTTATGTCTTTAAAGTTGATGTAATGTTACCTATTTCTTCTCTGGCAGGTTCTACGTTACCCCCTACCGCACCTCCGACCACCCAGTCACCATCTACTGGCCAACCATCCCCATCGCCTCCTACTGGATCCCCACCCCCACCCACTGGATCTCCAGCTCCTTCCCTGGGCACTGGTAAGACGGATTTTCTTAAGATTACTGTTACAGGGGGAGGCTAATTGAATCACTGGTGACTTCGTAGTTCCATCGTTGCCTACAGTTAAGAATAATAACAGGTATCACCTGAAGCAAATTAAATATCGCAAGAATGCGCCTTTACTGTACTTGACCATCGTCAAACCGGTTCTTCAAAGAACACTTTTTTTACATAACGACAAAACTGTTTGTCCCAAAGATGGAAAAAGTCATACAGTTAGTACCTATATAATACAAACACCTCTGTGATGTGGACAGTTGTCTTTGAGTGTCCCTTTAGTATCCGTAATTAGGTTTGTAATGACTGCAATAAGCAAATTAGCTGGTTATTTATAAAGCACTAGAACCTGAAAAGGGCGACCGAGATGAGATCTTTTTCCATACACCACTCGACCGGGCTACTTCATACTTCAGCCCTGTTAACTTCATGTTTGAACAGAGAAAACAGCCGACCGTTTCGCAACGCCACCGCATACCGCTGATTTGCAAGCCTACCCCGCTGACGTTGTTTTGGCTCGTCACGTAATTCAACGTGTGACGAAGCCCCAAGCACGTCTGCGTGGGAAGCTACTGATTTTCAAGCGAAATCATGTTTACGGAACGAGCACAGAAATTCCATGTCAATGAAGTGTTAATACCCAGATCTGGGTAGTGCTTCTGATTGGTCGTGCCGCAATGGAAATTTGCTTTAATCAATCAGAAGTACTACCCAGATCTGGGTAGTGATACGTCATCGTTATGGGGTTTCTTCCCTCGTTCCTTGGACGTTATTTCGCAGGAAAACCAGAGGCCAGGCGTCGCGAAATTTTACCTGTTTCTTATAGTAATACCGAGGCCATTTTCTGTACTAACTAGCAAAATAGAAACGCAAGACACCCTCAATTAACCGTTACAGCGCAGTGAAGTCGGTTCCCCCCTAAGGCGGCTAAGCAGTATACTAAAAGAATAATAATGTAAACTGTCAGTCAACTTTCCGATGCTGTGCGACCCTTAGAGACTCACTAGACTTAACCACACTAGCGGGCTTACCTCTTTCATGATGAATTATCGCAGGCTTAAGATGTGCAGACAAGAGAGCTAGTTGCCCCAGTTGGGCAGCGTCTGGCCAGTGTTCAAAGTCAGGATGGACCTTCAGAAACTGTCTCATCAGCTGTAAAGCAAAATGCGACAACCAGCCCATACAGCCAACAGGTTTGCGTCATAAAACTTTGCGAGAATTATAAAGAAGTATAGAGTAGAATCGCATAATTAAGTAAAATCTCGCATTCTGATTGGTTAACGAAGCGAGGTATTTAGTGTGGAATTGCGAGTTGAAAACGAGGCTAAGCGATATTGTTTCGCATCTACGTAACAACTATCGTCAAATTCTAACGCAACAACATGCAAAAAAGGTTTTCTACAATGTCATTTTAAAATGTTTTCAAAACCATTCATTGTCACTTTTTGAAGAGTTAAAAACAAACAAAAGCGTTTCTTAAAGTGAGCCGGAGGTTCTTCCTTGTTTTGAACTGAACTACAGATTCTCGAAGAGACATAAAACCTCTTTCACTCGCGACAACCAGAAAACAAGAAAATCCTGTGAACACGGCCCAGAAAATGGCAATCCAAAGTTCAACCAAACAAAACGGAGAAGCGACAACGGAGGAAGTGCCGGGGTCGATTGTCCCATATACAGAAGAAGAAATAAATACCTTCAAAGAGGACATGGCCCCTGAAAACACGAAAAAGAGTACGCCGCTTGCAATCGTCCTGAATCGTGGTACTTAGAAATGTACAAAACAGAGCTGAACTTGAACAGCATTTCTAAAACATTTCAAGGTACTTACCTTATGTCAATCGCGACGTTAAACATGTTAAACTTTCAGTGCTTTCGCTTGGACACTTCATTTCTTTCAGTTTTGCCGCCGAAGAGGTAAAAGGTGTAAATTATTTTCCTTCTCGAGCAAATGACCAATTTGAAAAAAGACGTTCTACATAAACGGCTTCTAAATTCAGTAAAATACCTCTATTTATCCTTACGATTAGTGTGAAGCTTGTTTACATGTAAAAAAGTTTGAAAACAAATGTGAAAACAAGCACAAGGTACAAAAAAAGTTGTCGAAGGTTCAAACGTGTACGACTGACCTTGCTTCCTATTCGCTAACGCAATGACAGTTCTGACAGTTGACTTTGAAATGGCTTTCTGGAGCGCGCGCTCAGGATAAAAACAAACAATATTATTGCTGTTTTCTTTTTTTTTCCTGTGATTTTTATTCAATTATACGATTCAAGGAAAATTCATTACCTGACTCGAGAATTCCACGTTAAATTGCACTTGAAAACCGATATCGCACGAATCGCGAAGCGATGAGTGCGATATCGGTTTTCGCGTGCAATTTAACGTGGAATTCCCTCGTCAGGTAATGAATTTTCCTATAAAACCGTTAACTCTCGTTTTTCTGGATCTAGTGTTTTAAAATAAATTTGAATTTGAGTTTTGCCACGTAAATTCGTTTTACAGCTCCAGTTTAAGCCACATCCAAAAAGGGTGGCCTGCGTGTTAAGAATTATTGCGTCATTGTGGCGAGAAAACTAGTCAAGTGATCTGAAAACTGAACTTTGCACGAGAGCCAGGAACCGTGTAGTCGTTCGGAGTAGTGGAGCTGGTCAAGTGTATAGATTGAGTGTAGATCATCGACATTTTTACGCGAATTGTTTTCAATGAATTCTTTGAGTGTAGAACAGAACAGAGTTCAGAATTCTAAAATATGAACTTATGAAGAAATACACTTTCAATGGAGTGAAGAATTAATGCTAAATAGAACTGGTTGTATCACACACATAATTTTGTGACACTGCGTTCGGGGATTGGTGTCTCAGTGGTGACGTCATTTCAGAAAGACCCCAAAGTTTCATTGCTTACTAGCGTGTTAACAAATGGTATCCAATACGTATGTACGTACATCGGCTGACTGTGTCCCTTTCTAGAAGACTTAGTATAGTTTTTGAACCTCGTTTGGAATAAGGAGGAAAAAACCTTTTTTTAACTTTCTATAGTAACGTCAAGATTTTAAACAAAGATTTTTTTACCAAAATTTTGTCTTCCTAAAAAAAGAACACTTTGGCATAGTTTTTCGGTCTTATCTTTTAGGTTCATGCGCAACTCCTCTTGGACTTGGCTGGGATTACAAACTGCCTGACAGTGCTTTTAGTGCTTCATCCGAAATGTCACCAGGTAAAGAATAACTCGTTTGGCTTGTTCTACCATGAAAAATGGGGGAAATCCCTCGCGGGTGAGATAGGCCCATTGTCTTTGCCGCTCGCGGAGCTTGTCTTATGATAAAAATTCCAACAAGTTTTATTACAGCCTTAAGGATAGAGACACAATACCCTTTCCTTCCCTTTTTTGACATATTTCTCCCTCTGCCCGTTGACGATTTGTCTCTTTAACCCTTTAGTCCCCAGAAGTCGTGAAAGTCAATTTCGACAAAAAATTCAGCTTTAACTTTGTCAAAATACTGAAAAACAAGTAGTATCTTATGAAAGTGCTTCTCAAGAGGTTTCATTTGAAAGGTAACACTACAGGATTTCATCCACAGACTCAAAAGTTAGAGATAGATTATGACTGCATCACAGACTCTGAAGAGTAATCGGCAAATCACTGAGACTCATTTTTATGATGAAGGTGGAGGTTGGGTTGCCGGTGCAAGGAATGCTCGTTTGTACTTCGAAGACGACCACGATCAGAAGAGAATTGGAGGCTGGTGTGCTTCCAGTAGAAATCCACAGTGGATTAAAGTGGATTTTGGCAGAGTCAAGAAGATCACTGGAATTGCTACACAAGGTGCTTGTAATATAAGACTGTGTCATGCTTTTTGAGAATTTTTGTAGAAAATGCAATTCAGTTGGTTATCCTGAGATCGCATTTTTGATTTCTCTATGTCGTTTCTGTGTATGGTGATGATACGAATTCCTTAAACCAGTCAATCCATTGTTACGTTAATCATAACCCCAACCAATAACTTCAAAACAACAAGAATAATAAAATGACGGCGATGATGATGATGATGATGATTATATTGGTAATGACGATGATGATAATGATGGTCGAAAAGTATCAAAATCTTAACAGAGAACTAATACAAATCTGTGGAGGTTGTGCCTATTGTCATCGACGCACTGGGTACATGCATTGTCGCAAACGTTTGAAAAGAGACTAGAACAAGATCAGGGTAAACGATCTACAGGATTTAGTGCAAGTTATGCACAAATAAGGTACTGGCGAACATTGGACACCTTAGGCCACGGGACGTGGCTCGATACTAACATAACGATGAACAGGATAGTGATGATAATGACGATAGCGATAATCCTTGAGCTACAGACAAAACAAAATGAAAAATAATAGTCATTTATTGTTTATTGTGTATTCACCCATCACCTCAGATCATTCCCTGCTCCTTAATTTAATTTATTGCCTCCAGCAAATTAAAGACGCTGTGACTTCATTCGGCATGTATGGTCAGTGGAGATGAATAAATGTTCACTCACACATGCTTTGATTACTGAACCTGTAGCTATACCTTCTTCCTTCTGTCAGGTCGCGATGTTTTCTATGAGCACGTGAAGAAGTATGAGCTGGAATTTAGCACCGACGGTGTGTCTTGGCAACCATACCAGGAGGGTGGGGCGAAAAAGGTAAATTTGTGTCCCTTATATAGTTAGGGGGTTAGGGGGAGGGAGCCCGGGAGATTAGGTGCCGAGGAGGTATAAGAAGCGAGAGAGCAAAGGGCGGGAGGAGGGAGTTCTAAGAGGATGGCAGGTGCGAGTTATCGGGGACAGAGTACGCAACAATGCTTAATAATATTTCGCAATCGAAAAAGGGCCAAAGGAAAGAGGCTAAGAAAAAAGTGGCGGAGGCCCGGAATATTGTTGTATATTTTCGCTTCCTAAGGGGTTCTTGTCGAAATTGTGGTACAGGAGTAAGTTTTTCTTTACCTACCTCTAACATACCTGAGATATCTTTGAAACACGTACAGTTAGCAAGGTAGTATACCACTGCGCATTAAAGTAGAGACATTCGACTCCTTGAATATAGTACCTCGGCCCTCTTGGATCTCCCAAGTATGCAATAATAGTCCATTTTCGAGTTCGCTATGACCGCTGAATTAGGGCCTGTTTACATGGAGGTGGGGGACCCCAGGTAGGTGAGGTAACCCGCTTAGGTGGGGTAACCCGCCTGTCCATATAATCTCTCATTTTCATTTGATCACGTTTACATGATAGGTGGGGTGACCCGCCAAGGCGGGTAGCCCGGTCTACCAGACCGGGTTACCCTCTCAGCCGGGGTCACAATTTTTCATGTAAACGTTTCAAGGTGGGGTAACCCGCCTGGCCGGGGTCGGATTCGTGATACATCAAATTCGCTCAAAATTCGCTTTCGCGGTGTCTTTGCATTATGATTAAAGTTAACAATAGAAAGCTATTGCACTGACGGGTTGCAGCAAGAGCAACAAGTGAGTGAAGAAGTGCATTAATCGCCAAAACTCGTGGTTTGCCAGCATTTTTCTTGTTTACGTGCTTAGCGACCATTCAATAATCTTGAGAAAGTGCACCCCGGGAAGGCGGGGTTGTAAGATTGCATGTAAAGGAGGGTTATTTTTTTACCTCACCTAAGCGGGTTACCTCACCTACCTGGGGTCCCCCACCTCCATGTAAACAGGCCCTTAAAGAAGTGGAGACGCATTTTTTACAGCCTTAGCCTCAATCTGAAGTAATATCTTCACAAATTCCAACGAGAAAAAGGCCTGTTTATTACTCTGTCTAGTGTGTCTGTCAAATTTCAAACACTTACTTGCCAGAAGTTCTGAATATTTTACTTTACGTCGAGGCTAACCCTGTATGAATGTGTCGTTAATGTTTATATTCAGCGGTAATTTTTAATTCGAAACTGGACTATTTTTTCTCACTGTTAATCTTTGTAGCTCTAATTTTGTTGTTTTGTTCTTTTTTTTTTTTTTTCAGGTGTTTGATGGTAACTGTGACCACTTCACGCCAGTAATAAACAGGTTCAATCCTGTTAGAGCCCAGTTTGTCAAGGTTATTCCACATGACAACCCACAGAGCTGGATGTGCATGAGACTTGAATTCTACGGCTGTGACTCTTAAATCAGGTACGACATCGCTTTTTATTGACCTGTTGAAATGACCCGCAATCAGAAAATGCCTTATTGCGGATAATCGCGCCATAAGGCCATGATATAATAAACCCTTTAATTCACTCACAGGAAGACATTGATTATCGCTTAAGACCATTCAAATGACACCTCTTGTTGTACTATTACCCTTTGAAAGATTGGAGATTTTTTTTAAAATTTATTTTCAATCCGGAGCTTAGCTACCCTTGGAATATAATCTTGACTAAGTGACTGACTGCCGTTGAAGCCAATTAACACAGCCATTGAACCCAGTAAAGCGTAAGGGAAAGATTTCAAGACAGTATGAAAATTTCAAAATTTATAAGGATTTGTATGGAAAACCACTCAATCATGACCCGGTAGCAAGACCTGTTTTTCCCATACAAATTCAATTAATTTCGTCAGCCGTTGCAATCGTTTCTTTTGAGATATACGGCTGAAAATCAAAGGGTTGCTTAATTTTTATATGCTCTTTTAGTTTCTGCTGAAATCATTTTTCCAAAGCAAGAACTGTTTTCAGACTCGTTCCCAGCCTCTTCTCTTGTTTGCGCGATGATTTTTTCCTTCCTCCCAAACGCCCTTGCGCGCATTAATATCTTCCCAGCTTTCATCAGTGACGAATGGGTACGAGTCTGTTGCAAAAGGTCAAGAGAGTGCCGGGACAGAGGAGAAATCTTTGGGCGTTGTTCGGGATATGTGAGTTTCTCTTAAGTTATTTTTAGAGGTTGTAATTAAACGGAAGTCTAATTCCTGGGACGTCCGAACATTAAAGTCGATTGTTTGAAATGTCATTGAGTTGACGCACGATCGCCTCAAAGCAAACAAAAATAATGCAGAATACTGTATTGGCGCCACACCAAGAGAGCATAATGTCCCTTCTTCTCTCTTGATAACACTGAATAAAAGATTGCGGACTTCTCCGGAAACCAACTTTCAATTAATTTCAGGATTTTAAATGGTCTAAAAATAGCGTTGGTGAAATTCACATATCCCAAGGGCCGCTAGACTGTGCGTTTCCCTCCCTGCATGTCTCATTACTCTCCCTCTTAAAAAGGCCTATTGATTTTACTAAAAAATTCTTCAGAAATAGTACTGTCAAAATTTCACAGGAAAAAAAAAAGACAAAATAGGGGGCGAGGTCCCTTCAACCAACAATAAATCCAACCATGCAATACTTGAGTCACAAACCGCTTTGAAGCCGTCGTATAATAGACCTCTTTCAACTTTTGACATGAACACGTTTGAGAAACTCTGTCGGTAGCACAAGAAAGAGCGCCCTAGAATCAATAAAACGGGCAGGTTTGAATTCAAAGTGATTTGCTGAAAACTAAGCAAGATAAAGCTTCTCAAAGTCACAAACATTTCTCCCACCATACCAACGGTTGCAAATTGTCGCAACTTTGTGGAGCTATATCTTCGCTCGCTTAACCTTTAAGTGCCAATAGTGCTCAAAATCAATTTTCTCCTAACGATAGCCATACATTTGCAACAGATAAGTAATGAGAATTAATAAAATGATCACCTAAGGAAAAATGCCTTGATCTTTTAACAAATTCTCTTAACTCATTCTTTAAGGAAATGTAAAGAGATCAGTTTGGAGAATTTCTGTGTAGATACTGGGGCTTAAAGGGTTAAGTCGTTTATCACTTTCAAATTTGGCACCTTTACTAATTTTAGGGCGCTTTTTCCGATGGTGTCGACGGATTTTCCCTGACTGGTCCCATGATGTGAAAAGTTAACGATACCGTGGAACGGTCTATTAAGAAGATCGACCATCGTAAGAAAACGTTTCGTTTCTGCGATGTATATTTCGTTCCCGGGGGGTGGACTCCGCATATGAAAGGGGTGGGGATGCTCGTCGGAAATTTCGAATTAAACCCCTCAAGGAGCCCTAAAAGAGACCATGTCAAAACACAGACAATATATATATTTTTATATTTTTTTATACGAGACCTTCTCGGCTAAATATGATGGCGTTTTGCCTAGAATACTCTAAGTGAGACCAAAATCCGAAATTTATACCCCTAAGTGAGACGACGAGCATCCCCACCCCATTTAATATGCGGAGTCCCCCCTCCCCCCGGGATTTCGTGTCTATAAACTTCTTTGCATCTTATTCCTGTGGAGCTTAGGTAATTTATCTTGTACTGCCTTTTAAGATATATATCAACCATAGTCCTTGAAATGTTTAATTTTTTGCTTTTAGATTAAACAAGTTGCAAGTGGAAATGAAAACGAACGTAGAAGAACGTAGTACAACGTAGCTATGATCTACCGATGTACGTTAAACTGAATGAAAAATAAAATTAAAGAAATGACATAAAATAACTGAAAAAATGCTGTCAAATGTTCGAAATGCTATTTAAAGCCTAGAAGTGTATGCTTTGGCCATTGAATTTATCTGAAGATAGGTTGTCATTTTCTATTCTCGTTAAAGAACGTAGGTGAGCTGCTTTCATGAAACACTTTTCCAGACTATAAAAATGTATTTATATAGTCGCCGAATTGTACTTTTAGCAAAAGGGGTTAACCCATCATTTTGCTAAAAAGTTGAGATCTTTTGATTGTTTGTTTTTGGGCACGAAAGACCAAGAAAGAACGTCTGGTTGGAAGTGCTAATCACTAAGCATAGGTATATTAAGCATGGTCTTAACGATTAGCCGTGTCAAAAGCACTTTTCAATTTAGTTGTTTATGATATACGTACACATATTTATCATCATAATGAACAAAAATCCACATATATAGCTTCACTTATTCTAGGAGCGCTCAATGCATAAAAGTATGCGGAGTGAAATACATTTTCAAAAAGGATGGAAGTTAATAGAGTTGTAACTCAAGAGTTTCACGCACTAAGCGATCATCATATCTTTTTTTATTTTCCGGTATTCGCTGGTGATTGCTTAATCGGAATGCGATTTGCGCTTTTGCTGACGTTTTAATTTTGAGTAATTTATTTCGAGTCCTGGCGGGGGACGTAAGCTGTGCCTGGCCCGCCCCAGATTTTCTTTCCTCTTTTTCCCACGGAGTTTTTTGGGGTAGGTTTTTTCTGGCCACCCTGGTTAAAAAGGTTAAATTTGTTCATTATTTCATTTTGGGCGAAAAAGATTGAGAAAAAAAGGTTAGAGATAAACAGAAAAGAAGCCTTTCTGGACTGTAAAAAATATCGAAATTTTGCATAATCGAAAAATTTGAATTTTTGAAAGGGGGTAACCCATGATTTTGGTCGAAAATGTTACGTTATTTGTTTTTGGGCAAAATAGACCTAGAAAGGTGTTTAGAGACGTTTTAAGCCTTTTCCAGGCTATAAAAAAATCGAGATCAAATTTAAAGTTTTACAAAGGGGTAAACCCATGGTTTAGGTAAAAAAAAAAGGCAATTTTTTTCATATTGTTTCGTTTTCGGCAACAGTCATGTCCAATACTGCCGCACTAAAAAGCCTATCTAGAATGTGAAAATCGCGATTTGGTGTAGTCGTTTATTACCGTTTATTTATCACGTTTGACGTGATTTTGGTCATTTAAGAAATGTTTTAAATAAAAAAGAAGCCTTTCTGTACAACAATATCGATTTTACCAGGAGTCGGCTCCTGATTTTACATAGACGGTAATTAGCAGATTTTTTTTCAAAGGGGTTAACCAATGATTTTGGTCCAAAATTTTTATTTTAATTTTATTTGGTTTTATTCAAAACTGACTTACAAGAAATGTTTAGACATACTTTTGGTAGAAAAAAAGCCTTTCTAGTCTATAAAAGTATCGATTTTTGGTTGCCAAACCTGAATTTTTCCAAAGGGTTTAATTCATGATTTTACTCAAAAATGTTGAAGTTTTGCCAATAGGGGAAAATATACCTCAGGCTAGAAAAATGTTTAGGGAAGTTTTAAATAGAAAAGAAGCTTTCCTAGGGTCTAAAACTCTAGTTCGGCTGTGCCAAACTACATCTTCGGTTAATAGCAAACGATCCAGTGAATCGTATCAGTGCCCCATATCGAGTGGGAGAGCAGAAATTTAAGAACTCGTTAAAACACGCAATGGTGAAATTTATTAAGCAAGATATTTTACACCAAAAATGGGCCCCACGTACAATAAATATAAATAAATATGTTACCTAAACAAAAAATAAAAATTTAACTTAAAAATTCTCTCTGAGTCCGCAGATTTTGTATTCCTTGATTTGAAATGTTCACAGGAGTTGGCACCAGGTTCTCTCGACCGTTAGAGCGCGCGCTCGTATTTAGGGTCCTGGGACTGTACATGGTAGCGTGGTGAGACGTGTGGGGTCTTGGTTTGTTAACCTCCGACTTATACTTGGACATTTTCGGCTGATTCGTTGGCGTTTTGTTATCGCTAACTGGGGTAGTTAATCTCACAGCTGTAGATATTTCTTCTCGAGTTGATGGAGCGCTCAACGGTCGTTTTTCACGCGTGTTTGGTTCTTGTTTAGGCAAATCTGGGTTTTCGTTTCGAAGGGCTGTTAGACTGACGTCACACCTTGTTCGAGCTAGAATAACAGCCTGTTTGACAAAAAAGCGAAAAATAACTTACGACCAGATTTGGAAGCTTAAATTTAGGCCACTCATGTACCCTTAAAATCTGAAAATTAACGTCCATGCCTTGCTTGCAGAGTGACGTTTTAAAATTTGAAAGAAATGTTAGCAATTTAGGTTTTGGCCATCGTGATTAGTGTGCCATTACCCCAGCCACTTGTTATGACCTTACTTGCCACCCGGTAAGTACGGGTAGACACCTTTTACCTATCGGGAATAGTGATGAAGCCATAACTGAATCTGGAGAATCGTGGTCTCCTTTTAACGTGAACAGATGGCAAACATATTCCCCTAGCTGTACCCTTAACTGAATCTGGAGAATCGTGGTCTCCTTTTAACGTGAACAGATGGCAAACATATTCCCCTAGCTGTACCCTTAAGCAGAAGATGGTATCTTAAGGTAATTATAAAGTTGTAAAGGAATTGCGTATTGTTTTTACCTGGAGTGTATCTTTGGCTGTGCGGATAGCGCTTTCCTATTACACAAGAAAACAAAAAGTACTTTGTAATTTAACTATAAGTAACATTGATAGTCATTGTAAAGAAACTTACCTGTTCTGCGTCTTGATCTGTTTTGAGTTTAAAGAACTGTTCACATTTCTTGATGTAATGACGCCTGAGTTGAAAACATTAACACATATTAAGTGTAGGCTACTAAGGACTGACACTGATTGGAGTAGCAACAAAAGTGATGACGATGATGATAGTGCTAATAATAATGATGATCAGATGACGGTGATGATTATAATGACAACGACGACGATGATAGAAAGTGAGGATGATGACGATGACGATGACGATGATGCCAGATGGCAGGGAACTGAGGCAACCAAGATGGCGACGGCCAGATGATTTAAAGGGTGACAGGTCGTTTTGCCAACGTCCCATTCGCTATCGTGTTATGTCGTTCCGGTAAGAAGCGAAAAGAGCGCCGCGCATGCGTATACTTCGACCTCTCAGCCATGATACAAAAAAGTGCACCACGCATATGTATACTTCGTCCTTTCAGCCACTGATCAGGTGAAAGCAGTTAGGGAACTGACCCAACACGTGCGCCAAACGACTTCAGAAGTTAGCGAACAGGACGTTGGCGAAACGACTCGTAGGCGAAACGGTTGAGTATGATGATGACCATGGTGAAGACGATGGCTACGGTGATAATGATGAAGACGATGATGATGATGATGATGATGATGATGACAATAAATGATATTGACGATGCAAAGTAATGTAATGTTGCCATAAAACCTTTAAATGTCACCAAAACACCGAGGTACAACCTACAGAAGAACCACTAGTTAAGCAATGAATATCTGCATCAATTTCTTGTCGCGAGGTGGTTAGTTTCGAGGCACTTTCCATATTTAAAATTCATAGTTTATGTGTATTTCACACTTTCTTCACTCTTTAACCGCGACTAAGATAGGGCGCTGGATGTCCTCAAGTAGCACTTTCGTGCTACAAATAATAAAAAAGGCCCCTCAAATCATCAAAAACAGTAACAATACTTTTACTAGTCGCTGGTATTTACCTCAAGTCGGTATTATCTGACATTAGGCCTTGCATTCTCATGGAATATCTGTTGTCAACTTCTTCCACCTGCATTAAAATGAAATTCATAAAATGAATCAGTAAGTTTAAAATATGTTTAAGTCGCAATTCAGTTACATGTTTTCAAACTTAGTAAATGGATCTCTTTAATAATGCCGGCCTATGAATACATTCTTTTGTAGGTATGATAATTAGCCTTTCTGACCTCGTTAGCATATGCAAAATACAAAAGACTTCTTACGTTCAAACGAGGCCAGAAGGGCTAACTATCATACGTATAAAAGTATATATCAATAGGCCGCCATTATGAAAGAGGTCTATACCGTTTCGGGGAAGAAAGTCTTGCGGACAGTAATACACCTCTTGAACATCACGTTCGTAGAGGAGTTTTTTGATTTTTTAATACTAGTGTTCCATAAGATTCCAAAGACACGAGATTACTGGTAGTGTTTCCCTGAAGGCGTAGTACGAGCAAGCATGTTACGAACAAGTGAAATATTCACGGGGCAGCAGGTGGGAAGAGAGGGATGGTCAGTTTTCTTCCCGTCCTTCCCCAGTCCCCCTCCCTGAGTGTTCTCTTGATCCCTCCAGCCCTGCCTAGCCTAGCTCGACTAAAACTAAAAAGCGTTGAACAGCTCCTAGTCTTAAGAGACACCATGTATAATTCACATACACAACAAATAAAACATAACAGACCTTCGCTTCAAAGTGTTCTTCAAAAGCAGCCAACTTGATTTTCTGTAAAGAGACGACAGCCACTGATCACTGTTATATGCTTACATCATTATAAGTTTAGGCCGAGCTGTTCAAAGAGAACGTCATATGAACCCATATGTTCCGTGTTGTGTGTACCGTTTACCCAGGATTAGACCAGCTGAGCGGGATTGGAACCAGTTTTCTCTGGACAGGATGCTTTATTAAAGCTAGCGGTCAAAATCAAAACCAGTTTTAACTCAGATCGTTTGCTGACTGTTAACAGAGTAAAGAAAAACAAAACCAGATCGCTCAACATCAAATTTTCAAGGGACATATTAAGTGTTGGGTTTTTGCCAATTCCAGCTCACACAAAAATTTTTTTTAACGTTTGCGTTAAAAAAAAAAAAAAACGAAAAGGACTTAATTAGCGAGTGTTGTCTTTTATTTTTGGCAATATTTTCGTCCTCAATATCTTACCTTGTCTTCAAGCTCCATTTGCGTCTTTCTAAGAATTTCTTTATTGGTTTTGAGCTTTTCTTGAAGTTCTTGTTTCTTCTGCTTTAACGTCTGTAAACATCAATCACGAAAAGCATTAGCTTGCTTCACACGCGTTCCAAGGGTATCAATTTTCTCCAATTCACTCTTAAATGATATAAAATTTGTCGAGGTGGGGGAGAACAAACGGCTACAAAGTATGCCCAAATCAGCTGAACAGACCGTGGGCTGAAAGGAGTAAAAAATAATTGCATCATCGCAAATCACAAAAGCATATTTTCTGAAGCTTCCCAAACGAAATAGCGTGAACCATTTGATTTCCCAACCGGAATTTCCGGTTTTCCCACACTGAAAATTAAAAAAATCTGTTTCAGCCCCAAAGTGTCACTTCAGCCCTGCAGCCTAAAGTCTGATTCACCCTTTCCTGGAGCCATTTGAGCACAATTTAGGCCAAAAAAAGCTCAATCAAAAGGCTATTCCAGTCCACGCTAGGGCCCATTTCAGCCCTAGCTAATTGGACTGTATTGGCCCAGATTTAAGGGAGCCAAATTAGACTCAAAAATAGGACTGTATTTTACTCACCGGAACGGCCCTTTGGGGCGAAAACAGATCTTTCCGATTTACAGTGCATGTAATGTTACGTACACTTGAGCCCACACGCCTCATTTTATGTCTAAGTGAGGACACCATATTACCGCTCACACGGAGTTTTATCTGTACTCAGCTTTGTGGTACTACAGCCTCGGAGAGGTTGACGCGAAGGAGAACCTTGTCTACCCGGAAGATGCTTAGAATTCTTCGTTGCCTTTGTATGTTTTAGCTTACCACATTGCTTTGAGGCTTGGTAAGTTCCTTGTGAACCAGTAAATGAAGGTTTCCTTTTAAGAACTTAAAGACCTTGTAGGTCTATTAAATGGCTCATGCTTACAGGGCTTACGCAGGAAAAAAAGGTTGTAATTGAATGCATGGGACTCCATTACTGACAAGGTCCACTTTCCGTACTGTATACCTGCATCTCCAGCAGAGCTGATTTGAGTTGTTCCGAATCCTGTACGCACTCAGCAAACTTCTCCATTAAGTTCTGATGGGAGAAAATGTAAGAAATCAGTTAGTCTATAGGATTCTAGCATGCGGCTATAGTTACCACACTCTGCAAAGCCACACTGAACTCTTTCTACATTGCCTATCCTTGCCATCAGGGTGTCCACGACGCCTGGGATACATGTAATAAATGGCGTAGCTCGCAATAAAGGTTTTCTTGTCCAATGATAAACGTCCTATTTTGCTCAATGCCATTTTTAAGTAGTGTCTATTTTAAACTGGCGACAACTTTTTTGGGGAGCAGTTTACAGGTGTTGCAAGAACAAAAGCTACAGTCATAATGGGGTATTTGTTGTACAAATTGAAATTTTGTTAATGGTAGAAACTTTGCTAAAGTAAACTAAATACACGATATCTTGTCTTTGAAAACAACTTACATCAACTTCCTTCTTGTGATCTTCGACCAAAACTTGTATTTGCCTTTGAAACTCTTTGTTCAACCCATCTATTTCTTTGTTCTTGTCGTGGAGCATCTCTCTTCCTATTAGTGACATAACCACAGTTATTATTCATTCAAAATATTTCCCCGATTCTGATTGGCTAAAAGCACACGCATAATTAGCAATTAATGAATGAGGCTGAATAGGATATGAAGAATTAAGCAGGTCGAGGAGGGGGTTATCCACTGCGGCCGAAGGCACAAATTCTTCCAAATTTGGTCATCAGTAACAGATTATGGTGAATTATCCGTGCGCTTTTAGCCAATCAGAATTGGGAAAATATTTTGAATGAATAATAATTCACCATAACCAGTTACTGATGACCACATTTGGAAGAATTTTGCGTTTAATGAACCGATGACGCCAACAGTGCAGCCTTCTTGCAGGTTAATGCACCGTTAACCGAGAAGACCTGGGGACGAGGTTGAGTTGTTTTGGTTGTGAGAACAAAAATGGCGGAAAAATTCACTTGTCTCAAGAGTAAGAACTAGGCGAAATAATCGCTAAAAACATGGCAAGAACAGCAAAAAGACAACTCGAAGGGCGACATCTGCTATTTGGAGAATATTTGCGGAGCTGAACAACCCTTGAACCTAAACTATCGAAGATGAACTTAACATCGATGGAGGGAAGCATGGTTTGGCGATGTTTTTAAACCAGGAAGTATTTTGAATGAATAATAAAACAATTATTGAATTCGGCTTTCGTATCATATAAAGAATTATGGAGATCTCGGAGGGTTTTATCCGCCTCGGCCTACGGCCTCGACGGATAACACCCTCCTCGATCTCCATAATTCTTTATATGATATTCAGCCTCATTCATTAATTGTTAATTAATTCATTAGAATATTTCGGATCATCATACTTTTCTGTAGCCTGAAATTCATCCGATTGCATCGAGTCGTTTTCTCCCCTCAACAACGGCTGAATCGACCGGCCGTTAATGCCGTCCAGTGACGTCACTCACTACCCGAAAACGTCCTCGAAACTGAAATGCTAAATTGAACTGCGAATGAAGAATCATTGCAGAGAGTCGGTAGGTTTTTCATTTAGAGCCGCTTTGTGGTTTCGCCGGCCGGTGATTTTGTTTACGCGAAGTTTTCTGAGGTCAATGTTATGAATTACTCGACCTTCTTGCTATTTTTACCGTAAGGTGTAATGATTCTGTTAGTTTTCTTTCTTGTCTCCTTGTTTGTTTTCTTCGTTAAGGACCAAATAGCTTCTTTTCAATTAAAGCAAATCATTGTGTTTTTGAACTGTGTTCAGAGGGTGTGTTTACTTCATTGCGTGATTGCGACCGAGTTTGTTTATTTAGTACAACCGGTTCAGAGTTGTACTGCATGCAGTTGATAGTTTGAACGTTAAACATGAATTACGATGGAAAAAAATAAAGCAGTACTGTATCATGCAGACATTTCCAAACGATATTTCTCGGTTTGCCACTTGAAACTCGTGTTTTAGTTTTTGCATGAATTAAAGCAAAGGTCAAGGAGTAGTGACGACACTGGGCGGCATTAACGGCCGGTCGATTCAGACGTTACTGAGGGAGTATTAACGACTCGAAGTAATTCAGGCTAACTTTTCTGAGAAACTGCCCACCTTACCTAACCCTCCCCTAAGCCAACATTTTACCCCAGATGAGAAATAAGTGATAATGTTGGCTTAGGGGAGGGGCAGGTGGGCAGTTTCCCAGAATGATCCGAAACGACCAACTTCTACGGGATTCGAGCTCTTGACCTCTGTGATACAGGTGCATCGCTCTACCAATTGAGCCAACAAGCCACCTACAAAGAATCTTCTACCAGAGCAGCAGGGAAAGATGATTAAATGTAAAGAACATCATCGCAGTCATACAGGTGTAAAAGCAACTTCTGAATTCGCGACGATCTGCGTTGATCCTCTTTGCATTGTAATTCCTCGCCCACAGTATTGATATAATGGTGTTCATACATGCATCATTTCACCTTTATCCCTTCACGAATTTAAACGGCACCTAAATACACAGCTTCTAGATGGCTTGCTTGAACGCTGAACCACACGTACTCCCGTACAAACCAGAATTTTTTTCAGGTTTTCATTTGGCGATAAGAAAATTTGCATTTATAACTGCGCTGATCTTTTTTACATTCAAAAATTCTTCCCACATAACTTTATCGAAAGTAATAATTGTTTCAACTTACAAGGATGGTTGTTTAATTTAAACACAAGCAAGATGTATATCAGTTCATGACTAACACCAAGTGCTACTATGAGGCAGAAAAGACAAATACTGTCAAACTTGTATTAAGCGGTCGCGGTCACCTCTTTCCGTGGCCCCAACAAGCTATTTTATATTTTTTTCACCACTATTAAACGGTCACTTTGTCGAGTTACAAGTGCAATATAAAGACATACCCTGAAAATGGTTTTCTGTGTTCTGTTTCTTCAAGCACATGACGAGGTAGAAAAACTTAGAGGTCAACTTGTCGCATTATGAATACTCCTTTTCGCCACCATCTATATTCTTGATCAACTCTTTAGTTTGTCAAACCTGTATTTAAAACGGTTAACCTATATCGAGCGGTCAGTTGGCTATTCCCCAAGGGTGTCCGCTTAATGCAGATGTGACTGTACCATTCACGGAGCAAAGATTAAATGTCTTGAACTGAGTGACAAATGTATCGTTTTGTCAATATACTCACTTTGTTTGGACAGTTCATCCTCTGTATGTCTCTCGTGTTCATCTCTTAGCTCCTTCTGTAAAAGTTAATTTCCAAATAAATAAGCTTTATTACCAAATAAAAGTTAACTTAATTTACAATATAATATATTAATACAAAAAAAGGTAACATTTACTCAGAATAACTAAAAAGCTAATCGAGCTGAGTAAAGCTAAATAATGTTCAGGCATAGGAGGTAGGTTGGCACTAAAGCTAGAAAAAACAAGGAATTAGTAAATAGATAAAAGGAAAAAAAATGAAAAAGGAAAAAAAAAAGACTCACGAACAGTAAGACTGTAAGATGTTTGACATGACTTTGTTTTTAAAGGATTTAAGGGGGAGGTGTTTGATGCTTTCATCAAGGTTATTCCAAACTTTTACAGCCGCGAAGCGAAAGTTGAATTTACCATAGTTTGTTTTGATAGTATTGAGGTAATAGGTTGATTTAGAAGCAAGCCTGGTATTGTATGAGTGTATGGATGCTACCGTTTTAAAGAAATTTTCAAAGGAAGATGGAAGAAGATTATGGTGATAGTTATACATGAGGAGTGCATTGTGAAGGGTAACAAGATCAGTTAATTTAAGAATGTTTAATTTCTTAAAAAGAGGCTCAGAGTGATCACCTGGTTCCGAAAAAGTTATAATACGTGTTGCTTTCTTTTGAAGAATTATCAAAGGTCTGAGAGTAGAACTATAAGTATTGCCCCAAATTGATAAACCGTACGTGAGGAAGGGGTAAATAAGTGAATAATATAATTGAAGTAATATGTTTCCGTTTACATAATGTCTAATTTTAGATAGTACCCCAATACCTCTTGAAATCTTCTTGCTCAATTCGTGCAAGTACGGTTTCCAGTTCAAATTAGAATCAAAAATGAGTCCTAGGTATTTAACTTGGTTATCAGATTTAACAGACATATTTGAGATATTAAGATTCAACTTATGAGCTATTCGTCTTTGCGGAGAATGGAATACCACAAAGCTAGTTTTTTCAATGTTCAGTGATAATTTGTTAGCAAATAACCACTGGCTCACCTTATCTAGTTCTACATTTAGGTTGGTTTCTAAATTTAGAATGTTGGTTTCTAAATTTAGAATGTTTTCTCTTCGTATCAGTAATGTACATAACTTTACACCATAGTAGCCTGTAGACAGACGTTGTTTTATTTTTCTTTTCGTTCTTTCAAACATCGGCGAGCTCGTGAGCGAAGCAAGCCCGCGAGAAAGAGCGGGGAGCGCGAGAAAGAAAAATAAACTATTCTATTTTCTTCTTCCCCCACCACTACCCCTTGCGCTGGCGGTCAATAAATCCCCTGCGGTATATATTTCATCACCCGCGCTCGAGGAACTTTGAAGAGAAAATAGCGGAGGGTCTGTGAACAGGCTAACACGATTAGGACACGACGAGGTTTAACATTATTACAAAAGGGTTCTGGAAAACGTCCGCATGGAAAGTTAATGGCACAAGACGTTTTGGGTCGTCCCAGTGGAAAAGAAACGTTTAGTAAGGTAGTCCTGTTTTTCCGATCGAAAGGTTGGAAATGGGAATTCGCGTTCTACTCATTAAAACTCATCATGATACCAGTTTCAGGCTTTTGCGGCCGTTCTTCGGTAAGTGGGACTGGTCTGTACTATATGCAAACGTAAGCGCTGATTCCCAAACGAAATAGCGCACTTCCGAGTTCCAAAATCCCTCACTTTCAAAATGAGGCCAAGTGCACAACCTTTCTTGAGAAAATGAGTTTTATTCGCATGAGAATGAAAAATCATTTCCATATCAAAGACTGAGCATTTAACCTCGATTTGATACAGAGGCCTGGGGGAACTCGGAAATGGCCTATTAACCAGTCCTGAGTTTCGTTTATTCTTTGTTTAAACCATGAACTGAGCAGCTTGACTATGTAAATGGTAAACAATAATTCCGTTTAACACTTCTATTTGGTTGCTAGAAAATGCTCCAATAGCAAGATACTCAAGGTAGAAGGCTACGAGACTCGGGAGGTTCAGTTTTGGAAGCAACAATCGCGACCAACTGTAGAAGAACCAGAATCTAATCAGCTATAAAAACTATAAACAACAACAAGAAGCAAGGCTGATTTTACAGTGAGGAAAAACTACTAATATTTCGAAAGGCGTGTCCAATCCTTTCTTCTTCAGGGTCTTAGAAATGACTACTACAAAGATAAATAAACGAGCTAAGACGTGATCGGTCTTAAGTCTTAGCTAGCCGTACATAGCTCTTTGTAAGACCCTGGAGAGAACTGAAGGTCGTGTCTTTCGAAAATATTGGCTGTGGTATTCCTTACTGTAAAATCAGCCTTGCTTTTCCTTGCTTCCAACCTCGAACTTCAAAGTGCACCAAGAAGACTGAGGAGAAAAAAATCCCTGGTGGGGGATAGTTGAAGGGCCGGGGGTGTGTTCTAAAAAGTTCCCTTTCATATCTTACCACTCTTCTCTGCCATTTAAAATCCATTTCCACTGCTACAGTTTCCTGGTGAAAAAAAAAAACCTAATGTAAACTGGATTTCAGTAGACTACGAGTAGTCCCCCATTTGTCCTCAGGGATAATAGAGCAAGCGAAACGCGAGCGCGCGTGAAAATCACCCCACGCGAGAAAGGCGAGACGCGGTGGGGAGATTTTCACGCGGTGGGGTGATTTTCCCGCGCGCTCGCGTTTCGCTCGCTCTACCATCCCTGAGGACAAATGGGGGACTACTTGTAGTCTAGGATGTCAGGGGGTCGGAATTACTGTAATGTAGATTAAGGCGTACTCTAGCTTGCCTTGTACAAGCACTTCTTAGGTTCCCTTAAAACCACACTGACTGACTTCCTTAGTTATATTCTCAGCCACTCAGAAATTTAAATGTAAGGTATTAAACAAATCAGGCAACGATAAATGATGAGCAATCGCCAAAAAATACTAGCCAAGAAAGAAATACATGCGCAGTTAACATGAAACAACGCTTCGTAGTTCCCGCCGTTTTTAACCTAAGCGACTGGCGCTCTTTTTGGCGTGTTTTTTGTTTTGTGATTCGTAAAAGAGATAGAGCCACGCCAAGCTTAACCGAGGTCAAACGAGAGAACGATGGTTTTTGATCAAGCGGGTTTTTTGGTGTGTTTTCTCCATTGTGTTTCGTAAAGTCAAGGAATAAAGCCGCGCGAAGGCTGAACCGAAATCAAACGACGAGAAGGCTCTGCCTTATTTGTTCTCGCCCACTTCCCCATCGTTTTCTCGTTCGGCCTCGGTTCAGCTGTTCATTCTTCAAAACACGAATGAAAACACACCAAAAAACGTCTGTGTCAAGGCAGGCTTGCCAAAAAGCCTACTGAAGACCGAACATCTTAACCATGTGTACCCACGTCAGATCTTCCCGCCAAAACGAAGCAACATGTGGTGATAGAACATTTTCGTGGTAGTGCATCTTTGTGTGCATCTTTGGATTTGGCTGTGGCGAAGACAATTCTTTACCTCCGCTACTACTTATAAAAATATTCACCTTGTAAGCTTCAAATGCTCCTTGAAGGCATTCCATTTCTCCTTGGAGACCAGCTGGAAAAACCGCGAGACAGGTACGTTAATGTTATTGTGGTTAAATAAAACGCTTAGATAAGCGTACAAGCATGCATTCCATTGCATTCGCCATTGTTCACGCGAAACTTTCACTAAAATAAAGCTTACATATTGTGAGAGCAATAAGTATGGGCTAGTACAGTATAATTATATTCTAACATATTGAAAGCGGAGAAAATTTAGTTTACAATTCCTGAGGCCGTGTTATCTGTATCACGTTTATCGTTAAGTCTTATTCCTAAACGTTTTAAAGCTTACTTACATTTCTCAACTTCTGCGGTTCTTCTTTCTTCATGAAGCTGTTTTACCGATAAAAGTATCTTTTGAGATAAAATTGTTCTAAAGGAGGGCAACATAAATCCCAGCAAATACATGTACGCACAAATGTGCGTACGGTACGTACAGTGTAGGTACATGAATGTGTAGGTATAAAGAAGGTGAAGAATGTTATAAAGAAAAGAAAGGGTTGCAATTGTGGTTTTAATAAAACTTCTTCGTAACGTTTGATATTCTTGGGAGACAAATTTGTTTGAGAAGAAGCTGTGATTGTTTCATTCACTGGAGAATGAACAAGACAGACTGACAAGAGAGCCAAGACGTCCACGACAAAGCCCTTTTCATCAAGTAGAACTAAAACAGTACCAATGGTTTTAAAAAGCAGGAGTTCGGGAGGTATTTGCTCAATCGGAGAATATAAGCTCGTAAGCTTAAACTCAAGCAACAATGACATTACGAATTAAAGATTAGGTAATTATTTTGTGGTATAGAATTAATATCTTATTTTATAATATATACAAAAACACGGCACTGATTAATTTATTAAATTCTGAAACTGTGAAAGAAAAAGAGTCTTACAGTGACAAAAAATAACGTAAAAAATAGGACAAAAGCTACCGTAACGCACGAAATCAACCACGTATTTAAAGTTAATAAAATGAGGTGAAATATTTTACCTGCTGGTCGAAAGAGTTTTTCAACTTCTCGATTTCTTCATCATGATCATCCTCAACTGACCTGCAATAGGACCACCGAAAAGACTTAAAAACACGTAACAATAATTCAAAATCAAGAAATCACAATAGTTTCTGTTTATGTAAAAGTATTTTTTAATAATTATTACATAACTACTTTGGATGATGCAGAGAAAAAAGTGAAAGGAGTTAAGTGCTATCCCAACAGCTGTTGTCAAGTACAATATTTTAAAATGATCACTGCCACACCCTAGGACCTAGAACTCTCAACTTTAGAAAGGAAAATTGAAAGCTGTTTAAGAAAAGCAATCGAAAATTGTAAACAGTAAGATCTATAATCTTATAGAAGGTACATTTATCATGTGACTAGGAGATCTCGAACATCTCATTTGAAGAGAGGGACAATATTCTGTCATTATACGAGTGGGCTGGGGGAGATAAAGGGGCATCACTCCTAGCTCCCTGTCCAATCCCCAACCCCCCGTCACCTCCCTGTTTGGAGAGCTGACTCACAGGGCACAGTTTGGGAGAAAGGGTATCTAATATAATACTGTGGTTAAAATAAATTATGTGTGTATGCACACAACCCACTTGATATGTTCTCTATGTTCCTCAGTAATCTGTTCAATATGCACTTGATGGTCTTCTTCAGCCTGGAAATGTTAGCATAAGGTAAATTCACAACAGAATCACAGTGATTTTGTTACTGGCTGCGTCCTGCATCCCTGACGCATAAAAATCCTCCAAAACACAAAATAATTCATGGCATGTGTCCCCTAAGATGCAAAGAATGATCTATCGATTTGAAGGGTTTTTGGCAGAATATCCTGCCTGTGTGATTTCTGCAGCTATTTTTTAAAGATGCATATTTATTTTAGTCTTCTTTGTGCTTTAAACATATAGCTGAAGGGCAGATTAACTGTCTGGTTATAAAATGACCCAAGCATTTTCAATTTAGGACTCCTTAATTGTTTTTTAGAACTGGGACTAATTGGTTATGGACAGGGACTCATGATTTTTCACAAGATGATCAGTCCCAAGAATCACCAACACTATTTGTAACAAAAACACTGGTATCCAAGAGATCCAGCTATCAAATTATTGTCTATTAAATAATTGTCAATAAATAATTTAAAGACTAGCAACATAACCACTATTAAACCACATCAGTTCTTAAGCTCCATGCATCAGAAGACATGATAAGTAACAATTGTACCTTCCTTAGGTTGAATTTGTGATTCAGTCTCTCTTCTTCTAGAAACAGTGTCAAGTCATCAATCTGCTGATGAAGTTGTTGAATGACTATGTCCCTAATTTAGTAGAAATCAAATGAAATTAATTATAACAATTGAAAGGAAATTACCAAATACAGGGACCTTAAAAAGAGGGTATTATAACTTTAGTCTTGGGTAGAAAGATGTGTTTAATTTATACGTTTCAAGAGAGCCATTTTAGTAACTCAGAAGTTATAAAAATTTGAAACACAATTTATTGTTATATGACTGACAGTGACATGTGAAATTTGAAATATAATGTGGCTGCATTGTAGAGTAAATCAAATAGGTGACAATAAGATGCTTAACAGTCACAAATCCTTCATAATGCCACAGCTGCACTGTCTACTTACTTTTCATCAAGAGGCTGGGATCTGCAAAAAAATTATAAACACGTCGATCAATATTAAAATGTCACATTTTAATGGGCAAATCACAGGATGATAATGGTAGCACTTCACTTGAAAACTATTTTTATGTAAGCTATTGATTAGCTTAGTTTAAATTAGTAATTTTTTACCATAAGCAGCTGTTGTTGTTCTTGAGTGATTAATCGAATTAACAGCACATTTTCTCATTTGCACCAACCCCCTTGAGGAACAAGTGTTATAATTTTGGGCAGACCCTATATATATATCAATTCTTCAACATAATTTATACAAGCTGTTTCATTTTTTTTTTCTTTCAATAAAAGTTTCATTTAAACCATTAAAATAAATATAAAGCAATCATTCAATATTATAGAATTTACATTATTAAACTGTAAAAATATTTTTAAAATTATATAATTACATGTAATTATTATGATAGAAGAAGACTTTAATTTAAAAAATTCTAGTTAAAAAAAGAAGCTTAAGTATTTTCAAGGACTCACTTTTTCCTTGTTTTTGGCTGAAAAGAAAATATTTGACAAGAGTCAATAAATTACTATGATACTATTACTGTATACACCTATAATAAATATTATTATACACCATAAATCGATAAATTATACAGTATTTCTTCTAACAATAGCCTGGGGCGATTATTAATTTTTTTTGCGCCAAAGGGGAACGATTATTTGAGGAGGGTGATTATTTCAAATACATGATTGTATTGCTCACTGAAAGTTGTGCACTAAATATTTTGCTTTATCCCATTACTTATCTTATCATTACTTACTTGTTTCCTTGACTAATTTTCAATTTCAATATCTTCAGTGTCAGAGGATGAGTTCACTGATCAGTTTTGTAACAATTTGGTTGTAAACAATCAGTAAATGAAAGCTAATTGTTTGTTATCCTAGGTGCCATTTGACCTTGACAGGGAGGGAGTAACAAAGAAGGGAAGGGGTGGGGAGGGGGGGGGGCAATTAATTGAGGGAGGCGATTATTTTAAATTTTTCCGTAAAGGGAGGTGATTATTTGAGGGAGGCGATTCATTGAGGGGCGGCTATTATTCGAGGAAATACAACACATGTAAATTGTCAAAACTTACACCGCGTATACATATTAAAGGGTATTAAAAAGTTGGTGGGGCCAACCCTACCTTAGTGGAACCTTCTTTGAAGAATTCATCTGTTATGGTTACATTAATCTTTTCTTTGTTTCTGGACAAGACATATCCAGGGGCTAAAGTTATCATCATACTATCCTGATGAAATAACAATGAAAGAGCTCAATCAATTTTTACACTGAAGAGTTTACAGTAGCTTAGAAACAGCCTCCTGAAAGTTGGGTGTAAACATAAATGGGGAATTAAATGGTGCAAAATGTCTTACGAGGTCATATCAATGTATTTGTAAGTGGAAAAACTGGTCAGTCACTCATGCAGCAGCAGCAGATTGCAGTGAGTAGATTTCATATGCTGGGTTACGTTTGCAGGAGAACTGGTGCGGGTGTGGCTGCAGTGTAGAAGGTGTTTAATATAGGTTAATAGGAATTGAGTTACGGGACCTTTTATTCACACCTCTAAATGCCACCTGTAGTGGGCAAATCTAACAAAAGACTGTTGAAGGCAGGGTGGATGAGCACTAATGGAGTCAATGGCCTTCTACCACTTGGTTCTGTGGCTAAATAAATAAAATTATGGGAACAGAACCCCTTGGCTTAAATAATGAAACACTAACGTGCACTTGCATCATAAACCTCTTGATTATCATTATTGTGATATTGACTTAAAATCTATTTCATCCATGCTCATACTGTATGATGTCATAGCCCCAGCCTGTCGAGACTTAAAAGTCCACTTAAAAAAATGATGAAAATGTTTACACTCTCAGAACTTACATCATTGTAAGGGTCGTCAAGTGAAACTCTGTTTCTTGCACTGTACACCTGTCTCCACCTGGAACATCTAAGAATTGCCAAAAATACATTTTACAGGTGCAATACCCCAGAAACACAACAGAATTTACAACTTACAGGTAGGTTTAGCATATTGTAAAGAAATTTATGGTAGATGTGACGGGTCTTGAACAAAAAAAACAGAAACAAAAGGAAGTCATTTTTACATAATTCAGTTTATTTTGAGTGAAGCACAGGGAGGGTGGCATAAGGAGTTTCCCGTGACGTTTGATGACAGCCCATCCCAAATTATCAGCAACATACTTGATCGGGTCCAAATAAGCTGCGTGAGGCGTGATTACTATTTTCATAATGTGTGATGTGTGATTTTTCTTCTGGACTTCCGTGATTGGTGAAAATCATTGGGTTGAGACTTATTTTTTTATTGCAATAAAATTGATGTGATGTGTAATGGCTAATTTTTTTTTTCAACTATGCATGATGGTCTAAAAAAGTCAGCATGATGCATGATATGTACTTTCCCCCATGGACCCCTTTGCCACCCTGTATAGGTTCAGGCAATCATTGTTAATAATTATTTATTAAAAGTAGTTCTTCACTGATACACTGTATGTAGTAACTCCAACTAACCTTGGTCTTTGAGAATCATTAAAACTGACATTCAGTCTGCAGGGTGTTGATCTAAAGAAAGCTTAAAATTTTAGAATTTTGCAATAAAGAAAGGAACTTTGAACCACTGAACAGCAAGCCAAACATTGAGTATCCAGAAACTATAATTATTAAGGCCTTCTGGGGATTGTTTTAGCCAATTGTTTCATCATGGTAAATAAATTAATGGCACACCTGACTCTTTACCTAAGAAAGAAGAAAGGCCCTAGTTGTTAGGTATCACCATCCAGGGAAATGAATTTGCACTATCCAGTGAATAAAGAATTATCCAATGGATAGCATTATCCACCTTTTGAACAACTGGGACCAGGTGACAGAGGCCAAGGCAATATACAGTCAACTCTCTCTTAACAGACACCTCTATAAGACGGACACCTCCCTAAAACAAACACCTAGAGTTGGTCCCTATACCTTTCTTTACTCCCTTTATTTGACTCTCTATAAGACGGACATCTCTCTACGACAGACAGTTACTGCCGGTCCCAAAGGTGTCCGTCTTAGAGGGAGTTGACTGTAGTATGATCATGCGTGATGCACATTCAGGGGTGGCGAATGGTACCACAAAAAACGTGAGTAGCTTGGAAAATTTTGGCAGGATCTTGAAATCTCGGAAGCATTTTTGATAAGTCTTGAAGTCTCGTTTTTGCATGGTCTGTTTTTACTTTTTTTGAGTCTCGAAACTTTTTACCAAAGAGTCTCGGGCACGGATTTCTAACTAGGATCTCGGCGTGTCTCGCATTTTACCATTCGCCACCCCTACATACGTATTCAACTTCATTTACCATGCATTGGTATACCCAACAAGAAAGGAGGAAATTATGTAAAAGGACAAAATCGGACCACAACATGTAATAAAAAACCATCTAAAAATTCTACCTAACATTTCTCAACAAGTCTTGTTTCAAATTGTATGATCACCGGCTATGTGTACGGTGTTCGCTTACAAACCAAAGTTCGAGTGAATCAGGATACTTTTTGCATGATTATGAATTAACGCTCCAACCAATTCTTATGAAATTACAACACTAGTATAATTGCAATGTTTACTAAACTTTAGTGGCATTTATAGAGGTAGGAATGGCATAACTCCAAAATTATAACGCGAATTCACTTGTGTGTTGACATCTCAAGCGTTACATTAACGGCGCTGAAATGTAAAATGTTGTGCACCGAGCAACTTACAGCCAAACTTTGTCCGGTTTTTTACTCAGTCCGACTTGCACATAAAACAAACACTTGTTTCCCATTTTTTCCAGCAGATTACGAAAATTTTAGACATGTTCTTAGCATGAAAAATGATGACTTACCGTTGTCCAACATGGCTAACACAGAAACGAATGTTTGCTACAAAATCCGTCGTGCAGGATATTGTTTACCCGTTGTCACGCAAGAAAATGTCTTTTCAAGATGCACAATGACCAAAGAATATTTTTCTTTAAGCCATTTACCTAATTTTTTTCTCACCGTACAAAACGAGTGTATTTTACTCTGTCTGAATGGCATGTCCAAGGCGGCCATATCCCGAGAAGTACTACGGTGCACTTTTTCGGTGCACTAGTGCACCAAAGTGCACTTTTTCGGTGCACTGGTGCACCAAAGTGCACTGTTATTAGTATTTCAGTGCACTAGTGCACCGAATACTAAATAGCAAGTGAACTAGTGCACCAAAACAGTGCACTTTGGTTCACCATTTCATACAACACATTTTCGATTTGTTTACTAGAAATACGTAAATCGCAGGACCTCGCGAAGGACTTCGGGGGAATGGCAAGATGAGACAATAGAGAAGAAAATTTATAAATCTAAAAATCTTAAGCTATATAAAGAAACATAACAAAACTGCAATAACTAAAAAGAAAACTAAACGAAAAGAAATAGAAAAAAAAGGCAAAGAAGCGATGAGAAAAAGTTATTCTCGGCGGATTCGGACTCGGCACCTTTGACGCGCCGAGCCTGCTTTCGTTACCACTAGGCCACGTGGAACACGCAAACGCGGATGTGGAAAATATATTATTAAACCCTTTCCCCTACAACTTCCGCCAGCACTACCTGTATAAAGTTGATCGAGCCGTATTAAACATGAATTCAAAGATATTTTTCAGAAGAATTACTGGTGTTTGGACAGTGAAATCCCAACGGAAGCCCAACTTTAAAGCCGATACGGTATAAACTCGTCTGCGAGCAAAACGTGTTTGTTTTAGTTTGATGTCTGCTGTGCGAACCCAGATAACTTTCGACGACATTCTTCAGCTGCGTGAAGGTAAGAGATTCATGCAATCGAATTGACTCAAAATTTTCGATGGGAACCTTTCTCACAATCGACGGATCTTCAGAAATCCTGCTCCACTTTTTGCAAACAAGAGAGATGGTTCTTCGAATGAGATGAAACGAAATAAAACTAAAAATGCGTAAAATCACGTCTTTGGGAAGCTGATCAGAGCTGATTAAACAACATTGTCCAAAAGTTAAAAACAAAACACGATGTGACTAGCGTTCTAGAGACTGAGAATTAGTGCACCGAACTCGGTGCACTAGTGCACCGAATTCGGTGCACTTGGTGCTCCGAGTTCGGTGCACTTTTCCACTAAATTCGGTGCACTAGTGCACCGAATTCGGTGCAGTGCACAGTGCACCGAAACGGTGCACTTGGCCTATGTAACGCTTTTGGGAAGCAACACCGTACACATAGCCCACCGCATGCCATATCAATAGAGATTGATTAGAAAATAATCTTTGCATGTTTAGTAAACACCGTAAACACAATCACCGGTGCTATAATTAATAAACAACGGAATTCAGAAGGCTAGGCGCGCTTACAGTTGCAGCTATTACTTTGCAACAAAAATTATGAATTCTAGTTACTCACTTAGGTCTTCTTTTGTCGTGAGACGAGGGATTTTGTCTCTCTCGTGAGGTAGCAGTTTGAGCTCGTCTGTTCTGAAGCTCCTCACTTCCAACTTGGCCAATAACCCAGGCTGGTCTCTTGTAGGGTGGCCGTGTGCCATTGATGCAAATAGTTTCCAAAAGCGTGTCGCTCATGTCGACGTTAAAATGCGATTTTATCCATCAGAAATCAGAATAACATAGTGCCACAGAGAACTGTCAAATAGCAATCACCGCCTTCTGTTTATGACTCAGTAGTGGCGGAATTCAAGACCAACCTAAGACTTTTTGTAGCCTACCATTCTTGCGAAGGTGTTGCATTCACCGTTCAATTCGCATTTAGGGCTCTTTCGATTCGTTCGCCTTAACACTGGCCGTTTATCTTCGTTATTGAGTGCACAGCAATCAAAACGCGGCAAATTGATACGATCTATAAAGTTTAACCAAAACTGTAAAAAGTGACAAAGACAAATCTATTATGCATGTCCAGCGGATCAATCTTATAACCATGACAACAATAAATCATGCATTCATTAATGGCACGAAAACAGAGTCACGCTTTTCTCAAACCAATTTTTCGTAAAAAAATAAAACTAAAAATAAAATAAATTGCCATTACCTTTTGTTTTTACCCTTGCACTCTACAGTTTTACATATACATTTTAAAGTTACTTTCCTTTGTTTACGGTCCCCACAAAGGGTGCCCGCTGACTTTTTTTCCTTCATAGTTTTGACTAGCCTGCGTGCAAACGATAACTAAACTATGATTAGTACCGGAGTTAATCAGAGTTTAATTTCGTCTGCGCGCAGGCTAAGTTTTGACGCGTAGGTGGCGGTTTTTTGGTATGTTTTTCCTTTTGCGGTAGGCGAAAAGAGGGGGCGGGCGTGAGGGGGGGTGAGGGAAGGGGGGGTGAGGGAAGTCATCGTTTTCATTTTCGTCCTCGCATCAGCTTTCACGCTGCTGAATCTCTTACTTTTTGCGAACCAGATAAGAAAAAACATACCAAAAAAACCGCCAGCTAGGCAGGCTATACTAAAGACGGGACATTTTATGGGCATGGTCTAACAGCTATCAGGCAGCACGGGCGATTCTTCAAATAACAGTTGCCATCCGTTGAGTTGTGTTCTTGCTGTTCTTGCTACGTTTTCAGGCGAAAATGTGGCCAATTCTTCCCAAAACGTCTGAAATTATCCTCCACTGTTTTTGTTTTCCGAAAAAAATTGAGCTAACGCAACCTCGTCCCCAGGCCTTCTCGTTTGCCTTCTCTTTTCATAGCCTGTGCTTATTGACGCCTTTTTTTCGATTAAGGCAGACGCTAGCTGGTTTTAAAGAATTTAAAGCAGGAGGGCGGATTTGAGCTTATCGTCAAAGGAGAAATATTTTGAATGAAAAATAATATCCTCACTTGCTTAATATATGAACACTTGAATCAGGATCCCATACTTGTTGGCTCCTGCTTGAATCGGGCTGCGTCTTTGTTTTACGGCAAAGAATAATAAAAATATCTGGAAACATTGCTCTTGATAAATGTTCTTAAACTAGTTTCGTTACTGAACAAACAGAACATAAATGTCGCAAGATTTGTAAGACAATAAGTTTAATAACAACAGAGGTACCCTATTACCAATAGAACAGAAGAAATGTTCGAAACCATGCTGGACCATGGACAAAAAATACAAGCTGAACTTGGGGTGGAAGTGGGCAAGATTTCCAGTATGGAAGAGTCAGTGGTGGTCGTGGTGTCATCATTTTTTCTCGAAAAGTACTCTGCAAAAACAAAACAAAACAAAAAGAGACTTGATAAGTCAATTGCAATTGGATGGGTCACAAATTGCCAGAGACAGGTACGTACACTTGTCAACTGGTCATCGATTCTCGGGAGGTCGATCACATAGCTATTTAATGAAAGCTTTCGGAATGCTCGTCGTCTCATTTAGGGGCGAGTAAACAGAAAATTTCGCTGTTACTAGGGTCACACAGGTATCGTCAAGCACACAGGTATTGCTAAGTCACGTATCATTAAGCGTGAAGCACCCAGGTATTGCTAAGTAGGTATCGTTAAGAACAGAGGTATTGCTAAGGGGCGTACATCTAGGAGTAAAGAAATCAGAAGACTGATAAGAAGACGAAAAGGAACTTCCGAAATGTTTCTCCGCGCCCTTAAATTTCACTTATGGGAGTTGCCTAGCATAAACTAAAGCAAAACAATCCCTACAAATGAGATAGAGCGAAGTAAAAAGGGGGATTCATGGAAAAATCCTCTCCACTATTGTTTAAGAACGGTTTGCAATCAGTTAAACCCGAAAAACTTTTCGGTTCGGTCCGTTTCATTCTAATCAGTTGGTATAAAAGTCATGAAAAGTGCTAGATTAATAATACTAAGGAGCCGTCTACGTGTTCGTGATTTTGGCAATAAAAGAATTTAGTTTGCCGAAGTTAAAACCAGTGAAAATGAGCAGTTTCTCAAAAAGATTCCAAAAATCGGGATTTCACTGTGGCAAGTCCAGTCCTTACCGTGTTTGGGAATTACAACCAAGCTTTTTGTCATCGCTTTAGTTGCTGGTCCTGTTTTAACAGTGAAAGTGTAGTCTCCAGAGTCTGATTCCTTCAGGTTTCTAATTATAAGAACAGTGAACCAATCCTCTTTTTTATTCAGGGTCGTCTCCAGTATCACGCGTCCGTATCGAGAAGGGGTCAATAACTGACTTCCCTTTCTCCATTCCATGTCGTCCAACTGTAGATATACAGTATCAAAAGTCAGCCCCTCCGTAAAGCAGCCTCGGCTCTAATTTTTAACGCTAAAAATTCAGTAAAGCCTCCTATAAAAAGATGCTATAAGTTTACAAATACAACTATGAAACAAAACAAGCCTTTATATCTCTGTCAATTCAAAAGCGGTTGCATCTTTTTAATATTGCTGCGGTCAACAAGTAGTCTGTTCCAGGCGTTTAGATAGTAGGACGCGGGCAAAAAAATCGACAAGGAAAAAAGAAAACGAATTGGGAAGACTTGTCTCCCCTCGATTCTTTTTTTTCTCCTCGTTTTGCCCGCGTACGATATTTAAGTCGCTCCCCACCATCTGAACGTCACGCTCCACGATCTCATATGATCAACGCCCGGAACAGGCTCATGACAAAGTGTCAAAGTTTTTCAATCTGTATTCACAGTATTCGATTTCGACTCAATAAAGTTTACTGCTTCTATATTTAAAGCTAGGAGCATTTTTGGTGAGTTTGCGTTGCACCGAGGTTTAGCATAATGTCCCAAGGTGGCATAAGGATAATAAACTATCCAAGGAGAAAACGAACGATGACTTTGTTTGTTTGTTTATTTCTTCCAAAACAACAACAACAACAACAAGCAGTCTATATTCGTCACTGCAAAGCAGTAAGCTTACGTACCATTGGTTTTGGAACACCACCCTTGATTGTGACATTCATGTTCACTTCACTCTCGCCCTCAAATGACCTTAGATATACAGCGTGTGGTTTGACTATCAACCGCGGCCTAACTGTAGAGCAAAAAAATAACATATAAAACAGTGAGAACTTGAATTTAATTAACGAGCCTCTTCCAGAGTCAGATTTGTTTGAACAAAACAACAATAGTTGATCATGATCCCACCAGCACTTAGTGTGTTTCAGCTTCATTTCAGATTGGGAAATGAGCCTATTTGCTCTATTCCTCAGCAGCGGAGTAAATTTATTTCCAGGTGTTTTGCAGCAGTAGAACTCGAGTTCCAATTAATTTGTTCACCATATTCCATCTGGGAGAACGATCGATTCTGAATTTTTCTAGTGTCTGTTCAGTGTTCCGCTCAGAATCAGTGGGAGCCTTTTAATGTGGCATTTTCTGAAATTTTCTCCCAGTCTTTTTTCCTATCTACCCATCCTTCCAGAAAAAAGCTTAAAAATGAGCCACGAGATCAGCTCAGTTCAAACAAAACCAAATATAATATTATACCTTAAATTTAATCTCGGTTTAGGGGGGCTTCTGTACTTACTTATAACACGAACTTCCACATTCTTCTCAAACTGGCAGTATTTTCCTTTGGCCACAACTCGGTAAGTGCCCGCAGTCTCAAACGAGATTCGAGATAACTTAAGCTTTTTTCGGAATGAAGTAGACCCATGTTTCTCTCCTACCATCGAAAGGAGAAATACAGCAATTAGAAATGAATTTGAATGGAGCAGCGATTCTCGTAGACTCAGAATATCATAATGCAGCTATTGGGCCCGGTTCCTGAAAGACGGTCAAGCTTAAACCAAGATTAAGCCAAATTTTAAGCACGGTTTCTTTGTCTTAGAACAAGTAACTCAAGCTTACAAAATACTGTGGAGCCTCTTCTCTGGGATACAGTTAATGATAACACAAAATGTTACTCTGAGCGATGTATAAGAAAATAAATACAAAAAGTAGAACAAAATTCTAATCCTGGATTAGTGCTTATCGGCCTTTCAGGAACCGGGCCGTGATGCCCTAATTACTATTATGGCATGCCGATTAGTTCCTTTATAGCTATAGAGCATGCAAGAGACACAATATTCAATTCAGTTGAATTGTAAAGAACATGTGTATGACAAACTTAACGATGTTTAAATAGTTATTAAGGAACACCTGTTCAGAGTGAATTTCCAGTGATTAACCAATGTGAGGTCTACGGCTCTGATGTCAAGGGACATGTTAGGTCCTAAAAATATGCCGACACAGCGAGTCAATGAGACAAAAACATTTGGCTTTGTCCTCCAAAAAAACCATTTCAAAGTTCTTAAAACTACATAATCATTTTTTGACCTACAGTTTCAGTAAAACCGAAATTGCACATCTTAAGTAGCCTGAGAAAACAGACGACATTTAGCGACGCCACCAACGGTTTCCCCGCGAAACGACGTCTGAGAAACGAGCGCAGAAATTCCATACTGATGACGCGTCACTACCCAGATCTGGGTAGTGACGCGTCATCAGTATGGAATTTCTGCGCTCGTTTCTCAGACGTCGTTTCGCGGGGAAACCGTTGGAGGCGTTGGGAAATGCAGGTTGTTTTCTCAGGTTAGTATCTTATGTCGATAACCGTTTTACCAGGAAATGCGAAGCCTTCTGTAGTCCTTTCAATGAGCGCGCCATTGTGGTACCAATCAACTCTCACCAAGGTTTTATCATTTTCGATTTTCACCTCCAAAACGTCGCTCACATCCTTAGCTGCAAAGTGGGGTGATGGCGTAATCCAGGTTATGGTAGGGACATCTAAAATGTAATTGCTACATGACGTTAGTATGGAGGCGCTACAATAAAACAAATGATAGACTTTCTCAAAGTTCTTCGCTTCTCATTTCCGGTTCCGGTCGTTGGCCTCAGCGCTAGCTTCCGCTCTCTCGCTGTATTTTTAATAATTGTCTACACGATACGCAGTAGCATTTATAAAACGATCTAAAGATCATTCTTCATTAAATACCACTATCTATGTGGGTTACAAATGCCTTAGAACTGCCTTTAAAATATATAAAAATATTATATATCTACCTTCATTGATCCATAGTACGAGAAGAAAACCTAAAACTCGGATACCCCAAAGAAAGTCAAAGAACAAAACTAGCACATCAGTTAGGCGTCTTTCATTGAAAAGAAATTCCACAAACCAGAAAGCGAAGTCAAAAATCGAAATTGTCTTCCTTTTAGCATGCTTTGGTTTTTTAATTCAGTCAAATAAATTCTCAAAGCGTACCATAATACAAAAGACAACGTACCTTCAATAACTATGATCTTAGAAACACCTTTAGCAAAACCAAACTGGTTCCTCACTTCCACCTCATACCACTCTCCAGTTTGTCGTAAGAGGGGTTTTGGCACTCTTAAAGTAGTAGATTCTTGAGCAGTAGGCGATCGTTTCCACCCTCCATACCAACGGTGCCAATGATACCAATTTACGCTCCACGGATTTGGATCCCGGAAGTTTTTCTCATTCATTGTGACTTTTACTTCCGTAGGCGCTTTTGCGCATGCACCAAACGTTTCAGGAAGAGAAATTCGAGGTTCCTCTGTAATATTTAAGAAACTGTCTTCAATATTTTCCTTTCAAATTATTAAAACATAGTTATCGTGATCCACAACCATTTTTGTGACTGATGAGTTTTCTATAAGTTATGAAATTTAACAAAATGTTTACTACCTTTGAATTAAATGAACAGGAATTCCGTAGTTGCATCCATTGTACTGTTCATTCGGCGTTGTCTATTCAGGTGTTTTTAAGGTTGGCTGCTCGGTAATAGGGAGATTAAGATTTACGTCATTATGGCAGACGGCAAACGTGAATTTGTACCACGTGACCAAGTCTTATCTTTACATATTTTGCACTGTTCTTTACTTCTAGTAGTTTCACGCTATTTTCATCCATAAGAATTGTTTTAGACTGTTTTTGTCTGATCATTTGCTATTTTTTAGAAATTCTCAACTTGAATCGGCCGTTTGCCGTTTGCAACCGTTATTTTTGAGATTTAAGCCTGAAAATTTACAGGTTACCTACTTTTAATATGCTCTTTCAGTTCGTAATTTTTCAAAAGCAAATTGTTGGCGTGTTTACCCGAAAGTTGATCACGTGGTCAACTCATGCAAAAGGCCTATTACAACTGGACCGCTGAAGTTCACAAAAATCAGAGTTCACTGATTTCTACGTCTTTGCTCTTATTCAAATGTTCAATTCCGATCCCGGTATCCGGTTTCAAAAAAAAATCAGACTGGAACAATGCCTGGCCAAAGCATTACGAGCAGAGGTTATTGCGCACCAGGGCGGATACGCCTTTAAAGGATTCTTTTTTCTTCTTCTTACTTTTAGGCAATAAAAACCCAAGTCCTTTTTACTGTTGATATGTTATCAGTGTGTTAAGTGTCGCTCGTGCAGTCCTGCCTGTAATCATAACCTTGATTAAGCAAATCGGACTTGATCTCACGAGCCCGTTCGTTCTATTTAATTCATAATCATAACTATAACAAAATTCTCAAATCTGATTGGTTCTCAACTGCCCTGATTTCAGCCTTAATAGGACAGTTTAATAGGACAGTACGCGTCATGCCTAAGTAATTGGACAGTACGCGCCATCACGCGCGCGCTTAAATGGCTTTTTTTTTTTCATTGCTAGCGAAAAAATCTTGGAATTTCTTGTGTTTTGATTTAAAAAGAGCCCTATATATCAGAAATTTTGTTAAAGTTATGATTAATTGGTAACAGAACTTCGTGTCGTCCAATTCGGTCTGTAATCATACTCGTGATTAAACAAATCGGACGCCCGCTACGCGGTCGTCCGATTTTGTTAATCACTCGTCTGATTACAGACCGAATTGGACTCCACTCAGTCCTGTTACCATTACTAATCATAACTATGACAAAATTCTTAAATCTGATTGGCTATCAACTGCACTGGTTTCAGCCTTAATAGACAGCAAGCGCCATGCTTAAGTAACTGGACAGTACGCGCCATCACGCGCGAGCTTAAATGAATTTTTTTTTTTAATGCTCGTGATTAAACAAATCGGACTTCCGCTACGCGGTCGTCCGATTTTGTTAATCGCTCGTATGATTACAGATCGAATTGGACGCCACTCAGCCTTGTTACTATTACAAATCCTTAATATAATAACTACAGATGGAAATTGGACTTTACCCAATAGCCTCACCTTCATGCCGTAACTCTATAATAGCCTCGCTCCATGCTCCAGTAGCAAGAACTCGAACCATCACTTTGTACGTTCCTAGGTCAACAGTTGTCAGTCTATCGATCTCAAGCACGTGACTTGCCGAAAAATAATCACCAAAGTAGGTCTTGTCGTAGGCTCGATATCGTCCACGAGCTCGTAAATAATTGAAATTAAGGTCATCGCCTATTGTTTCCAGGGTGAATAATATTGAAGTTTCACGATCGGGATCTTTAACCTGATACTTAAAAATCTGGATCCACTGGTTAACAGTATTGTCTTTCAACTTATACCAAGCGATTTCATACGACTGAAATTTCCCTAAATTGAAAAAACAAAGAGTAAACACAATTGGCGGGATGAGATAGCTTCTACAGCTGGAAAGAAAGGACTCGATTTCTTTTTAAGTTATTATTTAATTATGCTTTTTCATTTTGTTTTACTCGGTTTGTTTTTTAGTGATTTTTCTTCTTTATGATGTTCTTAAAGCAAAAAATAGCCAATTGGTTTTTGGCCAATAACAACAAAGGAATTGGCATGGACATAACCAATATCGCCTAGAGCTATCTCGATCTACACTGTACCGGTTGGCTTTCATGTCGAAATGAAGAGTTATCCGGTGTAGTACGAACACCTGGTATTCATACTGCAGCAAAGATTAGCACAGAGTCCCATAGCTACCCGATATAAGACGATCTACTTTCAAGATCAGCTCGGTTTACTCTTCGCTCCGTTAGTTACAGGAACCGCGCCTTCTAACACCATTCTCGATCACAAACCCAATCCGATATGGCTTTAGCGCCGCCGCAAGAGCTATCCGCTGGATTGTAGACGAAGCCATGACATTCAGTGAAAGGGGCTGCTTACTTCATTTTGCTGATATTGGCAATTACAAGTTCTTATTCGGAATAGAACTTAACTTTAAAGACGAAATTACTCGCAAATTACGAAATTATAGCCTGCGCACAGACCCTTTAAACCTTGTTTATAGCTATATCCACACTATATGCGATACGTGGGCCGGCTGCACCGCAGGCTACGAAATTACAGCTTCGTGTCAAACTGAGTATGTCGCCCAAGCATTAAATTAAACGTTACAGACAACAAAGATACACTGTGAAAAACTGTTAGGCTAACAAGTTTTCAAAGACACAATGTTCAATCCGTTTTAATCTAGTTCATGTTTGTCCATCCGTTCCTCTTTTTATATTTGATGTAGCCTGCGATCAAGCTCTCCTGATTGGGCGAGCGAAGCGATCCTCGCGAGAACGCGCGAGCGAGGGGCCAGGCGTGGCTTCGCCGCTTGCTCGCGCGTTCTCGCGAGACTCGCTTCGCTCGCCCAAATTGGAGAGCTTGCTCGCAGGCTATATTTGGTGTGTTATTTATAGCCTTCTTTTAAAGTTTTGAGCTGTTCCCACTGTTTGAGATTCAGTTTATCCGGGTTGGTGCATTTGCCCGGCTTGCAACTTACTGAATTGTTTGAGCGCAATTATTGAAGGACCCCGTCTGAACACAGGTCCCGCCAGACAAAAATTTGTCCAGACCCGTGTAACTAAGGTCTTTATACTACTACATGATAAATTTCTGCAATTTGATTGGCTTAGATCAGTGGTATTTCAGCTTAATTTGAAATACCTTCATGTGAAAATTACAAACCTTTTCTGGGTAGTAGTATAAAAAAATATTAGTATGATTTGTACGTGATATTTGGCATAAATACAAATTGTGATATTTCGAAATTGTCTCAAATTTCACTCGCCTAATTACGGCTCGTGAAATTTCGTATAACAATTTTGAAATATCACTCGTGGTATTTATGCCAAATATCACTACAAATCATGCTATTACCTATACAAATTATCATAAACGCTAGTCAACATTTACCCTTCATATAAAAGTGAGATAAATAACTTACTCATTCCTTTAAGGAAATATGGGACATTAAAATCCCTTTGGCTTTTATCTGGTGCCGCAGTTAGGTCTTGTTTCTTGTAAACGTTGGCTGGCAAGGCATGTGACGAATAACACTGGTCGTTCCTCAGAACAAAGTGATCATAGCCTACAAACTGAGCTAGCTTGGAGCAGCTTTTGGACATGAACTGTAAGTGTTCATAATGAGGGACTTGGCCCAAATATGATAAGCTCCATTTACGGTCGGAAATGTAGCTCCTTGGCATCCCAGCCATTAGGTATGCTGTTCATAGAATGAATAATAAATTCTTAGATAAGTAAAATTTGCCGTGATCCAGGCTTTTCATGATTAGAAAGGCGGAAAGGCCGGAGGAAGAGCGCCAGATTCGCAGAACTAGTTCTTGGAAGTAAGTAGGTTCGAATGTTACTCTGGATGTAAGAATAGACCCTCTACAGTTATTTTCAAGGAAATGTTTATCGATACTGCAAAAAATAACGACGTTAAATTACTAAACATGTCTAGCTGGTCAAGTGACGTTTGCATGGTAGGGGCACAGAAATGCCACCCGCCGCCACCCCCCTCCCCCACCCACCCCACCCCACAAAACAAACGTCTGTAAAAAATTCACGACTTTGCAGAACTATGTCTTCTCAAATTCGGCAACTTTACTAGCTTGAAGGCACTTTTTGCAGCAGCTGTCAATAGATTTTCGTCTGCAGGTCCTTGTCGAAAGTTTTTGAAAGAAACGTGGAAGGGTGTCAGTATTCTAGACCGCAAATTCTTTCCCCTGAACCTTGCTCATATTAGTAATGTCATAAGTAAAATCCATCAACACCATCTTTCTCAGCATTCTCAGGTACTTTCCTAATTTGGATACAGCTATTTTGAGAAAGGTTGTCGGCTAAAATGTGCACGCGACAATCCCGAAAGGTAATATGGGATATGATCAATACACTGTTCTTGACACTGTAGCTGTCAAAATTTTTTTTATTGCTTTCCTTTAGCACGCGCAAACATACGTCCACGGCCTCTTGTGCCATTCTTCCAAATTTCTTTGAAGAACAGCGAACTCAAAACCACCCACAATACCTTTCGGGATTGTCGCGTGTATTTTTTCCGACAACCTTTCTCGAAATAGATGTATACTTACGTATTCCAGTGACAATCACCCCGATAGATGCCACTGGACCGCTGGCGTAAACTACTGCCGGCTTTTTCCATATGGGCTTTCCACCATCATATGCAACATCAATCCTCTGCTGTACAATTATTGTAGGCGACTCTAATGAAAAAGAGAAAACTATTCAGTTCCACTAGTCCTTTTGCACCCAGGGGGGTACTCCGGAGTTTAAGTGACGGGGAAGATCGAATGGGGGCTACAATCAAAACCCAAAAAAAATCCCGAGACCGAATTTCGGAGCCTTAGAAATTTTCAGAAAGCGTTAAATGATATAAGATGTTGTACTTGGTCGAACCATATTCGCAGAGCTACGCAACAACAACAACAACCTTTATTTGCATATCTGCATGACTATAATTATTAACAGAATCGCAAAAGGTACGTAAAATAAGAACGAAAAGAAAAAGAAATATTAGTAATAATAATAATAATAATAATAATAATAATAATAATCAAGCGACATTATTCTAACATGACAGTACACTGTCCGCTGTCACGCAAGTTATTCAATAATGAGATATAATTCGTCAATCGTAAATTAAGAAGGAGAGCGGTACTACCACGAAATCGTCACAAAAAATCCATACCCCCAAAAATCCATACTTAAATTGAGCCACCCAAAAAATACTTGCCAGATTTTCCTACCCCCAAAATTCCCGGAATCGAAAATTTTACACCCCCAAAAAACATGCGATCATCCCATCACTTGAAATTCGGAGTATCCCCCGGGCTTTTGCTAAGGTTTGGTCACGTGATCAACTTTCGCTTTAAAAAAATGATGTTACCAGAATCAGAAAGAACATGTTAAAAATAGGTAACCTGTAAATTTTCGGCTCTATATTTCGATAGCAGCGATTGCAACTGCCGCCAAAAATTAGAAGGATTTGTATCAACTTTTGCCATTCTGTCACGGTTGATTGGTTTTCGATACAAATCTTGTAAATTATGCAATTTTCAAACTGTAGTCAAAATTTTCCATACACGTAACGGTACTCAAATTTTCTTTTGTTCACGGACAAACAATTTTTGTGAGCCCTGTAATACGTAAGGGAAAGATTCAACGAAAATTTACAGGAAGTTAACCAGGTGACCTACTGCAAGAGGCCAAGTTTTAAATCAGCGCGCAGTGCAGACTGCAAAACAAAGGTTTTTCTCAAAATCGTTTTAACGTAGCGACAGAGTCTCACGAGCGAGGCTCGCACGAGAGAAGAAGAAAACGTATTGTTAGTGTCTCTCCCCAGTCTCACTCCAGACCTTTCGTTTAACTTTTCGCACAAGCCAGGCTCTTTTGCACTCTACGCGCAGTGGAATTCACATTGAAAGCGCGTTTCCTAAAAACAATAACATAACTGTTTATTTTGTTCGTATAAGTTGTAAAAGAAGCTGGAAAACGTCATTATACATTGTAAGTTTTAATAAAACAAACAAATTACTTCAAAAAGTATATAGCTTTCCCTTCAACAAAGCACACACCACGGACACACACACATGAACAAAAACGATAAATGAAAGTAAGGAAAACCCTGGTAATGTTGATTTGTAAGATACAATAGAATATATAGTAAATACAATATATACTAAAGTACGCGATAAAAGATTAAAAGCTATAAAATTGGACCTGGAGAATTTCATCGCCTGCTACACGATGTGACGTACGCATGCGCAATTCAGAGTAAGAAAGCTTTATAGAGCGTTTAACGCATAACGTCACGTCGGCCATGTTGGAGTTCCAAACCAATCCGGTGGAGATTGGACTCTTTTCTTACGTTAGCTGACGCTTTTCTTTTGCTTCATTAAGTTTGCACTATAGTAGGAATTGTTCGTCCAGAAAGGGCCTGTTTACAGGGAGTTGGCGGATCCCAGGCAGGTGAGGTAACCCACTTAGGTGGGGTAACCCGCCTGTTCATATAATCTCTCATTTTTATTTGATCACGTTTTCATGTTAGGTGGGTGACCCGCCGCGGGTTACCTCACCTAGCTGGGGTACTCCACCTCCAAATAAACAAGCCCTAAAAATATTCACATCATGCCAAGTGCGGAAGTGAAAGAAAATATTTCCATACCAAATAACGTGTTCCAAACTGGTTCGCCATAAATCGGGTTTCCAGGGTCCCATCTATCGGGTGCTTCAAACCCTAAAAAGTGGGCAAAAATTCATTTATTCAAGTTCATAAGAAAAGCTAACATCATGTCATAGATCACAGGTACCCCAAGCTCACGAGTGAGACTCGTTGATAACATAAGAGTTTGTATAGTCATTTAAGCGACCGTCATTTAGGGGTCAAAAACAGTAATAAAGATACATCAGAATTTCTAAACCTTGTGTCCTTGTCTAAATTTATGGTGTTTTCTTAGAATTTTTGGCCGTTTTAGGGCGATTCCAGCGAAGTTTAGTTCTGCCTTTGTTCGATTCGTTATATACATCTAACGAACAAGGGCAGATCTAAAACTCGCTATTACTATTTTTAACCCCTAAAATTTCCATACAAACTCTTTAAATATTTCTGTTACGCAACAACGATTGTCACGCGTGAGCTTGGGGTACCTTTGTATAAATCTGTAAAAATTTATTTATTTATTTACTAACTTTTTTTGGCAACATTAAATCTGAGCATGGTCGAAGGTTTCAGACTGAAAATCGACCTTTTTTTATCGTTTGATTGGAAAAAAACAAAAAACCTTAGTGAGTTAATTCAATGTTCAATTTCTAGTATCTAACTTTTTTTAATTACAAATCGATCCGGAGAAAAACGCTTTGGCAGAATGATTAAGTTTAATTAATAGATGTACTCACTACTAAACCACCTTCTAGCCTTTTCCCTGTTACATAATAAAATACAATAACCGGCTAGGAGTCCTTAAGGTCTCGGTAAATGAAAATTTTAGTACATTGCTCGATTTTGTTTTTTATGGATTTTTGGCATGAGTGGGACCTAAATTTTAATTTGGCAGAAAAAGAAAATCAGAAAGTGCTTTTTAACCCTTCTAAAATGAGCCTTTTCTGAGCTAACCAGCCAAGCGTGGACTTCGCGCTAAATCTTTAGAGCTGATTTTCTCTCACTCTATTTTAGACGCAAAAATCAAAATTCTCCGACCTCCAGTCGGGACAGGTTTTAAGCTATCGCTTTGAAACTTTCAGATATGATGGATAATGATATAGACTCAAAAAGGGTGTGAGGAATTTTCCGATTTCCCTTTGTAACTCATTTTATGTCAGTTTCTTTGCGTAAATCGCGCTCGAGATTCGACTTTTTAGTTTGAAATGCAATAATTCCGCTAACACGAGACATCTGCAAATTTCCTCACACCCTTTTTTAGGTCTTTTATCTGTCAATCAGATGCAATAAAAAGGAAGTGAATATTTAACAACGCGAAAGGGCTGGAGCTTCAGCAGTAAACTCGATACCTCTGAGTTCGAGAACAAAAAACTTAAGCACCTTTTGAAATTCGATGAAATAAAATCTTTTATAAGGTAATTTAGTCTTTTAGCTTTAATTTGATTTGTAACTTGCCTTTGTAGCGAAAATACTCGCGCGACTAGAATTTTTTCTGTGGGCACCTCGTTTTCCTTTACCGAGACCTTAACCCAAGTCAGCAACTTTCATGTACCCGTATCGCGGCGCGTTCACCGATCACTTTTTTTTAGAACGAACGATTAGAGTATCATAAACCAATCAGCAACTCTTGCAAACCTAAAAATAGTATATCTTTTTAGTTTACCTTTTAATGATGTCCAGTTTACCTGTTTGATATCTTATACTTCAAATACGCTCATAGGAAAAGCGGAGAACTTCCATTTACGACGCGAGAAAAAGTGATCTAAACTAGACCTTAAAATAAACGACCAATGAGAGTTATGGGCTCTTGACAAAGTCTATGATCTGTTACCCACGTAGCACTAAGAACCTTATAGAAACTCGTTCAAAAGAGCATATACGGGCATAAAAGGTAATAAAAAGAAAACTATAACACTAATACCACTACGAACTGATTAGCCCTCTCTCATAAGCATTATACCCTAAAACTGATGAATATAGCCTGAGCAGCAGGCTCTTGGAAGTAGTGGGTGCAAGAAAGAACGGGCGCGCGAGAGGGAGACACGCGAGGTCTCCCTCTTTCACCCACTACTTCCAAGCGCCTGCTACACAGGCTATGATGAATATAATGTACATTATAGATAAAAATGTAGTAACATTATCTGTAATGGTGGTGATAATGACATACTTATTATAATCAACTATATTACATTATGTAATCCTTAAAGGCTTAGATAAGCTAATCGATTCCTTGGTGATTTAAGTTACGCTCTAGACATACCGATTTTGGAGGCAATAACATGATGTCGATATAGTTCTGTGCCATCTTTCATTATTCCTTTACAAACAAAATGCTTTGCAGATTTTGTTTTAAGAACCCGTAGCTCATGCAGAAAGAGCAGCCAATATCCAGAGGCGTTAAACTCATTGTTGAATGCTTGCTGTACCCAAAATGTTTTCTCATGATCCAGGAGCTGGCTGCAAAAATTTTCAAGCATTTGAATCACATCATCACAACAAACACTTTAACAATTTTCATAAAAGAAGAACTTAGAGCTTACCCCTCCCCTAAGCCAACACCCTTATATGGTAATACAGGGATGTGAAGCTGATTATGATATGGTTCTTGACCTCCCTCTTCTAAACAGGGTACATAACTTTGAGTGAGTCTGTCAACAGGGTATTGCCAGCACGATTGATTTGATTTGCTAGATGAATTTTGTTTCCAAGTATAGAAACGTAATAAATGGCTTTAAAAGAAGACGGTGTGAATTTTGTCCTTTGTCCTAAACAGGGTAATAAAATAGAGGGTTTTTCCCAAACAGGGTATGTATTTAAGGATTTCTTTTGCCTAAACAGGGTCAGGGTTTCAAACCCTCAGCGACTCACCTCTACCCAAATATTGGTCGAGTGGTCGGGTACCCCCCACCCCCCCTTCCCTACCGCACGCAGCTTCGCTCTAAGAAATCGAGTCGAAATCACCATTCTTGTGTGTGAAGAGAAGCATTGTCCGGTATTCGCGAGAGCGCAAAAGCTCTTATGGTGTGAACATATCCTAAAATTCATAAGTATTGCATTTGATCTAGTATTCTTCAATCTGAAGTGTTGAATAACGACCCATGGGATATTTAAATGCAATGGCGGGTCCAAGATGACGGCCGCACAGCGGTAGGTTACAAAATTACTTGTGATTCTTTAGCTAGCCAAGATTTGCCAAGAATGTATTTCAAGCTTAAAATAATACATTTGCAAGGCTTATAATACGTGAACAAGAAACGATCTTATGGGAATTGAGACGATTTGAGTGCAGGAAAAAATTCTAAGTGTTTTCTTTTCTCCTTATCATCCACATTCGAACAGGTAACTATACTGTTACTATCGAAGCATGAACGATCAATAAAACTGATATCGATGACAAAGATGATGTTTGTAAGTGAGTGAGAGAATTTCTATCTTTTAAGAGTACAAGGATTTTCTGTTAGCTACAAAAATTATAAAAAAGTAATTGGATAAAAGTATACAATACTACATTCCCAAACTCCCACTAAGTTATACTTCGGGGAACACGGCTGCATCTTCCCAGCAAAACCACTTTGGAAACAAAGACATCAGAAATTAGCTGTTTGTTGTCGAACAACTATTGAAAGGCTATTCAATTCAAACAATTAGTAAATTAAGTTTAATTGAAAGAATAATTGCCATGTGCCATGTCATCGAGTTCAGTTTACCGTCTTGTAAGGCTGGGTTTCATTCACGTTGCACTTACGCGAGGTATCTATAGTTTCCCCACCAAGGTTCCCTATCTGGTGTTCCACATCCAACTATCGTCCTTCCGTAAAAAAGGTTAAATTCGTCGCGGTGTTTATTGCGCAATAATCCAGGTACGACCATACTAAGCTGTAAGCGTTCTTTGTTAATCTCTAATACGAGAACAAACGAGTGTTAGTTGTATTCACAGCTTGAAAACAAGTCAATTTAGTGCAAATGGGTCAATGAACAATGGTCAACCTTAACCCTAACTCTAATTCTAACTATAACCCCACCCCAAGTTACCCATTCTTAACACTTAAACCTCACCCCGACCTAACTTTCCCTAGTCCGTGTACGAATTTTCCCCAGGCCTTCTCGGCCAATTCACTTTGTGACTTATCTGAGGCTCACTTTTTTCGCTCCGACCACCTGACCCGAACCACATTGCCGCGCGGAATAATGAGGCTTAGGGACTAGGCAAGACCTAACGCATGACGCATTGACTCATGACTCATAAAAGAACTCCTGAAGTTACTAAATCTCCAGAAGTAATAACTGTTTTGAGCGGACAATTGAAAAACATTTTTCCAGTTGTCATCGGCGTGGGATATTATAAAGTTTAGTTGCTGCCACGCGATCACCAAAAAGCCACAAATGGAGGCATAGGATTGATCAACGGACGAGCTGGCAGTTTAAAAACACTAATGATTGGCAAAATACCAAGCAAAGTTCTCTTCTTATTCTTGTTCTTACCAAGAAGTTTCTTCTCGAGTTTATCCTGTAACGATTCACCTACAATACAAAAAAAAGGAGTAAAAGAGAAAAAGGCATGAGTTAAATTAAAATTTTGGTACTTACCTGTTTAACTCTGTACGTCATAATGTAACTGATTATACACCTGTGGATATGCTTCCTTTAGTATGAACAGTCAACGAATTAAAGAATATATATCATTATCATAGAGATTATACACTCAGACAGTCGTGAGCTCGATTCTCACCTGGAGCTCGGAATTTTTTTCTGAGCTTTCTGGTAGAAGAATTCTCCTCTTTCTAAAATATATTGTACAGTCTTGGTCTTGTACGCTGGTTCGATACAGTCCCCTATAATTGGTGTAGTTATAATTAGATTTCGACCCTGCTCGCCATAGAGATTCCAGTAGCTCAGTGGTTGGAGCGTCCCAACAAGAACTCGGAAGGACGTGGGATCGATTCTCACCTGGAGCACGGAATTTTTTCTGAGCTTTCTGGACACGTATAAGAATTCTCCTTCATCCAAAAAAATTATATACAAGAGGTTCTTGAAATGCCAACTGGCTTGAAGGGAAGGGAAAAGGAAGTGTTTCTCGAACGTTTATCGACTATGGCTGTCAAGAAATTGGAATTTTCAGTACATTTGAGTTTTCTTTATTTAATTAACTAAGCCTAGTATTCAGGGGCACACCGTGCCATCCGGCGACAAAAGCAAGCTTCAAATTTGCTCTAACTTCCATTTTTCTTCGGCATGAAGTTGCATTGGTGCTAGTGCCTTGTAAAGATTGGGAAATTTTCTGACTTACCAGCATCGCAACCGTAAATTTCTGCCCTCATACAGATCCAGTTGTGCCACGCGACAGGAACAAATCTTACGAAACGAGCGCGAATTCGGGGATTTAAATAATGACGAACGGTGTCTCTTCTATTTTTGTTAGCTACAAAATACTAAAAGAAAAACAAAAATATAATAATCGTTGGTCTACAATTTCCTATTATTCTTTCCTTTATCTATTTTTTTTTCTTAATTTATTTAATATTTAATGTCAAAACGGCTCTTAAGGTAAAAACAACAACAACAACTAAGGAGGGTTTGCATGTTAAGATAGAAAAATGCCACGAAACCCAAACCTGAAGCATTCTATCGTGGAGTGTGTTTCCAAATCCGAAGGCGAGTGGCAAGTACTCCTTCTTGACATTATCAAACAATCTGAGGTCAGTCCAATTTACGACTTCTTCCTCTTACACTAACCTCCAAATACAGTCAACTCCTTTTATAGAGGACACCGTAAGGACCTCGAGTTGGTGTCCTCATTAGCGAGAGTTCTTAATAGCGGACGTTGATTTCAGTCAAACATCTGTAATTCATTTTTGCCAGGAATTTAGCTATGCTGTCCGTTTTTAGGGGTCTCCGTTAAAGCGGGGTGTCCACAAGGCGCGAGTTGACTATAAGAAACAAGACTCAATGAAACATCTGGTAATTCTATTGACTGACGAGACGATGATATTTTATCTGTTTCACAGTTGTTTGCACTTTTAAATGGAAACAGGAACGTAATACACCGGAGCTTCCATCTGCTATCGATAGGTCCTTCGCAGCTCGCAGTCACGTGACCTGCTTAATGCAAAAAAAGGGGGGATACATGGCCTTTGATAGATTATGCTAGCATATTTTTTGTCATAACTCGTCATTACGAGCACAATTTTTGTCTATTTTCGGGAAAAAAGCTCTGATAGGCCAGAAATTTTCGTTTATTGATCACATGCAACCAATGTTTTTGGCCCGAAATAAGTGTTACAGGCAAATGCAAAATCATTTTTTTGTCTGCTTATTGTCACATTTATACTGGGGGACCTGGTCCCACTAGCCTGCGAACAGCAGACGCATTTCCGGTCGTCGCTTCTCTCCCTCCGAATTTAGGGTCCCAGAGGAGGGGACCCAAAACTCTTTCCACAGGACTTAAACGCATGCGCATAACTTGCACGGTTACCCAAAATGGCGTCCCCAACAACGAATGCATACAGTGATAATAGAGAGGTATTTACAATGAATTTTGCTTTAGTGATGTTTCTAGTTGCAAATAGGGTAAATATCTTTACCATTTACTTGATTGTTGCATAGCTGTGTAGGTGTTTTGCCAAACTTAAAGTAAAAGATAGAATCATAATTTCTCAATTTTTTGCTCAAATGAGCATAATTCACAAAAACTAGCGTATGTAATTATTGGTATAAGTTAAAAAATGTATAAGCACTGCTAAAAGCCCCCCACCCCCCCCCCCCCCCCCACCTTTTTTTAGGGAAAAAGCCTTGCCTGGGAACTGGTGCTACATAAAGTATTTACTCAGTCATTTCAAACCACTATAACATCGCACTGTTATGAGTTTAAAACTTTAAAAAAAAAAGTAAATGAGAGACCTACTATTTACTTTATCTTCTTTCAGAGTATTCAATTTGTGGGGTCTATCCCATACTACTGGCATGACACAGGTCAAGTGACCCCAAGTTGTAAAGGGCCTATTGAGTAACAAGTTTGGCATGGAATGGATCGAGCTATGTTATCACTTAGGTGACTCAGCTCTAGTACAGAATGAAACCACTTACTCGTTCGCGTTCCTCGGCACTGACAACATCCCATGAAAACCCATTGAGACTGTAATGCACCACATATCCACTGACCCAGCGTCCATTTCTATAGCTTGAGTGACCTTGAGTTGCAAATCCATCGATGAACTTCTCCGAGAGCAGATCGATTTCTGAGGGGAGTCAGAGGAAAAGAAAAAAGGCGGCCATTCCTGACGAAGGTTTGATAAGTTTGGAAATTTGAGTTGTCAAAATACAATATGAAAGGCCAGTGTCCTCGATAAAAAGATGCAGCAGACAGGCCGCATTCTTACAAGTAAAATGAAAATTATTACGCAAATGACCAAACTAAACAATTTTTTCTTTCTTGTTAGGACAGCTGTTTGCGTTAAAGTTGCTTAACGTCACACGGTAAATTTAAGGGGGTATTAGATCGTAGTATTAAACCTCTTTGCAATCTCGACCCAGAGCCCTTCTGCGCATGTAGAGGAGAGAGATCACGAGCTCTGAGGAACCCTGGAGCAAGATTGTCTCTGATTGGTTTCAGCAAAAAACAGTAAAAGTGTTTCTGATTGATGCATTCATATTTGCACTAGAGCGGTTGAACGTGCGGCGTGTCTGGCGTGTGAGCGTGTTTTTCCCTAGAAATGTTGAAGTAAACACGACCGACCAATTCTTGATTTCAGCGATTCCAAAACAACATTTGCTCGACTAATTAGGCAGAATTGAACAAACATGAATAAAAGGACGCTAAATTTATATTTTGAAAAGTTTTATTGGAATTTCGATATACGTTTATCTTAACAAGCCATTCGGGTTTCACTTACCGCCTTGTGAAGTAGTCCACTGAAATATTTTTAAAATTAATTGTCAAGCATATGCAAACTTCAAGTCTCAAATCTGTGATTGGGAAGGTTTAACGGTATTTTCTCAGCAGCTACCACAAGAGCCTTGGATACCTGAAAATTCTTCAAGGCCGTTAACTGAATTTCTTCAGTTCTAATACCGAAGCAGCACAAGACTTTCGCGATGAAGCAGATATAAAAGAAGCAAAACGTTTTGGTTGCATCAAAGAGCATGCGCTGTGAGGCTCAAATAGCCAGATTTTGGCTACTCCGACGCAGAGTTTCCCAGAGCTTACGCGCGTATTCCCAAACCCGTAAGCACTGGGGTCGAGAATGACCTCCTTGAAAAACGTAGCGAAAACCTGCGTTGAAACTGACATTTAGGTTATAGACACGATTAAGCAGTAAGGTCAAGAGTGATGTGCGGCGTGTGGAGCTTTTCGATCCGCTATTTGTCATTCAAACATGTCGTCTTATTGTATGTCAAATTTGTCAGTTAAGCTACTCACTGGACTGAACATTTCGAAAATGTTTTTTAGTCAGAGAATTTCTTTATCAAAAATTCTTTATTAGGAATTTTAGACTGATCAGTCATTAGTGTTCCTCTCATTCCGTTCCAATGGAAGATAATATAACTAGCAAATCGTTAATTAGAAGTTTAAGATACTAAAACGACGACAGCAATATATTTTCAGGTTCGTGTCGGAGTCAAAACACTGAAAACAATTCGAAAGTAAACCGCTGTCGGTCATTTTCAATAGCGGCCACCTTAACTTTCTAAAATTATTGACTGGCTTTTGCTGTTTTCCAGCGTTTACTTACCTAAGTACTCATTAGGTATATGTAGCTTTTTTTCCTTTTTAGGGAAAGTAAGCATTGTTTTCACACACCATCCCCCATTGCTGTGAAGGCGAGCATTGGTGGCCCTCGTATCAAACCTTGAGGTACTAAATGTCGAAACTTTTATTTGTGAGTCTTTAATTTTCTTGGATTCCATTCCAAGTGGAGAATTACAACCTGAGAAAAGACACAAAAGTCAGTGATGATGACAACGATGATGATTATGGTGATGACGATAATAAAAATGATTTTGAAGATGATGATGATAATCATGATATTCACGATGATGATGTGAATGCGATATTGGTGATGATAATGTTAATAATGATGATGGCGATGATGTGAAGGCGATGATGATGATGATGACGATGATGATGTGAATCGATATTGGTGATGATGATGTTGATGATGATGATGATGATGATGAAGCGAATGCGATGATGACGATGATGACGATGATGGTATGAAAGCGATATTGGTGATGATGATGATGATGGTGATGTTGATGATGATGATGATGTGAAGGCGATGACGATGATGACGATGATGACGATGATGATATGAAAGCAATATTGGTGCTGATGATGTTGATGATGATGATGATGATGATGATGTGAAGGCGATGATGATGTTAATGTTGCTTTACGTGAGGATTCACAAAACAGTTATGCGCAGCCTCGTCCTTAGGCGTTTTCGCTTTACCCGTTGCCCGCGCTAAGTCTGGGAAAGGGTGGGCGAGAGATCCTCGGCGAGTCTCTCAAGGTGACGTCACAGCTCCCAGTAGGGTCTAGTCTAGAATTGACCCTTGAAGGAACCTAGACCGCCTAGGGACTAGGCTGAATTATGCCCATATATACCACAGGGTAGTATAGGCCGTGTGTGCTCAACTAGCCAAGGACGAGTGACAATGAAATAGCAAGAAAAATTTCAAGTACCTGGTTTTCTTCTTCCGTAATATGGCTGAGGATTTCCTAACAACACAGGCAAAATCACAAGAAATCTATTTACTCAGTGCAGATCGATCATCATCTACAGTTAATAAATATGTTCCCTAGCTACGAGGACCATTTGGAACGTATGTCACAAGTCATGTGTAAAAGATTTTCGCCAATTCTGAAATATAGCAATATTGTGAAAACAGCAAGGCCACCAGTTACTTATTATCCACTTAAAATATATAGAAAGATCTTTCCTATAGAGCAGTTGAAACCTGAAGTCAATCATGTCAGTTTAGCATTTTTTGAGTTTGTAAATAGCGATAGCTAGGGTTGGTTTTGTCAGTTTGTATGATATCATTGGTTCGTTTAAATGTGTTTGCATGTCTTAAGTAAGTTTAAATTTATAAAGAGTCATTGTGTTTACATTTAGTTCTAGAAAATTCCAAATCTCGGAAAAAATTACCCGGTTCATTTCCAAATATGTCTAAAGCTAGGCATTCAGTTATCCCAGACGTCTTTGGTCTTGCCCTCTGATGGAGGTGGATATGTCTGGCGTATATCGTAGGCATGATATCCAACATCGCAAAACACCCGGGCCCGTACTTTTCTTCGAAGTGTATATTAAGACCCTAAACACAACAGTTTAAAAAAAAAAGGTTGTTAGTTATTAGCTGACGGAATCGACCAGGAAATTGAGTAATTTTAATTTTCAGTATACAAAAATTATAACCTTGCACCAGAATATTTTAAGCCATATCGCATTCTCTTTTAAACTAATTCGAAGGGCTATAGACAAAAATAGCTATCTATAAATAAGTTGGCTGTAGACAATTTCTTATTGGGAGCCCGAGAAAAAATAACTTTCAAATTTTACAAGAATTGAGAAAACACACGTAACATTTCTTGCGTAAGAAGCTTCTGAAATTTGTTTGTTCGGGCTCCCATCAGAATTTTTTTTGTATGTTATTACATATAACTTATTAAATCTATAGTCCTTGGAGAGTGTAAAGAAGAATCCAATATATATGCTTTAATTATAAATTATTCTGGTACAAGGTTTTTGTCCGCTGAAAATATATAAGTTACTCATTTTCTGTATGGATTCTGTCTCTAAAACTGAGCTATAAAACTGCCGAAAATAAGCCGTGCGAATATATACCGCGGGAATATGCCGTAATTGTTGTAAAAGTTCGAATTTAGTGGGTCCAGGCAAAAAACCATTCAGATTTCCTCATGAATTTGCAACAGCTTATAATTAGTAACCCTCATTTTTAAGAACTGTTTAAACAAATTTCAAATTAATCACACTGGGATGAGTTATAAATTTAATGCCTACAGTGGTACCATGTTTGACTTATCCCCGGATAATTGGTTGTATGTTCCAAATAGGCTCCATATTCGACCATCAATGGAGTGATGAATGTTCACTAGCTTGGCAGACTTGCTTTTAAGGCATTCCTTTCCTCTCGGATCTGACTTTGCTCCAAGAAAAATAATCCGCGTAACGGCAAAAACTTTGCGCATGTCAATCTCAATCCACCTAACATTGTCATGATTCTGTAACAAATTATATACCACTTATTAACCGATAGTAACGTCACAATAAGTTACTTATTTTATGGCCATATTATCGTAGAGCTGAGCCCGCGATCAATTTAAACCAATAACAAGTAAGCAGATAACTTTAAAGACACGTCATCTCAATGAGTGGTACACTTGAGCCCACGATACAGTCATGTGACACTGCTCAGCGGATGCTCTTTCTGACAGCTGTCAATTGACCATAACATGGAAGTTCATAATTATAAGGATGTCAAACATCAAGTTAAACACAAATTGTATATGCCTTGACACCTAACTAGTAACACCCGGTCATTACAAGAAAATAATACCTGCTTAGCAGCCAATCAGAGCGCGCTTACTATTGTAGCCATATGATGAAAACCTTGCTTGAAAGCCACTTTGATTATTAATACACACATATAAGGTACATAAAGGTAGCCATTACGACTTATATATACACACTGTTTACTGGCAGCCATTACTTCTCCTGAAGGAGGATCATGAGGTTATCGCCCTATTAAGATCTCTTCTTACAGATAACTCACCCAGCCCAGGAAAGTTTGGACACATGACCGGGTCTATGTCCCCTACTCTGTTTGAACAGTAGTGTGCGTTCATTTACGTCCCACAAGAATCAGAAGGGTGAAAGTGCTGTGAGACGGGACCTACGGTTTTTCGCCCTTATCCTAGAAGACTAGAAAGTCTAACGGTTTGCAGATGTCATAACAAAAGCAGTACTTTTGCCGGAGTTCGAACTCGAGACCTCTTTCTCAGCAGACCGGCGCTCTTCCAGCTGAGCTAAACAGTAGACAGTATTTCCGCCCCTCACACTTCCTAAGGGAAAGGCCCCGAGTACGAGGTTTGTAAGAGCAAGCTATTCTGTCGTTGACTGGAGGGGAGCCTTACGCCTAGGCCAAACGTAGAAATTTTCATGAGACGAACCAAACTATAGCTATTTGCAGGACATAAAACTGTAAACTATATATTTCTTGAAGTAAATACATTGTTGTTGTTGTTGTTGTTGTTGTCGTCTGGCTCATATTATTAGTTAGGTTCGTCTGAATTAGTTTGGATCGCCCAAAAAGAACGTCTGAAGAACAACTCTGGGACACACGTTGATCTTCACATGTGACAAACTAAACCAATAAATTTAAAAATTGTGTGATAATGTTTATTTGGCCTCGTTCGGGAGAAAATTTATTACTGATCTTATTCAGTTGATTGGTTCGACGCGTCCCAATTTAGACGTCTGACCCAAAAGACGATCACGTAACTTATTTGAATTTAGGTCAACCCAAATTAGAGTTTGGTTCGTCTCATGAAAAGCTCGACAATAAGCATAGGCCTTAATAGAAAATGAGAACAAAAATTTGCCGCTACTATCCACAAAAGATTCTAGGATATTACGGAGATTCAAAATCACGATTCAGATTCATGTTGACAATTTCTCAAATTTGGAAATGAGAAGATAAAATTAAACTGTCCAGAATCATTCTTATATTATTGATGAGCGAACCTGGGATGTAACTTTAAATGTTTATGTAGGTATTATGAACTCGAAACGACAAGTCAAGAGGGAACTAATTGGTCACGTGGTACAAATTGACAATAGACCTTTTTACCGATACCGCGGCCATATTGAATTAATTCGATTTAAGGAGTATTATAGGATGTCCAGGGGGGATGAACACATTTCGCTTGTATTTTCGAACGCTTTTCGGGACATTTTTTCTTAAAGTTTTCTTAGAATAAGATTGCAATGGGAAAAAAGATCCTTGTGCCGTGTTTGGATGTAATAATGATCGCCTTTTTCTAGTTTAGTATTAGAAATATGGTCTTTCACTGTATATTTCTCGGGAAAAAGGCGATCATTATTACATCGAAACACGGCACAAGGATCTTTTTCCCCATTACAATCTTATTCTAAGAAAACTTTAAGAAAAAATGACCCGAAAAGCGCTCGAAAATACAAACAAAATGTGCTTATGCCCCCTGGGCATCCTATAATACTCCTCAAATCGAATTAATTCAATATGGCCGCCGTACCGGTAAAAAGGTCTATTCTCTCTATTATCTATAAAAAATCATCCACTCATAAACATACCAGAAAACAAGACAGACTTTGTCCAGGCCTGACGAGGCGTATTTGCTGAGGTGTGGCGGACGACGAACGTTGAAACAATGTTACTCCCGAAAACTTGACTCTACCTTTATCATTCCACAGCCCAAGCGACTGCACCTCATCTGTATAATAATGCAGTTAGTAAATTGTCAGCGAATTGTCACTGTTGTACATAAATGATACATTTTTAAGATTTATGTTTTTGTATGTTAAAACCGTCACCAATAAGAACAGTAGGCTGATTTAGCAACAGAACGGGAACGTCATTCGACGACGGGAAAGCGCGCGGAAAGGACTAAACTCGACTTCCAATGCCCAATTTGCCGCTCTGCCATTGGTCAAGCCAGTTGTTTGATTTGCGCGCGCCGTGGTCAGCTAAAGTTCCCGTTCTGTTGCCAAATCAGCATAGTGCCATGAATCACACGTGTATTAAAATCAAACAAATGCCGGGTTTTGGCTTCCCTATATGAAATTTTCGTTTCTAACCGACTGTTCCTCAGTTTTATGACAAAGGGTTTGAAATCAGTAAAATGGCGTTCAGAAAAAGAAACTTTTCAAGATCACACAAGAGAGAGCATACACATTGTTGTCGTTACTAGTTCTCCGAAAAACACCTGGAGCTGATCTGCAAGCATCCGGTTGGAAACATTCGTGTGTAAACATGAAATTAACATTTTGACATTTCAAATTTCAGTGACTTTGTAAAGAACGACGTGTCACAAAGTATATCCAGATCAGCTGGAAAGGTAGGAATTTCACTTTCAACGCCCATGTTCTGAAGCTGCCCGAGCCAAACAGAATTAATCAATATTCTAACAAGAAATTCCTAAATTCAAACAATTTCCCGGATTCAAAAATTTCCACGTCCACACGTATCCGGATTCATTCTCATACCCAGGACTCCTCTGGGAATATGGGCAACAGAGCATGCGTCTTAAAGCGCGCGAAATTTGCATCTTGACCTTTCACGGTAAAGAACTGGGTTCGATCTTGTTACGCAATCGGGTAAAAATTTATCTGGATTTAGCGTCCACACGATTCCAGAGTCATAGCGTATTAATATATAGATTTAGCCAGGGCTAAAAGCGAAGCTCCCATTAATAGATTTATATTCTAAATCAAACAATAACCTTGTAATCCACAAATCAGTTAACTTACGGGCACATTCATGGGACTTTTGAGGGAAAGGATAAGTTATTTTAGAGTGAACATCTTAAATCGAGTTGATAGCCTAAATATATGTACACCCAAAAAATAGCAAACATCTTCTATCACATTCAAGAGCCTCTTGATCACAGTAGATTAGGCCTCGAAAACAAATTCTTGGAAAAAACATCAGGCAGCATTTTTTTGCGTTCGACAGGTTTACTTTACAAATTCTTGCCAACAAATCTGAGGGTGTGTAAACCAACCTTTTATACTTTTTATACATCACATCTGAGGTGAAACAGTATTTTTTATCATACAGACCTCGGGCAGAATACGGCATTTCACAATTTTTCAATGTTCAGGACGATCAATCGTGGGCTTTTAGCGAAACCGTTCAAAAAATTTCCAAATCACCCATACGGCCAGCTCGTTCTCATTTTTAGAGCGAGCTGTCAGTGTGCTCGAGTGTTTGAATGAACTTTAATGGAGATACGCTTCAACATAATAACGAATTTATTATCATTATTTTTTGTTATTTAATGGTTCCAGTTATAACGATGTGTAATCTTATAAAGCGTTTGATACGCGCGACATTTCTAAGTACTCCTGCAAGCGATGTTCATGAACAATGAAAACAAACACCACGGACAAGCGATTAAAATTGCAAGAGAGACTACTAACAATCAATAAAAGAAATATAATTCGGTAAAACATTTACTGAGACAACAATTTTCATTCACGAAGACAATTAAGTATTAAAGTGTCTCTAAGAATCCTGAGTCTTTATGCTTAAAGCTTAAGCTTAAGTTTATTTTGTTTTACTTTCAGCCGGCCTCCCGGTGTTTGTTTTTTTCAAAGATGAACTCCTCCAAGCAAGAAAATCACTCAAAGTTTTCTTTCTACAGCCAAATTTATAACTAAATATTCTTCGGAACGTTTTTTTTTCTATTTGCCGTGAGAAAATATTTCTGAAGGCCTTTTAAAGTTCTGTAAGCTTATATCAAACCTGATACTAGATCAGATCATTGACTCAAATCTCAACAAACGCGCAAAAACTTGCCGCATAAACTGTGCTCGACTTCATGAAATTAGATATAACAAAAACAAACATCAAATACAATCATTACTCAGTCTTACCATTCGAGATTCAGTTCCTGAAAGATATCAAGGAAGGCCATAGTTGCTTGAGACTTTTAAACCCTCTTACGCATTGAGCAAGGTGAAAGACGAAAACGATGCCATCCGAAATCGGATTCCCCAATTTTGACAAGCGACGCATTTCTCAACCAAAAACCTAACAAACAAACCAGCCATGGATAACAGAAGACTCTTGATAGCAGCTGTATTTCATTTTGTACATCCAGTGGAAAAAGACAGTTAAAAACATCACAAGTTGACACAAAACTCTGTCAGCTTTAGCTGTCAAAGTAAACAACTTTCAAGATGCTGCATAAATTTTCCGCATGAACTCACCTGTCAAATTTTGACCAATCAGAGTACAAAAATTGGACGTAGAGCGTGACCAACGCGTGACCATGGTAAGAAAAGGTCTTCCCCGCCTTTATTTTTAAAAGAGTGGCTGAATTTTCGCGTCCGAGGTCAGTTTGAAATCAAAATCTTGACAGTGCGGGGCCATAGTGACATAAACACAAGATATTTCATATGACTCATTGGAAAAAATAGACTTGAGCCTGCGATCATTTGAAACTGGTAATTTGTCAGCGGATAACTTCAAAAAAGTACTCGACCTCGATATGTCGACACTTGAGCCCGCAGTACGGCCAGGTGATACTGGTCAGCGGATATCCTGTTTTGACAGCTGTCAATTGATCACAAAATTGATGTGCAATTAGTTTTCTATTGGGCTCCCAAACTAGCTAGAAAGTGTGAGAGTAAACATTGGTTTCCCTGTGGTGCAGACGGACGGTCGGGCGTACGGTCACGTGATAACCAAATTTTCTCGGATGGGTAGATTACTTGTAGATTACCACATTTCCTTAGCTATGGGGTTCCGTCCACGCGCGCGCTTCGCACGCGGGTGGAGCTCCGCTATAAAGCTATGGGGCTTCGAATTGAGCCCGTGATCAAATGAAATATCGGCGCAAAACTTTAAACACTACGTGACCTCAATAGATAGAAAAACGAGCCCGCGATCCACTGAGGTGATGATAGTCAGCGTATACTCTAGTTTGACAGCTGTCGATTAACCTTTACTACGATGGCGAATATTCGAATTAACAGACTACGAGTGTGAGTAGGACATTTCCGTCCGGCATGTAGTGGAAAATGCCAGATCGTGTACCTGAGCGAACCTGAGCCCTCGTTATTAGTTTTCTGATACCGGTCTGCACATGTCCCATTTTGACAGCTGTCAATTGACCTTAATTTGGCCTGCCAATGTAACTTTAACCGACTGTCAGCCAACTGACAGCCTTGCCCGGCTTAGCTTCGTTTTCATGTTGAATTGGTAAGTGTGACATATTATATCAGCTTATATATAAGGGCAAAACGACTGGTCTTTTATCTGAGCCCGCGAGACGGTCATGTGATAATTGTCAGCGGATGTCTGTTTTTGACAGCTGTCAATCTAATCGTACTCATACGGATGGCTTACATAACTAAGAGGCTAGTCAAGTTGTGCAAGATCTATTGTGACATTTGACATCGGCTTACATGAAGTGTGTGTACGGACGGGCGTACGCTACGTCATAACCAAATTTTCTGGGAAGGATAGTTTACCAAATTTTCTTACCCATGGTGCTCCGCTAAAAACGATTCACCGGATATGTGTGAACGGAATCTTTATCCGGAAAGAAAAAGTTGCAGATTCAAAAATATCAGGATAGGTATGGACGGGGCCTTAATTACTTGGCCCTAACATTGTTCCGGATCCGATTAACTGATATTAGTTGCGTAATTCGTGCATATCAATGACAGAGAGGCTGGCCCTTACTAGGCCTTCAGCCAATGAAAACCGAAGTTTAAATTCTTAGTCCACTATGGCCATCGTCATGTCTAAACAAGGGCATGTCCTTACACGGAAAAATAATCTATGACTTCGTCATGGCCAAATAAGGATATAACCCTATCGATTTAAAATAACTAAAAACCTGTAAAAAAAACAAACTAAAATAGTATGCGATGTATCTTAATGAGATTTCGAATAACTCAGATCGAATGCCTGCCATGTTAGCGTGTCGCGGCAATCAGTTAATTTTTACAACAAATTTGGCTCGAATACAAATTATTTTTTAAGTTTCACAAACCAGTCAGCGACACCTATAGACCTGAAAAATGTTTTTTTTATCTTTTAATTACGTTAAGTTTAATTTTTTCATATCTCTTCAAGTGGAGCCCCGTTAAGGCGACTACAGCTGGGCCATAAAATCCTGGTCGTAATAACTAGGTGATCACATTAACGGGGTCTTCAAAAAAATAAATGACTCGTTTTTTCGTTTGGGTTTAAAGAATATAGTCGTATTAACACGGTGGTCGTATAAATGGGTTGGTCGTAAGGCCGGGTTCCATTGGACTTCGAATGCACTCACTGACAAAGGCGTGGAGTCCATTTGCGCGGGAAAAATATCCAATATGAACAGATTCCAAAAAACAAAGGAAAAGATTTATTCTACGCAATATCCTGTTAATTCATTTTGTTTCTTTTGTATTAAGTGAATTTCTTCTGTATTTTTAAGTTTCTATGTTTTTGTAATGTGTGTAAAAAGCATAGAATCTTAAAAAAATTTTTCGCGGGGAAAAAGTGCGCTGAAATGTTTTTTTTTTTAATTTACGGGTACGTGACAACGCCGTGACATAGACCTTGTATGGAAGTTGCTCACTTCATAATCCTGAGCCAAAACAACGACTAAAAACGTCCCTACTACACTACTTTTTATTTAAATTTATTTATTTAATTATTTACTCATTTATATAGTTACAGCTTACCCGAGCAGCCAAACAGCTGCAATCGTACGCAGGTAGAGAAGTAAGTAATCACGTGAGTAAAAATTCGTATATATCTGACAGCATCAATGCGGTCATGGTAGTAGATTCCTTCCGATGACAAGGAAATTCCTTTCTGAAAAGGAATGTTAACAATGTGAGGTTAAGACCTTGTTTACAAGAGTCCGGGATCTTTAAACGAACTGATTTTTTTAACCAGTGCAACTCGTTTACACGGGACTACCCTACAAATTCTGTTACAGTACGATTAACACGACTGCGTAAAAATTTTGACAGTGTTAGTATTCGTATGGCTTTTTTTCAATCGAACGCGCGTAGCTATCCGATAGGCTCCAGGCTTTTACCGCGCAATTGCAAACTGTGCAAAAACTTGCATGGTTCACGTGTTTACACGAGTCCGTGTAAACGTGGAACCGTACCGGTGAAACTTTGACCTTCTTCTGACCACATCAGAAACTTGCACACTTTGCCATTCAAAAACTTGCATTGTTCCGCGGGTCCCGTGTAAACGAAAGGCGGACCCATGCAAGTTCTTTTCAGTGTAACAATGGGAGCGGACCCGCATGCAAACGAGATCTGAGTTTGCGTACACGTCTGGGGATCCATCAGGGCATGGCTTATCGTGATTTCTGAGGCAAGAATATCCCCTCTCCGCTGAATGAGCCGTACTGGTCTATGGCATAACTCGAATTCTGGTTCTTGCAACTAAAACTGACCCCACCACCCATGCCATTCCACTATTTCTTCTTGCAATTTTCGGGTAATCAGTAAGAAACCTAAAACTTACACCTTAGAAATTTTAATTTAAGTGCGACGGACAGATCACGTATTTAAGAACAGGCCCGGAGGTACTCCTGGGAATTCTTAGTGCAGGTGTTCCACCTGATTCTCCAAATCCTGACCCTATTTCAGACCAAAACAGTCATTTTCCACACGTTTTCAGACATGGCCTCTAAAACCCATACCTGTTTGTCATCGTTACTTAGATTAGAACGTGACAAAAAGACTTCATTGACGCAAAACTCTTTCCCTATGGGTGGGACATACCTATATGGCTTATATTTAAGGGAGCATACCCTCAACCCCCCCGCAAACACACACACACCCCACCCCAAGCTGAAGCCTAGCAGAAAACCGGACGAATTATAAAAAAATTGTAGGGCTGCCCTATGAACCTGGAAAGAGGTGAGGTGGCTTTGAGTCTCTACGTTTAACACATGCGAGATAGTTTTGAGTAAGGAACTCTAAGCAAGCCGTCATCTGGGACCTTAAGCAACGAGAACGTTGACGTCCCGGACGTCAAAAATGTCAACCGGAAGTTGATATTTCCTCTCTTTCGTACGGCGGGAGTTAAAACAAAGGCATTCAGATTGGTTGTGTGCGACCAAAGTGTTCCATCAAGAGAGACATCCAACTTCTGGTTGCTATTCATGACCTTCGGGACGTCAGCGCTCTCGTTGCTTAAGCTTACTACTGTCTGGGAAAATACAGATCGTCCCATGTATGGGAATCCAATTGCAAGACAGCCTTATTTTCTGCTGAATTCCACGCCGTGGATTCCGGATCGCAGGTACTGGATTCTGGATTCTTTGTGAGTGGAACTCGGGATTCCGGATTCCTTGAGCTGTACTCCTGATTCCAAAGCTCAGGATTCCGGATTCCACTACTCAAATTTCTCGTCTTTCGGATTCCACAAGCAAAAATTGCCCCAATTACGGAATTTGGATACCCTTTTATGGGGCAAATACAGAAAAAGTAACTTACCCCAAAAGATTTCCATTCCCTTCCATCCAGGCTTACATATATTTGGCTAAAATCCATGTCTTTTTCCTTTTTATCAGGAACACTTGTTAAAGTAACTACTATCCTTGAAATGAATCGCGGATAGAGAAGATCAAACTCGAGCCATCCTGAATCTTTGGGTCTGTTTTTAGCCACGCACCATTTCATTTCTGAACCGACTCCCCATTTTCCATAATTTCTTGTGGAAGCCTGCATGGTAATAGATGTTTAAAGGCCTAGTCATGCAAAGACCTTTGTCACGCGGAGGCCATTTTGTCTCAGGAGATTTAAAAAGCTTTGTTTTTGTACGGCTAGCCTCGTTCTCTCTACGAGGCTAGCCGTGCAAAAAAAAAGGTTTTTAAATCTCCTGACTGACAAAGTGGCCTCCGCGTGACAAAGGTTGTTCGACAAATTGCCACAAAGGATGTCACCCAAACTGGGCGGGGCAATAAAGGCAAGTTTGGGTGGGGATATGCCGACCAGACCTTTAGACCCTTAACATGTTTAAGACGAAGAAAGCCCGTTTACTAATCGCTACCCTGTTTAAGACCAGAAACCTTTTTGATCACACAATCAAAGAAATTTGTATAAGAACATCTCCTTTGTTTCTTTTACCACAGGTGACCCAAACCGGGAGAGGGATGCCCTCGTTTCTTCGATGCTAGAGCGTTTGTGCACACCCCTCACTAAATCTGAAGCAAAATAGAGACTGCTGGCAGTCTAATTAACGAGAATCGAATTACAGGGGGTCTCCTCCGAAAAGAGGTCCCACAACATCTACTTTTTGGAAAGGAACGTTCTTTATAGTCCTAGTAGCGTAGTACATTCAGAGAACAAACAGACCAGACAATGCGTCGAATTTGTCGCTGACAGGAGACTAAAAAATGGAAAATAATAAAACGGTCACCTCAAAAGTGGTTACGTAAGGACGAGGTTGTTTGTGAAAGGTTCTAATCATAGCTGGGGCTTTTGATTGAAAACATTTTGGTGTTTGGATATGTGTGGGAGGTGGTCGCTTACGAGAAGTGGTAGCGCATGGAGGTTTGACAGTAGTTGCGTTACGTTATGTTTATGGTTTACTGTAGAGTACATTGTGAAGTAAGGTTAAAGTAGGCAACGCGCGAAGAACTAAATAAACCATCAATATCTTCATCTTTAATAATGGTTAACTTACGGCAGAACCAGGTGTCAGTTGCCAGTATTTCACTTCTATTGGCTGGAGATAATGACAATGCTCTGTTAAAGACAAAAAATATGAAGAGAAAAAGATCACTATCTAAAGCCCCATGCAAACGGACGCAACACTGTTGGCCAACCATGTTGGGAGTTTCTGTGTCCGTTTGCCCGTAGCTTTAAAGTCTGCTGGATCATTATCCAGCGTTTACGTTGGACAACGTTGCCCAACGTGTTGCATGGGGCGTTTGGGTTTGAATAGGACTCTTCAGATGTAAAAGAAGTATCATAGCGTATGCATCTGTCCAAATTTCGGGTTTTATGTGACCATTATGTTGACTAGACAAGGTAAAATGTAGTTATTTGACTGCACACATGCTTATTAGAATTATATAAGGTTAGCGAAACCGTAAAAAGGTTCTTCCAAAAAAGCCTGAAATATATCGTCTTCGAATAACAGTCTTCAGTGGGCCAGTGCGAATTAGCTAGCTGTGCATGGAGATATTGAACACAATGAAAGGTCAAACTCACCAATATTGATCCTCTTCTGCCTTTGTATGAGTTGCTTGTTTTCCATCGCCCAGTCTTGTGGAACATATAAACAAATTCAAAGTAAAATAAGGGATCGCAGTCACACAAATTTTACTCTTATAAAGCTAATTGCAGTATCAAACATTCAACCAGGGCTGTCAACCCCCCACGTCTGTAAATAATGAGAATTGATGGGGGAGGGATGATAAATGACGTCATAATGGACACGTCACATGACGTCATTTGTGAAAATAACACGCGCGAAAAAGATGTTGTTGGAATTGTAACATTTGACCTAATTGGCTTACTTCCAGGCGGCTTACTTCGCACCAATAACATTATTGCTTATATTACAATGGCATACCGGAGTGAGGAAACATTCGATGTTAACAGTAAAATAGCTCAAACAACGCAGTGTATTTGAAGTTATATTGTCAGAAAGTCGATTCTACAAGAAATGGCAAATTTCGGCGATTATCCGGTAGATTTCAGATTCTAATCTGGAGACCGGGAGAAACGGTTCAAAATCTGGAGTCTCCAGGATTATCCGGGAGAGTTGACAGACATTATTCAACATCACGGTAATTGGGAAGAAGACCTAAATAGTTAACATCGGGGATGTCATTTCTAACTCTCCCATGATACTACATAACCAAAAATACCCGAAGGCAAGACACAAACTATTTTCTTTAAAAACGACATGAAAAACATCGCACAAACTAAATCAAAGATAAATATTTTTCTTCTTTAACGAGTGCAAATGAAGACACACTCGTCCCCCTTCTTCATAACTCCAGTAGGTAGATTCAAATGATTTTCTCTTTTAGTTATGTCATAAAAGAAATAGTAAACGTCTTAGCGATGGAACTACCGATCGATTTATGGATTAGTTTGGGAGGTTTTCTAAGCAGTCAAAGGGCTAGAGTTGCTCTATACAATAGACTGCATTAGCTTGTAGGCTATATTTTCCTAATTCAGACCACGCGATGTTCTCAATAGCCGACTTGTCGCGACGGCCCTAACGGTTTTCTCGCGAAATGACTTGAGAGAAACGAACGCAGAAATTCCATACTGATGACTCGTCACCCAGATCTGGGTAGTGCTTCTGACTAGACGTGCCGTTTGGGAAATTTGCTTCAACCAATCAGAAGCATTACCCAGTTAGTTATGCAAGCATATGCACCTGGATCGCGCGACTAGTGAAAAAAAAAAAAAAAACAGTTCCCCGGGGTAACATCATATGGTCTGCAATGGAAAAACGCTTCTTTCGTGCTTAGCAACCTCCCGAGTTGATTCATAACTCGATGTTTGCAGGTTTTCACAGCGGGGGAAATGGATAACTTAATATTTTCTAAAAAGTTATACTCACATGAGTCGCATCCATACAACTCCAAAGTGAGACACTGATGACCTCGCCATGCGCGAATCTTTAGTCGAAAAAATCGAGCGTGAAGAAAAGGGTCGAAAGCCTGGTACCGAGCTTTAGCTTTCGAGAAATTTTTTCGCACGGATTTGTGTTCCCTCTCCACTCGAAAATGCTGCAAAAAGAAAACATACGAACATATGTCTAAATATATGACAGTCTGTTCTTTTTGACAAGCGATATTTGAGCGTCGAGAGACCGACTTTTTTTCTGCAGTCTTCTCTCTGTTAATAAGAAACCTTACGATCTGTCAACAGGGATGTCATTATAAAAAAACGTCACTGAAAAACCTTCCTCCCTAGTTTCTGAAAATTTGAAAAATTAAGCGGGAGCTGAAGACAAAGAATCGCAATAGCGCTCAGAAAGATGGAGTAAAAATTATCGCCTTACCGTGACCGTCCTCAAAAGGAATTTTGTAAAATCTGGTTATTTCAAGTCGTAACTGAACAGTGACGACGAAAAAATAGCCAAACCGCGTGACGCACTTGTAAAGTTTTTGTTTTGCTTAATAAACCTACTGTTTTTTTGACGTTACCATTGCCTGCGCCGACGACGTTTTGGGGCCTCCGAATAAACATTTGCTACTCCTGCTTCCATTTCGGGCCAACCTTTATAAAACCCTCTGATGAGGAAGTGTGGCAGTAATAACTCACCCTAGGAAGGCCATATTCATCTTTGATTACTGTCCACAGTCGACCATCTGGGCCGAATTCAACGCTGTAATGAGTAACTGTATCAGTCCATTCTTTATCGGGTCCACCATCTTGGCCCCATTTCCAACCTTCAACGACAGCACCAGAAATCAGCTTCATGGATTCTGCGAAAATTAATAGATCATAAACGACGACATAGAAGCTTTTTGGTTGCAGTCGATTGCCTTTCTTTACTGTCATTAGGTGATGACGTCACGTAAAACGTACGTGGAAGGGAGTTTTCAAGCAAATTTCCAGAGTGCAAGCAAGTGATAACAGAGGTGTGTTTACAGTTAGCATTTCAAGACTCCACCACTGGTTTCCCCGCGAAATTTACGACTGAGAAACGAGCGCAGAAATTCCATACTGATGACGTGTCACTACCCTAATCTAGGTAGTGCTTCTTCTGATTACCGTATTTCTTCGACTAAACGCCGTCCTCGAATAAACGCTGCGCCTCATCAAGAAGAATGTGCTGTTCACTAGAGGACGAATAAGAAAAATCTCGGTACAACTTGGTAATTTGCACCATCCACACATTCACGATTGTATCTCAGCCAAATAGGATACAAATGGGAACCTTTCAATTACGTAATATTTACAAACGATTTACAGTAACTGTTGTCAGTGATTTAAAAAAGTGATCTTGAAATAAACGCCGCATCGGAAACGCTAAAAATTTAATAAACGTCGCGGCGTTTAATCGAATAGATACGGTAGTTAATCAGAAGCAAATTTCTCTCGCGACAGAACCGTCCGCGAATCTTATCGGTTAATACAGACAGACATGCCACATGATATCATTATCCATAGCTTTTTCCGAGAGTGAGTAAGATAGAACGAATCCTGCCTTCTGATTGGATTATACCCGAGTAATTGAGGGGGGCCTGTCGTGCCCGCTCAAGATTATTCAGTTTATCTTAGTTCTACCAAAAGAGATGCCAGCTCCCATGTACTTCCAATAACATACCCTATACACTGGCGAAGCTTTCGTAAGGGACCAAATGGGAAATTCGAAAAATTAAAGTGGTCGTAACTAGAGCTGGTCGCTTACGAGAATGAGCTCTGGTAAGCAACTGCATGGTAAAACAATAGGCGTTTTCAAAACACATCACAGCGGCCATATTGGTGTTCCATTCAAAACGATATTAAAAACGAGGGCCATGCTGTGGTTCCAGACCAATCCCGTGGGAGTTGAACTCTTTTCTTATGTAAACACTTTCATTTGTTCCAAAAATTTGCATAGAAGCTAGTCACTTGAGTGAAAACGCTTTTAGACGGTGATCACTTACAAGAGCTTTACAACTACATAAATAATTCATAAAGAAAAAAAATGAATGTTTAATGAGCGGTCTTTACATCATTCTGATATAGACACGGCTAAACTTTACGTCCAATTTTTTAGTTCATTAGGCCATTCCAATAAAATGTTTCGTTTCCCATCGCCCGACCGACCCATTTTTTTTCTAAAAGTAAAAAATAATTCCAGATTAACTAGTCAAAGAAGCAAGTACTTTAATTTACCAGCACACGATCTTGTTTTATTAACAACAATTGGTATATTGGTATGATGTGATATCCTTGTCTTTAATTAATATCGATACTACGTTTTTTAAAGGCTGTTTTGACATATGATAGTCGAAAAGACCAAGTTTTCGAGTTGACTTTGTAATCAGGCTTTCTCTCTTAGCAGCCGGGCCTTCTCTGAAACCCAGACCCCTTCAAGCATTCATTCTTTTTTTTTTTTGCCCGACCGACTGACCCACCATCACAAGAGACGGGGCGATAGGAAACGAAACATTTTATTGGATGGCCTTAGAGCGGTGTACAGTTTCATTAAAGTTCAAACTGGGTTTCACAAAGGTGGTCGTAACTAGAGCTGGACGCTTGGAGAGCTTCGACTGTATGTAGTTAAAAACTAATTAATTAAATAACTTACCCAAGTCAACTTGCACCCATTCTCCAAATTGGTATCCCGCAGAAGTACACCAGGGATTGAACGAACCTACGCGCATTGGATCGCCGAATTCATTGTGCATAGACGAAACCTGTATGTTCCTTAAGTGAAAATCTTCGCTCTTTATCAAGGGCTTCATACAATCTAGATTAAAGATAAGCACAATAAAAGAGAAAATCACACCCGGTTCAAGAAGATTTGACCATTAAACCTTGAAGCGGTCGGTTTGCCGGCATGTAAATTACACAAACAGCCCTGGTTTTGGCGAGCTCAACTGTGGTGACTTTGAAAAAAAAAGTGTTTGTTTTCATGTAGTACACTGAGTAAACCTCAATGAGGATTTCGTCAAAGATAACTGTTTTAAAGCAATCACTTATGAACGCACTTTTTACAGGTCAGATGTGTTTTAGGTTATTATTTTATTTAAGCTATGTACTCGTTGATTCTCACCTGTAATACACTCTTCAAGCACTGTTGCAGTAATTTTCACTCTTACTTTTTATTAGATTTTCAGACATGTTTTGTCTGAACCTTGCAAAAGTAGCCCACTGGTTTACTCTAGAGCTGTGGAAGACTGCTAGTTCAAAACGCTCTTGAGTTAATGACAGCAATCTGTTTTGCAAGTGTTGTTGGGGTCAAGCTTACCCAATTCCGAAAACTCGTGAAGATCTTAGAATTTGTGATCACCGCAGTCTAGATTCAGTTGAAAACGAAATGCACCTATCAGTTATTTCACTGTGACCTACCTGATGATTTAAGAAAGACTCTTTTTATTATAATCCACGAACGAAATGCATTATCTACAAATTACAATAACCAGGATAAAGTCTGTTTTCTTTTCAACAATACTGATTCGCATAATCAGCAGGCTAACTGCTTATTTCGTTTTTCAAGCATAAGAAAGGCGAAAGAACATCATAATAATTAATTATACCATTCAAGTACATCTGTATTTCCTTATCTCTCTCTGTGTATTATTGTATTTCAATCGGTATAACACCATGTATGGAAATGGCAATACTGAATAAAGTTGTTGTTGTTTTTGCTGTACTTAACACTTGTTGCTAGGAAACAGTAAAAAAGACTCTAAGAGAAAGAAGAAAGTGATCATAAAAAGTATAAAAAGCCATGCCGTATTTCTTTAACCCTGCTAACTAGACAAGAAGAAAAAAAACCGTGTACTTATTTCTATGAAAAAGTAAATAGCTTGATAAATCTACACTAAAAATTGGTTAAACAAGGTTCCTCAGGAGCTGCGAGAACTGGCTTTTGTCACCTGAATCAGGAAGGGATTTATTCTAAATTTTACTCTGGCATTTTCCTCATAGGTTTCGTGTTTACTTACATGGTGTGTCCTTCTTGTAGATCGGTATATATACAGGATAACTACGACAAATAAGTGGATGGTAAAAGATCAGCCCAGCAACGAGCGCAAACAGTTTCATGATGGTAGAGAAAAAAAACGATAAGACAAACCATGCTGACGCCAACAGAGAGTCATTCGTAGCAAAGGGTGCGAGCGCGCGCGCACACATTCGATTCGGTGGTAGTGCCAGTTCGGAGATGTACTGATAGGTCGCCTCGACAAACCCTGTGGGCCAAATATTTAACTTAAGCCGCGGTTTAACGAATCTTTGAACCTCCAGATCTCTTCTTTGGTGGGTTGTTTTAAGGGTTAGTTGTTTTAGATAAATGCTTTTGTCCTAGAGTCTTCTCTATATGCTTTCATAAAATTATTCAGACACAATAAATGATGTTTAGATAAAATCGTTGGGCAAATTGAAAATGACTAAGTCGACTTAGAACGCGGTTTTGTTAAACACTGGCTAAACTATACGTTTAAATATTTGGCCCTGTATTTTCGTATTCCCGTGAGTGTTTGGTCATTCTCGTAGAGACTTTCTTTACAGCACCGCAAGTTAATGATCCCCAAATTCGACCGCTGTTAATCCCGGGTATTGTAACAACGGCTGGATAATAGATACAAGGGCTGGTACTGAACACTCTGATCATAAAGTGGATCATGGAGCTAGACTGAAGCACCCTTATTATGGAATTGTTTTTGTTGTTAAAAGGTAAATTAAAAGCTATTAAAGGTACAGCAGCAATATTTTACGTCGATAACTCGTGACAGTAATAACTGATAAACTTGAGGTCGACGGTGGGTTCATTTCACCCCCTTCTCTCCATCAATGCCCCGTTTTAAGAAGTTGAAACAAGGATGTGATGTCACAGGGGATCGAACTCGGGACCTCACGTACAGGAGGCCGCGCACCAACTAACTGTGCCACCCTCGCTCCTATTGTTCTCGTTGTTGGTTGTTTTTCAGGCGCCTGAAAAAAATTGAAGCAAAGACGCCATTTCATGTGAATTATTAAATTACAGACACTTTTTTAGGTTACCAAAGGTTACATTCTTTTTTCTAATTGTTTGTCTATTGGTCAATTCTTAAATATAAATAAGGGGGAAGAATTAAAACTGGTAGATTTTGTGGGGAAATGCGAAATACACCGATAGACTTTAAGAAAGGGTAAGGAATTCTGCTGCTTACTTGTGACACTCCTCTTCGTACATGTGTATGTAACAATCGCTAGAATTCTCATACAAGCCCCTCACATCGCGGTTCACAAACAGATCCAGCTCGGAAATACTCACAAGTTCCCTCAGCTTGTCATGTTTTTGGAAAGGATTGAGTGTCAAGGCAAAAGAGCGTTTGTGTAGTCACTTTTGTGGAAGGTAGCCTTTTAACGTCAGATTACTAAGGTATTAAAAATAATAGGTTACGGGGGTATTTATTCCCCGTTTACTGTAATCAATATTCGAGTACACAAATTCACAACTAACTTTTTAAAAAGCTTAAGCAGATTGATAACATAAAGTATTAAAACTGACTTGTATAATTTATCAGACTTGAACATTGTTACTTTATTTTAAGCTAATAATTGTGACTCTAGAAGTACTGTCCACATCATTTTAAGTGTAGGCATGGAATTACTTTGATGCTAAAATTTCACAAGAGTTATTTTTAGAGGTTGTAATTACGGACGGCTAATTGTTTGGACGTGCTCACATTTCAGTCAGTCGTTTGAAACGTCATCAAGTCCACGCGCGACTGCTTCAAAGCAAACGATGGAGCACTCGAAAATACATTGTAATGGCGACACACCAAAAGAGCATAATATCCCATTTTCTTCTCTTGATAACGCTCAATGAATGTTTGCGAACCTCTCCGGAAATCAACTTCCGATTCTAAAAATAACTTGCGTGAAATTCACAAATTCCATGGGATAGACTGGGCGTTTCACTCTCTCCCCCATTATTTTCTCTTGCTAAAACACAAGATTTCTTTTTATCTCGGGGAATTGTCTACTTTTGACATGGGGTAGTTACCTGCACCAGATGACAAAAGGCAAACAAAAACAAGAAAAAAAATTTAGCTTAGATTGCATCAAATGGTAAGTACGATATTACTTTTCATTTGTATCTTTATTTCGCTAGGAAGTAAAAAGCAGAACAGAACATATTTGCATTTTAACAGATAATAGGCTACATAATTTCATGGATAATAGAAACACCCAGTCTTTCTATTATCCATGATAATTTCACCTCAGCAAACATGTTACTTTCAGGCATTTTTATTCAAACACAATGATTGCGGACACCATCAGAACCACAGAAGAAGCCCCCAAAGGAGCGGCAATGTGGATGGAACTGTAACTGTCGCTTAATCTTTTAAGCCCCAATATCCACATACACATTCTCCAGACATGATCTCCATAACAAATTACTCCTAAACGAATGAGTTAAGAGAATTTGATAAAGAGCATTGCTATATAGCTGGAAATTTCTTCTCAAGAGCACGCGGTCTCATTGGTTACTTCGAGGTTACATGACATATAACAATGAAACTGTTTCCCGCCAAAATCTATGCAACAAATCTATGACGTCAGAGGGTAACAATGCAATGTTACCCGCGAGTGTTGACCGATGATCGCCGTTACAGCGAGGTTTAATGACTTTCCAACCTCAAAATTTCCAGCTATATAACAAATCACTCAAAGACTGGTCCTCCAGGAAACAGCAAATTTTGTTCTCCCGAGAATCTCAATGAACTGTTTCCCTCGTGACCAGTCATCAAGTGTATATTATTTCCCTGTGGTGATCATTTCATTAATTCCCATAACCGAGTCTCTTGATTGTGTACTGATAATGATATTGTTAGGAGAAAACCAATGTTGGTCACTCTAGGGACTTGAAGGGATAAGAGAGATTACAGTAAAAACGCATATATAAGAACCTACAATTTTCGAGGTCAGGCTATACACCTTTTCATATTTTGGGTATTTAAATGCTAAATTTCAGCCTGTAGGTTCTTAAATCACTAGGCTCTTATATGCGGGTTTTTACTGTGTACTGCACAGGGGGTTTCTGTTAACAAGGTTTACTTTATGTGGCTGGGAACTCATGACCGAGGTTGCACTTACGGGTGGAGTCAACCTACGGGAGATCTGCAGTAGCAGAGGTTTATCTACATAATTATGGCTGTGTCCACTTGAGGGGGGTCTATGTTGTGGTTCAATTTTGTCCTTGATTTAATTTTCATTTCCTTTGTTTTTGGGTTTGGTAATGTATAATAATGGGCTTAGAACAAATGGACAAAAAAATTAAACCATCTACATACAAGAGGTGTTGGTCAGCAGAGCTTTGACTGTAAAAAAGGGATTTTTGTTTGCACAGATTATTTTCACCTTATTTCACTAGCCTAGACTTTCTCAAAGCATACTTTCAGTTTCTACTCATCTCCTGACTTCTTTGCTCACTTTTGCTTGCTTCGCAATCATCCCTCAACTTTGATGCTCTAGCAGTCGCCTTGTGGTGAGACTACTGACTGCCCTAGAGTCTATTAAACTTTGCAGCCCTAAAAATGACCACCATGCATCTAAATACTCCTTATGTGTGTCGCTGATTATTTTAATGAGACATTAAGATTCTAAGAATATAAAAGAATTTCCTCGCAACAATATTCCTCCAGTGCATGTTTTAAGAAATGTTAGAAGAACAGTATGGAAAGTATGCAGTTTGATGATAAGGCTTAAAGGGATAACTGAAATAGTAGTAGGGACACTGGGGAAAGAGGAGTGATTCTTTTTTATTCCATTTTCTCAATCCTCCGTGACCATACCCCTACCAACACTGGAAACTAAAAATTTTACTTTATCCTGAATATATGGCACTTGCTGCCCAGACAAATGCAACCTTTCTGCACAGTCTTCATAATCCAACTTCTCAGGCTATTTTTGTTAATCTGGTACCATTCCAGAGGATGGGTTTACAGTGAGAGAGCTGAGCAAAGAGGGGAGGGAGGCGAAATAATTCTAAAAATTAAGTTAAGAGGCAGGACAGTCTTTTGAACTATAATAAGGGTCACTGGGTTGCTGGAGGAGGTAGAGTTGATGTGCTGGGTTGAAGTGTCTGTTGTTGTTGTTGGAAAGCTCCTGCTCGAGCTTGTTGAAATTGCTGAAATTCCTCTTGTTGTTGTTGTTGTTGTTGTTGGAAAGCTGCTGCTTGAGCTTGTTGAAATTGCTGAAATTCCTCTTGTTCAGCCTATAATCCAAAAAAAGACAGTTATCCCTAATTTTAAAAAAAGGGAAAATTGAACACATTGCAATAACAACAACATCAAAAACAGGATATATTAAATATGCAACTACACTAAAATTTAAACCAACAGGAAACAATCTAGATTCATTTATTGAAAGTTTATGCTAACAATGTTTTAGGCAATGTTGTACAATATACAACTGTATCTGTTATATTCCTACACTTTCACTGAACTAAACAGGGACAGCCATTGGTTGATTCTTGGTCACACAGCATTGACTAAAATCAAATGACTTTGTATCCCGATCATAATACATTAAGCAATGTACCCCGCTCGGGCAACTTTACAGCACGTGATCAAAGCATGGTGGAAAGTGGTGTGACAGAAGGTAGGAAAAACACTACCAGTTTTCTTTTTCCTGAATGAACACATCTTCCCAAGACGAAGTCAAGGGAAACATCATGACTCAAGGGAAAACAAAACTAATTGTTTCCCTCAGGATCTGACATTAAGTGCATAATGTTACATTTGCAATAAAATTAATGTCCAATCAGAGGCTCTATCTACATTTTGTGAACACCTTTCTTCATACATTGTAATAAAGTGCAACTTTAAAATACAAATTATGCTTGTTGCGGGTTATTGCATTATTTTAATATATAAAACAGTACAAATACAATAAAAACCAGTGACTAAGAATCTTCACTTTCCCAAGTTAGCCTAAATTGGTTCTTACATAAATGGTAATCAGCACAAATTTAGGCTATTTAGGTTATTTAATTTAAAGAAAAAGATACAATTTGTAGATAAGAGCATTATCTTTATTTTTTGAAACCTGCATACCAGCATAATATACCATTACACTGCAGTTAGAGTGATAAGGCATCTAAGTCTCCAAAGAGGCTTCTGAATATTGACTTAACATATTTGTCCAGTTGTACCAAGTTTTTTTTTTATAGATTTTAGAAAATAGGAACCTGTTTCAAATTTTAGGCTACAAAGGTTCTTGTATAGAAGGAGCTTAACTGGCAAGCCTATCAGGGGCCTAACAGGTTCTTAAACCAGTTTTTTAGACTTTGATTCTTAGTCACAGGTATTTACTGTAAGTATAATTTACCTGAGCTTGCTGGAGACGTGCCTGTTGAAACAGCTCTTGCTGTTGCCGCAAAAGTTCTTCCTCTGGAATACCCTTGAAAGGCAACAATACCACTGTTAATTAACAACGAAATTTTAATGTTTTGTGTCCTCTTCAAAACCCACAATGGCAACAAGAAATAATTTTTGACAGAAGAACTGTTTACAGAAAACCAATTAAGCCTTCAGCAACATGTATTGGAGAACAAAATAAAGAGGCAATAATATGTAGTTCAAATGTCGCGGTTCAAAGTTTTCTTCAGTTTGAAAATTTCAAGCCAGTTTAGTTTTGATTTTCACTGATTCTGCAACAGCCATTGCCCTATTTGATACATTTACATACATAATTTTTTTTATCCAAACATAAATCTGTCAAACTATTTGTTATAGTTAATTTTTCATCTCAGTTTATTTTTATTTTCCATTGTTTTTGGTTATGGTAATGATGCTAATGAATTTGAAACAAAGGAAATATAAAATTAACCGAAATAAAAAATCAACTGCAAAATATGTGGATATTGATGCAATTATTTTTGAAATTATGGACTATAATCCAATTTAAGCAACAACCATTCAGGACACTATTTCACATGCAATGCCTTAAACACTGGTAAAGTACACTGTTAATGAACAAGAATAACAAGCGTTGCACTATTAAAAACCTTATACATGTATTGAACATTGAAGAGTTAAAAAAATGATTAAATCGTACCAGATTCTCTAGTCGTGTGCTTGCTCTTCTTTTGTTCTGTTGAAAAATAAGCAAATAAGAACAACTGTTGAATTAAAGAATCTGAAAAAAGAAAATTAGAGCAAAAAAGCCTTAAGAGGAAGTTCTGTTGTAATTAACCAACACTTAACCATAACAGCTAGAGAAAGTTACGCCCTTCTACAGGGTGTATGGAAGGTTATTTTGGTTGGAGAAGTCATACCACGG